TAGCTGAGCTCCACCACAGCAGGGCTCCTTTCCGACCCTCTGCTTCTAAATTAGGTTCGTTGTCTCTCACTCGCTTCCATTTATTTCACCATTTTATTTGCATCCACGTTACGAATAAAACTGTTATGTTACGTTTCAGTCGATAGATTCTTAGTAAAGGAGCGTTTGCAATGAGAAAATTGGCCCTCAAATTTGATTAGAATTTTGTTTGCCACTTGAAATGATTGCTTTTTAATTAAAGTTTCGTCATAATTCGTACATTCATTCTTCATTCGTATATGCCAACAAACAATATTTGATTAATTAAAAATTTTTTTCTTTTTTCTGCTAAATCTTTAAATTTTCTTTAAGAAACAATTGAACAATTGAATAAATTGTTCAATTGAATGAATAAATTTTTTCTTTTTAGAATAATTTTTTTTCCTATTTCGTCGGAATTTCGTTTTATTGAACTTTTCCGACTCTTTATCGCTTATCACTTGAAGTTTGTGAAAATTTTCATATTTTTCTTCGAGAAGTGCCATATCGCATTAATGAAATTCTGACTCTTTATCACTTATCAACTTATCACTTTTTCTTATTCTTTCCCTCATTTTTCTTAATTTTATTCTTTTTCTTCGTTAAAAATTCCATTTTACCAGAAGCATTGATTTTGTGAAATTTCAAAAGTATAAATCAAAATAAGTTTGATAACTATTGAAATAGTCCAAAAAATTTTGGGTTTAATAAAATTAAAAATTTCTAATAAATTAGAAACACACAAAATAGAAAAGTTGTACGCCAGATTTTCAATGATTTTTAAAGAAGTTTTTTTAAGTATGAAAGAAAATCTGATAAATAAAATTAATAGCGATTCAAAAATTTTCACCAAAAATATGAAAGAGTTCTTTCCTAATTTTTTTCTAAGTACATCCACATTGCTGCTCAGACCTATTCCATTGGCAAATTTTGCAACTGACAGCCAACTGACAATAGATAGGTCGCCAGAATGACCTGGATTTTTTTAGGAAAACTTTACTCCTATGGACAAAGAATTTCAACTCCGAAATACCTCTTTCGTTCAATACCGTCCGAGGAAGTGGGACGCGTCAGCCGAATTCGAACCCGAGCCATCCTTGCTTCTTAGTGGCGGCATTCATCTTTTGATCATTGCATGAAAAAATAAATTGTTACAAAAAATTTTATCATTGTATTTCTTTATCCAATGTTTTAAATTTGATTTGTTTTATTTCTTTTTAAAATTTTTTGCGAAATCAAATTATTTTTTAAAGTTTTTAAACCCATAATTTTTCAATTTCTGCCACTTTAAATCTCTTTTAAATAACGATTTGTCTGCTGAATAATTGCGAATCGGATAATATAAGAAGTTCCAATTTTTAGTTCATCCAAATCCAAATTTTTGTTTAAACTGGGAATATTTCAAAATTTTTGATAAATGAAGATAATCACTAGATTTTATGCGTAAATATCGACCGAACAAATTTTCAGTTTTCTTTCTAAATTAGAAGCAATAATTCGTAAATGCTGCCTGGAGTTTTCATCGTAAAATATTTTCGTCCGAATTGGATGCTCCTCTAATAACAAAATAATTAAGCACTGTATCTGGAAGTCTTCTGTCGAATTTTCTTTATAATCTTATCTAATTTTCAAGCGTTCCCTGGCTTCCGTTCTAATTCCTACTTCTTATTTGCTTTATTCTATTGCCTCTACTTAATGTTATCATTTTTGTGCTAATGTTTTATATCCATTCATATGTCATTCGCTTTAGTCTGGTTGGAAGTATTTGGTTTAACATTGCGAAAACGATGAAAGTTTTTCATTCTTTTTGCATCTAACAGCATTTGCCACTTTTGATTTGATTGGTCGCATTTATTACTGGTATGATATCTCCTCATTAGTTGATTTCTTGAGAAATGAAATATAGTTAGCTGCTCAACTACGCACTTCATTTTAGTAACAGGTTTGCCTACGCCAAGGAATCGAACTTACGTTCTTCTTTCGTCAAAATTTACCAACCTTCCACTATCCCGCACTTTTTAGCTTATTTAGTTGTTTTCCCCATCTTTTTACCATTTGTCTCTTATTTTTTTTAAATTTTTATAGAGGCTTTTTTTATTCTAACTTTTGTATATTCAAAAAATATCCAAATATCCAAAAAATATTTCTGAGTTCACTTTCGAAAAATTCTATTTTTCATGCTTCGCTTCGCTTTTTCTCATTATTCCTGAAATTCATAGTGCTTTCTTCGTTTTTGCGAATCTCGAATTCAAGATTATCAATGGATTCGACAATCCTAAAACTTTTTTTACAAGGCTTGCGCTCTTATCAGTGCTTTTAGCTAATTGACTTATTTTGTTTTGGAGAGGATAAAAGCATCCTCTTTTTACATCCTCTTTTGCTTCTTTAATAATGCTAAAAATAAAAACGAGTAAGTCGAGCGAATCTTTTATTTCATAGAAATAGGCGAGAAAATAAAATTCTATTCAGTTGTTTGTGAGGATAATTCAAGAATAAATTGTAATGCATTGGAAAAAAAAGCTCAACAGTAGAAAAAACGACAGTTTTAGGGGAAATAAATTTTAGGGGAAACGAGACGAAATATTTGTATAAAGATGCGAAAAAAATATTAGTCTATATTCGTCTATTATGACATTTCAGCAAATTTAACCTATAAAAGATATAAGAGCCGCAAACAAGGAAATTGTAAGTGATATATGGCGAGATAATTTTGGCAACTAATTGCATCTTGCATTTCAGTAAAATGGCCATTATTTGTGGCTATTGTTTTTGATAAACCAAACAAATACCATCAAATTTTTGAGAATGAAGAGATAAGTGGTTGTTTCGAGTAAGATTAAGTTTGATTCCTATTCCTTAATTTGATTGTGAATTTGTCATTGAAACTGAAATGCGAGCTCAGTTGAAGATCCATCTCAAATGGCTTCCTAACAAAAAGAGGTCGATATAGCAATAGCAATGAATAATGTGAGCCAAATCAGGAATAATTCACATTATTCACATTGTTAGAAGAACTACTTATTCATCTTCTAACAACTCGACAGTAATAGAAGCCATTCCTTTTTTCATCGTCTAAGTCCATATATTGCTGGTCCGTATACACTAAAAATCCGTCTATACTAAAAAATCTTTTCTGAATAGCTTAAGATGGAGCGAATTTTGGCAAGTAAAACTCCTTCGACTTTTTTAAACGACTTGAAGAGAGATTTTATTAAATGAAAAATCCCCCTTATTTTGATTAAAAAATAAAATGCGTAGTGAAGCGCGTCCGGTAAAAAATATTTATTACAAAAAAATATTGTCGAATATGAAAAAAACAAAAGCGAAAATGAAAAAAAAGTCTATTTTTGTTTAATTAACCAAACCATCGCTTCAAGCGGTCAAAAATTTGCCATTGAAAAAAACGATTATAGAATTTTAGGCATCCGATATGTCAAATCGTTGTTGTTTCGTTTTTCTTCCCCTTTCATTTTTTCTCAGCCGCAAAACTAATTTTCTCCGGCATTTATTCATTTTGCCATTAATTTTTTTAGTCGTTTTTCTCTTAAATACAACTAAATAACTGGTAATTTTCCGTATTAAGGTGATAACTTTCTTAGGACTTCTTTAATTAAGCGAAATTTTCATGCGGCATTTTTCATGATTTTGTGAATTTGTTTCTGATATTCACATTGGGTTCCATTCTTATAATTTAAGAAAAGTGAACGTATCATCATGAATGAAATCCAAGTGATATAGTGGGCCCACCTGTGATTCCATCCCTCATCGAAGCCAATTATAATTTAGCCAAATCAGAATTAACCAATGCTGCAAAAAGACGATATTTAATTAAATTCCTTCATCCTTTCATTTTCCATATACTTTGGTCTTTAAATAATTGTTTCTTCAAGTTTACTTTCTTGAATAAACTTATAAACTTGAAAAATAAAAGATTGGATTATTTGTAGAATTTGGGTGAGTTGCACTCAAATATCTGTGAAATGCTAGGCGAACATTTCTCAGACTTTACAAATAAATTAGGACTAATGATGAGCAATATTTCCGAGAAAACTGTGATCAAAATAAGATGAAATACTCATATTTCGGAATGGATTAGTGAAAAATCATGAAAATTGGCTGAGCATTAAGACTATAAATTTGAATAAATGACTAAATCTTCACTAAACTTTTTATTTTAACATTTCATAACATTTATTCATCAAATTTTTCATTGCTCTCAAGTGTATTGTTTTAATATTATAATTATAAAACAATTGAAAAAAAACTTGCACTTTTAAAATTGTATATTTTTAAATATCATCAACGTCAAATTTATTATTTAATTTCAGTCGAATATTTCTGATAATATTAATATTAATTAGCAACATTAATATTAAATAACAATAATATTGTTATCGATCTTTATAATAATAGTTTTGCAAATATTTCTATGGAAACGATTTAAAATTGAAAAAAATAATTTTCCAAATTTTCTTCCCCTTTCTATTCATTCAGTTCCTAATTTATGCAGTTTCGCCAAAAATGTCATTAGAAACATCGCCGATTCTGTTCTTTCCTTCTTTAGAAACTTTCTCTTTTCATTCGCTTTTTTACCAATTACCCATTTACCATCCATGTTATTTTAATCTGTAAATACAATAATTTATAAATTGTTCTTGGCCAAAGAACTCGGCAAGCATAGCTAATTTGCCATCACAATTGTTTTTATTTTCAATTTTATTTTCAATTTGATTATTGGGAATGAGTTTATTTTGCTATGAATGAAGGCAAGGGCATGCCAAGTTCTCTAATGAAATTTTTGATAATTTGTAGCAGAAATTCGTCTTTATTCACAGAAATTGGGGTATTTTCGAGATAAAAAAATTCTTCATAAAGCCAGCCAAAGTTCACGAATTATTCACGAATTACAGTCAGCCTTATATTTCCATATATTTAAACTATGAAGGCGATATGCGTATTGTATATTTTTTCAGCAAATTTGTATGGTATTCTGCAACAGAGAATTCAAGTTGTCGCTCTTGAATGACGCAGATTACAATGGAAATACTTATAACACCTATATATTGAATAGCAAGGAAAAAGGATATAATAGTGGATTTGATGAAATTAATCCCCCTTTTCTAAATAATAATGATAATTTTGACTTTGTTCCGTATGAGCAGAACAATTTCGAGGTTAAGCTTAAGCCGGATTCAAATGTGGTCGGTTTGCTAGCATTCCAACTTGTCGGCAACCGAACAAGTGGTGTATTTATACGGTGCGTTGATCAAACATCGGAGCAGGTTGCTTTTTGTTCAAATCTCAACTACCAGTATTTCTGTATTGGTCTGAGATAGTTAACTGCTCGAAATAGGGGATTCCTGGCCTTGTACTCTTCTATTACCCAACATCCCTATGTAATAAAATAACCTAATCTTCACCAAGTGAAATTAGCATATAAATAGTAATATAGCCGTAAGATGGTAATGGTATTTACAAGAATATTTCTGTCACTACTGAAAGGGCATTCAAATTTTACCTAATCGCTGATACGATGATTTCAGTCAAAGCAGTTGAGAGATGGCGATCGAATTAGTGAAGTTTGTGGGATTGATGTAAAAAAGATGACATGTGATCAGATTGCAACAATTCTTCGAACTTCTCTGATAAAAAATGGATTTGTTGTATTAAAAGTATGCAATTTCAAAACGATCTTTTTCAGTCTGAAATTTTCAACTGCACTAAAATAATAAATTTATACAATAGTGTCTTTGGACTTGCTTTAAATATTAATTTAAGTGCATTTTAGTACAAAAAGGTGCAAATGTTCTCAATAACAACTAGTAATCACTAATTTTATCTTCAGTTACAGTGATAAAAATGACCGAATTTAAATGAGTTTGATAAATGAAGCTAATATAAGAAATTTTTTGAAAATGCTGAAAAAACAATTAACTTGACTTTCGATGAGAGACGAAAATTATTAATGGATTATCGGACACAATAGTGATAATAATGATAGTTTAAAGTAATAGAGTACAGTATAATTAATGAATAATAACAATAAATGTTTATATTAGTATATAAAGAATAGTAATAAGCAACAAATTTAAGGTAACTGCGAAGATTTGTAAGAAAATAACGCAGTCTCCAAAATGCGCGATTATACCGAACCCTCGTATGAATGGGGAAAGCAGCTTTATGGGCGATTGTACAATCAAATATAATAAAACAGGTCAATCGATCAGTGAGTGCAGTTGGGAATCAGACAATTTGGATGAAAGTTTTCAGGATTACGTAAGTTTATTCCAATATTTTATACTGAAAAGGTTCAAATTAAACCATAAAATGCATTAATACGTAAATAATGCTTGTTTTCCCAAAAAATCCTTTAAATATTTATAAATTTAGAAAAAATTTAGATTCTATAAATAACAAATGAAAAAGGTGAAAAGGCGCGAAATATAAATAATCTAAAGGAAATTAATTTGTGATAATCAAGGCATCGGAACTATTTATTATTTATTAACGGAACGAGCAAAACATCGTTTTCGTTTGATAGTTCCTAGATGCGATTGAAAGGATTGTATAAGCGTGGATTAGTTTTAGCGCAGAGGGATCTAAGAGTTCTATGCTCCGTGTTCCTTGCTGAATTTTCGTTGAAATCAGAGTTAGAATATTTGCAGCAATCAATTTAAACCAATTATCAAATAACCGTTTTGCATTTAAGCATATATTAAATCTTATTTTATCCGTTTAACCTTGGAAGGATCGAGGTTAATTCTGGCTTACATTTAGTTAAATGTTTCTGCGAGTTCTCAATTGGCCAGAAGAATTTTAAAAATGTAGCAATGATTTTCATCAGTAATTATTTCAAGATTTAGGATATAATTTGCATGAGCAAAAGAAATATTCTTCAGTACAGTACAGTGTTGTTGGAAGATCATAGCTAATTAACATGGATAACTTTATATATCAAATGGAAGCTTAATTTGTCTCTCCTGAAACCATTCAACCCTTTCATCAATATCATTGCAGCGGTAAAGTGCCCTCCGATTTTCCATGAGAATAATCATCGCTTTCAATCATCGCTCTACACTTATATATTTGTGGAATTAGTGAGAGTTAGTACCTAAGAGTTAACACTTAACAGCAATTTACGTTAAAAACACGGCACAATATCATTACCAATATAATACAGATATAACTATCCTGTGGTATGTCTGATTTAACTGAAATAAAGTCAGAATATACTATAATTCGATCAGTCGATAAAAGCGTGTTGAATAATTATTATTATTCATTAATTTAACTAATTTGAATAAACCATTGGAAGTGCCTAAAGGCTTTGTGGAGCCGAGTAACTGAATTGAAAAACTGAGCCAGAAGCTTTTGCTAGATTTAAAGAATGGCATAATGAATATCCTTATCAGATTTGGTGCAAATTGATCAAAGCTGTGAGGTGGCGGAATTTTTCTTGTAAAGACCAATTATTGATAAACCGACTAAAATTAAAATTGATATTAAATAGAAATTAAAAAAGTGAAGTGTTAGATATACATTAAGTAAATATATTGTTGGTCTCAAATGTAGTTACATAAAGAAATAATCAAATAAGTATAATGAAAAAAGGCGGTCAACGTGTGTTCATGATTTGTATTCGCTAGCCTTTCCGTTAAAAATTCGTCGTCTCACACCACAAACTTGGTTAATCAAACTCTTATTTTAAATAGCAGTCCAGCAATATACACCATGATTAATTACGCAGGGCAATAAAAAGTGTTACAAACATGATTTGCAAGTGAAAGCAGATATATGAAACGTGAAAGGGTAATAGCGATTCCTCAGCTGATATCGGTCGTTACTCCTTTAGCGATTGGAATTGTGGGTCTTATATAGCCGCCATCTTATTCAGAATCGCTTCTCTTCTCTGACTTTTACTTCAATGGATTGCTGACCTTTCATTTCTGATCTACTGAAACGTTTTTGCCCATTTTTGAGCATAGTGAGAATGCTATAATTAGAACGATTGTCACTTTTTTTAAAATCCGAGTTTTATAAAATCGTTCCAAGATTCTAAGAACTTTGTAAAGGGACATCGTAGAAAATGAAGCATAGCGGAAGAATAAGAGAGTCCTCACATTTTCTAAACAAATTATTTGTGGGATATTGTCAGAAACTGCTAAGCAATGAAGATTTAAGCCTAAGTAATGTGCACAACTAAAAGCGAAAATTTAATATTCTCATTTTATTTGAATAGTTACAAATAATTTTAAATGATTGTTGGAATTCCATTATTTTCTTGAAAAGAATAAACATTCCAAAATTCTTAAAACTTGAAATTGTTGCACTGATGCTTCGTGGATATTCATAGCTTAATTCAGGGAATCCTTGGAAAAAAATTTGACGACCACTAGTATAATAAGTTCCAATTAGAATTTTATTCGGGAATTTATCGCAGCTAATTCGTTCCGATTTTTTAGCAAATTTGCTTATATGATTAAGAAAAAATTAGAATTGCAGGTTGGTGATTTAGAAAGTTTTTTGTTTTGAATTTTTTCTTTTTTATCGTTTTAAAAGCCAATTTTCACATATTTAAGTATGATTTATGATTTATCTTAAAAAGTATAAATTTGAAAAAAAATTAATAGTGTAGTCATTCGAATCGAATTACTTCTCAATGCTTTCAATAAATTTCAGAGTCCTCTTTAATCGAATTAATCCGATTAGAAGTTATTGCCATTCATTATCGTTGAAACTGTTTGAGTTTAATTTATTAAACTTTTTAAATATTGAATTTTTCAAAAATTTTATTAAGAAATGGTTTTATTAAAGGAATCACCAAATAAAATAAGGAATATCAACAGCTGTTTAAACAATAAACGCCTAATACATTTAATATGTTATGATGATCTTAATTCTGAACATTTTAATAAATTCATCAATAAATGGTTAGTAATATTAATAACTTTATTATCTATCATCGTATTCAATAAAATATTGTTTGTCTTCCATTTATTTTTATTATATTTATAAGACGAAGACGAAAACAAGATGGCTGAGTGGATAATAGCTCAAATTACCAAGGATGGGAGAGAGGGTTTTTTGCGCCAACAGTAAACCTGTCATTGAAAAGCCGAGGTGATGCTGACGATGCACTTGTACTCCTAATGCCAAGTGATTCTACAGCAAAAAATTTGTACCAACGGTCGGCTTAGCCAGAAATCGTAGATGAGCGCTAATCTTTTGCTTCAAATTTATGAAATGACTTAACTTTTAAATTGGGTACAGTCAGGATCTGGTTTCATTTTATTAGCTTTTCTATTCAGAGATTAACATAATCGACCAATTTTATATGAGAGAGAGGAAAAATGATGCCTTCGCAAACTTTTTTTAGAAGATGCCAATATGAGCTTTCCACCAGTTTTTTCTAAATCTGACCAAGCAAGCAATAAAATTTAATAATATTAAGTGAAAGAGAAGGGATGAATTTCCGTTCATTTCATTTTGTAATATAAGTTGAATTTGAATTAAAATAGTTTCTACGATATTCTTTTTTTCCACAATTTCGGACTTTCGTTGATTTCTATCTTCCATCCTCTGTTTTTTCAAAATAAATTTTTTTGCTCAATGGTCACTAATTTTCATTTTGGTGGTAATTAAGTCAAAAGCGATGTTTACTAAATATAAAAATGGCAAAAATAAATTTGTGAATTTTATTGGCTAATTATTTTTAATAATTATTAATAATTATAACTATTCTTAATAATTATTTAGACAAATTTGCAAAAGCGGTATTAAAAATTTGGCCATTTATTTCTATCGACTTCAGCAGTTAATAAAAATTTCTTATTTTATTTTTAATTAAATAAATATATTTTATTTTTTCTCTAAGTTCTTAAAAATTACTATAAAATTAATAGAAAATTTAATATAATATAAAAATTTGATGATTTAGGCAAAATGAAAATGACCAAATCCATTTTAATGACGTTTACTTGTTAAATGAACGGTTTTCGAAGTGTTCGTTGTGTTTCAAATTTGTTAAAATGGTTCTTTCTTTTTTCTTTAATAATTAAATTAAAATTTTTATTAAAATTTCTCACTTGCAAAAAGTGAGAAAATAATTTTCCCTTTAAGAAGAATATGTATATATACATATATATATGTATTGAATCGAAGTAAATAAGGAAAATTTAAATCTTTAATGGTTGAGTGGCAAAAAGCAGATGTGATGATACTGATGTAATTTGCAATATAAGCTAAAGTGGGTATTGAGCCGTTACCAAATTGCCATTGAGTGAAGCCAATCAAGCCACCATTCCGAACTAAGCTTCTTGAGATTTATTTATTAACGAATATTTTTACACTGAATTGCCCACTTAATCAAATTCCACTGGGAATTACTTGGCGTTTGGATAAGAATCAATGGATTTTTAAAAAGCAATATAAATAATTAAGAATAATTTTGTAAAGAATTTTCATATAAAATTTCATATAATAAAAAATTTGGAGAAATTTTTGAAAAATATGAAATTTTAACTGAAAGCTATTAAAGGAATTTTCAGAGACGGTGGCACATATTTAAACACGAATGTATATCGAATGCGAAAAAAATTTTTATTCGTTCTTCTGCAAATAATTTCAGTAAAAATTTGCCATCGAATCATCATTATTCCCTTTTATAATTCCTTCCTTCCTTCCTTTCTCCAATAAGTTAGGTTTTTATTATCAAATAATTATTAATTTCCTTTTATAATTCCTTCACTTCCTTCCTTATTTTTATTTTTTATATTTAATTTCTCTTCCTTATTTCTCTTTTCTTTTGATGTTATTTCTCTTATTTTGAATACCTCATTACAATTTTTCTGATGCTTTATTGAGAAATATTAATTTTTTCATTGCTCAATTTGGTACAAAAAAAGCGAAATCAATTAAATTAATAGGGAAAGCAAAGTTTTATTTTGTCCAAAATTGTGTGTTTTCCGAGTTTCGAATAAATTGAAAAGTACAAAATTGGATAAGAAATTAAAGAAACGACAAATTTCGCTACTTTTCCTCTTTAATCCTATTTATGGCAAAAGATTTTAAAAGTAAAATATTTCATGAAATGCAGTGAAATGAACAATTTTATCGAGTTATAATTTTTTGTATTTTTGAAGATTTTTCAATAATTTTGGTTTTAAAATTTAAAAGTTTGAAAGTAACCACTGGGCACACAAATTTCCAAAGAGCCGTCGTGCCACAATTCATTAAATTTTTCAACGTATTTCACTATGGCGGGAAAGAAAAAACTATGAATGAAAAAATTATTTTTTTAGAAGACTTTATAAATTTATCTTTGATAATTTCATAGGCCCTCCGCATCGCAAGCGAATTTTTTCTAAACATATTTCACCGCTACACTTAAATTTGTCCAGAAAATTTGTTTAGACGAAAAATTCGAAAAAAAAGAGGAAAAAGGTGAATAAAACTGTTTTCAAATATTAAGTATAAATTCATTCAATGACATTTCTTTTCATAGGGAGAAAAGTTTTTTTTAAAATTTTTTTATTCGTATTAATGTTTTTTCTTTTTTTACGCTTGCGATTATTGATATACTAATTTTATTTTGATGAATTTTGCTGTTTTTGTTGTTTATAATTGTGTTATTAGAGAAAAAAATTAATAGGAAGTGAAAATTCATATTAAATACTCAAATGAAAAGAAATATTCATCGATGTTTTATTAAACTAAATTATTCGACAAAAAATAAAATAAAAAATAAATTTGGATGTAAATTTTTGAGAATATTTGTCATATTTATTGCAGTGGTTGATTTGCAAGTTTCATAAATGCTTCGTTGACTTTATTATAGCGTTATTTGATTTCATTTTGAATTAAGCTGATTTATTTGCATAAAATGAATAAATCTATTTGAATATACTGAAATTTATTTAAAAGGCTCAAACAGCAATAACGGTGACCAAATAAACGAACCAGTAGTGGCATAATTTTTTGCGACGGAAAATTTTATATTTTGAAAATTTGCATACATCGAAATTTATACAGTTATCGAGACGAGACATAGTGAAACGTAGTGAATTGCAAAATCCAGAAGAAAGAACTAGCAAAAGAATTATATGCGAAGCAAATTGTCTACAAATAGTCGTGCAAAATTACTCGTCTTATATTTTACATACTAATTATTTTTTTAAGCGAAAATCCACCGTATGCTGAAAATTTATCGAAATTTATAGAATGAAAAAAGGAAAAAGAAACGAAATTTGCAAACAAATATTGCGAATAAAAGGATTTATTTTCATTTTGGGATTTTTTGTAAGATTTATTTGTTAAGGTTTATTTTCTGTCTGAATTATTCGAGTTTTCAGTTCGCAGTTCTTTCGATATTATTACTTCACTTTTTTTCCATTTGGTTCGGCGGTTTTGAAACCATATTTTGACCTGAAATATCTCAAACGTGCGAGTAAAAATTTTCAATTGATTCATCGCCAACGCTTTAACTTTAGTGATCTCTTCTTATCATCTTTTCTCTTCTTTACAAAAAATTCCTGCGGTTCATCCAGTAGTGCACATTCTCTTTCCATCTTTTATGTAAATAATGTGTTTATTCGAAAAAAATAAACCAGCATTAGATCCAATCCTCATTGCGATAATCAAATTTGACTTAAATTTTAGATGAAATTAGCGGAAAAAGCAAATAGAAAATTATGACATAATTATGAAAATTATGACATTAGAATTAAAAAAGAGGATAAACCAAAAAAATAGTGCTAACGAAAATTACTTGAGTTTCGGTAACGTCAAGTAATTTGGCCAATTCACATCGTTCACTAGACGAAAGGTATTTCTTAATTTCAAATTGTCTTTCCAATTCAAAAATCTGCCGTCCAGAAAATGTTGTCCGAGCCTTTTTCTTTTTTATTGGTTTGATGTAATCTACTAATGACGGTGCAATTTTCGTTCTTGTTTCGCAGTTCAGTCGCTCTAAACATAAATAATATATTTTTGGAGTTCTCGCTGCTCATTTAAAAAAAACTTCCAGCATTAGAGTAGAATGGGATAGATAAATCGATTCAAAAGATCCGAAAAAAAATATACATCTGTTTAAGAGGTTAAAACTTTTACCAGTGAGGATTTCCGCACTATCAGTGAAAATTGAAATATTTTGCTCAGCCAGATCTTAACCAGAATGTATAATTGATTTTTTTAAATTGACTTTCTTATTTTTGTTAAAGAGTACATTTGAAAATATTATCTCACTGGCTACGGTATGAAATTATTTAACAATGAGAAATATAAATTAACTGCCAGCCGAATCTTCTAATAAAAGATTAGATTTAATCCTAATGGTTGCAGGAGTTGAGGCCTTGCAACAAGATTATCGAACAATTGTCCGCTCGGCTTATATATATATTCTCGTAATCAAAAATCAGCACTGATTATCGATATACTTAAACCAAGTGACAAGAACAACAGGAAGGAGGAATATGAGAAGCTAAAGAAACACCAAGAGCTGAACGAGAACCTAAAAAAGATGTGAAAAATGAAAAATAAAATATAGATAATAGGAGCACTAGGGACTTTTAAAATTAGAAAGCGGTTTCAATATATGGTAAGAATAACACTGGAGTTCTCCATCCAGAAGAGCACTACTAGGAGTTAAAAATCTGCTCGAAACCCCCGAGGCCTCTGCTAGAGAATTCGAAGTTGAAGTTGGCTCCTTCCGAGATGATAAAAGGATTCACATATTTACATAAGGATTCACATATTCACATTGGCTCTTTCCGAGATGAGAAAAGGATTCACATATACAAGGATTCACAAGATTCGAAGTTGAAGTTGGCTCTTTCCGAGATGAGGAAAGGATTCACATATTTATATGTAATAATCTTAGTAATGTTAAACTGTAAAATAGTTATGGTTCAATTTTATTTTTAAATTTTTTAAATTTCATTTTTATTTTATTTTTATTTTATTTATAATCATATCTAAGGTCGATTTCTCTGCTTTTATCATTAAAATTTGGGCGGCTGTGAATATCCATTTGTATTGCTATCCAAAAGGGAGACATCTGTCGAAGGAACTCCAGTAAAGTTAACCAAATCATAAATGATTAGATGAAGGATTTCGAACAACAGTGGAGCAGGTAAAGAAATTTGGATATATTCGACTTATAGAATTGTTGGTAATAAGTTAAATGCTTCTCGGTTGCCTTAAGAGAGCTTAAAAGAAGTAGTTTTTTGAAACGGCATCAGTGTCGGTGATTACTTTAATGACTGTTTTAAATTTAAAACAACAACCAACAATCGAATTGTTTATTTTAAGAAAATTATCTTTAAACTCTCCTTTATCATAATTCAATAATCATAAAATTTATGAAAAAATTTTGATAAAAAATTGCCTGAAAAAATTCTTTGTTTTTCGTTTGTTTGCAGCGAAAGAATATCATTAATTGAATAAGAAGTTATTTTTTTCGTCGAAGAATGATTAATAATCGGTGTGAACAGATTCGGAAAAGGCATAAATGGAAAAAATATTGTTGGTACCATAGGCATATGTGAAGTTGAATGTGAACTTATGCTAGCGGTATTGGGAGGACTAGCAGCAGTCGGTAGCGAATACGATGATGACATCCTTGATCAAGAAAGAAAGTTTTATTCGCTTAAAAGAGCACACACAGACACAAACGCACATGCACACCACTTAATCAGTAATCGAGAAGATTGCTAAACAGGCTTAATCACTCACTATTCATATATTTCCACTGAATTCGTCACTATCAAATATATTTCAATGAATACTCAAAGAAGTTGAGATTTTTTCAAAAATTTTCACTCGTTCGACCACTCTTTATTAAAATTTGGAATTTTAGCAAATTAACTAATTAAGTTAATAAATGATGATATAAATGAATGTTAATAAATGAAATGATGATAAATGATATAAATAATTTTAAATGATTATTTGAAGAAAATTTTTACACAATATGAACTAATCTTTAAATGAATTGATCATTTCACAGGAAGAAATTGTCATAAAATAATGGGGACCATTTCTAAATTCAAGGCCTTCTGGCCATAAACACTCGACTACGGTACCACAACTATGAATGAACAGCAGATTTTACGATTGCGGTATTTAAGAGCAATAAACTGTTGTTGAACTAAAGGTATTATGAGATTACTAGCCATTTTCTTGGCCATTAAAACTTTTTCGAGGCCTCAAGCGTAGTTATATAAGAGAATATGGAAGATGCGATGCTGAGAAAACATGGCAAGGCCTAAGAGGCCTACGAAACCAGCATAAAAGTATGTGGGAAGGAATATCAAGTCAGCATAAGGTTTTGAAATGATAAAAAGATAAATGACTGGCGGTTAGCGCTTATTTGGCCAAAATCCAGTGTCAGCCACGAGACCACATTTAATTTTTCGGTTCCATTTTTTCCCTTTTTTGCATTTGTTTCGGTTATCCTCCCAATTTTTCTTCACAAGGAACTTATAAAACCCATCTCGCATCTGAAATATGTAATCTTCGTTCATCTGCGCACTTTTCAGAGGTGATATCATTTGATATCATTTTGATAACAATTTAGTTGCGTTTCCGACAACTGCAGTTACATGTTCATCAAAATAGCAATAACCACCAACAGATTTTTTGATTTTTAAAATTTGTCAACTTCGGATTCTTCTATTCTTCTATTGTTTAGGAACATTTTCCAATGTTTTTCCATTAGTAAACGTTGAATTAAAGGAAAACTCTCCAAATTTCGCGCTCTTCTATCACTCGCCAGTTGAGTGAGCAATAAAATAATTCGCCAAGTTCGGGCTCTTGCAACTTTTCATCGGCGTTCAACTTTCCATTAAGAGACGTCCAATTCCACCGCTCGCTCGTTTAACAACAATTGGAAGCTATTTGAATTTTTGTTTGAAGGATATAATCGACTTTTGGCAAAAAGACATCCAGCAAAAGACCCATTTGTTTCTTTTTTCAGATTCCTTTTCACTTTGATGTCATTTTTTCCGCCATTTCATCTCCTTTGCAGCACTTCCTCAGCGACATTGCTTGTTTGCTTCCGCATCCTCAGCCACCCTTTACTATCCTTTAACCATAAATCCTTTGCCCACTTTTGCACCTTCTCCTATTATTTATTTTTTGTCTATACCAACCTAATTTATAAGCACTAAATAAAGTCTGACATATAGTTATTCTATCTTACAGCTATTGCGTTCGATATTTACCTATTTTGCAGCTTCAGTCGATAGGACGCCTGTTCCGTGAAACGGAAAAATTTTCTAGTTTTGTTATGTACAATATTTCACCGAAGAGTGCAGCATTACTAATGCGAAGGAGGGGTTATTTATTATTATTGTTCAATCGTTATGTCAGTAAAATAATTAAGTCACGAGGCAGTTGTAAAGAATTTGATTTGTCATTGTACAAACCTGGTTCGTCTCGTTTTTTAGTTTACAAAAATTTCATATTTCGGTTTTATTTTTTGCTGAAATTTTGCTCGAAATTTATTCTGAAATCTTAGTGGACATCGCTTAAATTAAACAGCGAAATTAAATAAATAAATTTAATTGAATAAATTAAATTAAATAATTAAATAAATCAAATTTTCTTCGGATTTGAAAACTTATTTTTTCGTTTTTTTAAAAAATGCATTCTTTTGTTTGAAGAGAAAATTCGAAATTTCGGCATTGTCGCCCATGTGGACCATGGAAAAAGTACGCTGGCCGACCGAATATTAGAGTCAGCTGGTATTTTCGATTCGGAACATGAGAGTCAAATTTTGGATACTCTTCAGGTTTGCTTTATTTTTTCACGTGATTTTTAAAGGGCTCAGATTTGAATGCTAAGTTTTGTGCCACTTTACGCCTAAATATGATTGTTTTTTGTGGATATAAAATAAAGCACAAATTTGTTTTAAAAGCTATTAAAACCTGTGTAATTATAAAGATCAAAATCTTGTCGATTTCATTTAAAAGTCTTGCTAAAACTTCATTTTTATTTTTTAAACTTTTTGCTTCCACAAAAGTATTTCAGGTTGAACGTGAACGAGGAATAACCGTAAAAGCTCAAACTTGCACGATGATTTATAAAGTTAGTTGTTGGTTCTTTTCAATTTTAAAAGATGACAGCTAAAAAAAATTTTTTTTTGATATCTTATGAAATATTTCAAGCAACTGATTTTTTAAAAATATTTTTGTGAAGGGGTTTGCTTTTGTAGGATCATTTGCTAAATCTTATCGATACCCCAGGCCATGTTGATTTCAATTATGAAGTATGTCGTTCACTTGCGGTTTCTGACGGAATTTTATTTATTGTTGCTGCTAATCAGGTTAGGTGAGCGAATATTTTTCTATTCTTTTTTATCAATTTGTAAAAAAATACCGAATTTGATTCAGCTCGAATTTTATTGTCGTAATTTGTTAAATATTTGGTATTTTAGGGCATTCAAGCTCAAACTGTCACCAATTTTTGGTTGGCTTTCGAAAGGGATGTCACCATTATTCCTATCATTAACAAAATTGATATGAAAGATGTCGACTTAGAATTGGTCAGTTTTCTTATTAATTAAAAATTGATTATTACCATTAATTTTGCATTTGCTTAAACCATTTTGTTATTTCATAGGATGATTAAAAATACAACAAAATTCAGGTGAAGAAACAGATGATAAATCTTTTCGAATTCAATTTGTCTGATTTTCTTTTAATTTCTGCCAAGTATAGAACGAACATTCCTTTACTGTTGGATGCTATTATAGAAAGGTTTGAATGCATTTTTATATGCAAAAAAAACTGATTTATTTTCTTATTTGTATTTCTATTGTAAAATAAGTTTTTTGAAGATGCAATTGTTAGATTCCAAATAAAACTGAGTCATATTTTAGAGTCCCTTGTCCTAAAGTGGATTATAACGCTCCATTTCGATCCTTAATTTTTGATTCTTGGTATGATAAATATATTGGTGCTATTGTCTTAGTGCTAGTCAAAGAAGGATCTGTTACTCGAGGACAGAAGATTTCTTCGTTTTTAAATAAGAAGGAATATGAGGTTCATGAAGTTGGAATTATGCATCCAAATATGTTACCTGTTGAAGTTAGTTGCATATATGTATACATGCTTTTATATACGAATTGTATGCATAAATTGAACTGTTTTTCAGTCACTATATGCCGGTCAAATTGGTTATATTGTAACAAGAATGACTTCAGTGAAGGAAGCCGCTGTTGGTGACACGTTGTTCGATTATTCTTCGAAAGCAGTTATAGTGCCTGTATCTGGGTTTAAGCCAGCAAAACCTACTATATATTCTGGTTTATTTCCAGTTGATGGCAATGATTATGATTCCTTGAAGCAAGCTGTGGAACGGTTGGCATTAAATGATCCATCAGTATCTATATCAGGAGATTCGAGTCCAGCTCTGGGTCTTGGTTGGAGAATAGGATTTTCAGGAATGTTACACATGGAGGTTGGTGCTTTGAAAAAAAAATGGAATTCAATATTAACTTTAACCTTCATATATATAGTTTATATTTTTATCGGATATATTTTTTAGGTATTTGGTGCACGTTTAGAACAAGAACACAAAGCAAATGTCATTTTAACTTATCCTAGCATTGAATTTCGTGCAATTATAAAAGACAATCAAACTGTTCGTAAAAAAAGGTTTTGATTAGCACTTCTCACTTTTCTTTTATTTTTTCATTATTTTACTTACCTTTTCTCCACTTTTTTTTCAATTTTTACTAATAAGTTTTCACATTCCATTATTCTGATCCATTTATAACTAATTGATCATTAAATTACTTAATTATACCTCTAATTATTTCTTTTTTGTATAATCATTATTTACATCGAGTGAATATTCCAGATATGAAGGAAAGAGTGAAATTAGCGTTGTAGATGCTTCAAAATTTCCTGATCCATCAGATGTTGAAAAATTTCTTCAACCAATGGTGAAACTTACTATAATTATGCCTTGTAAATATTTATGGCCAGTAAAATCATTATGTAAACAAGCTAATGGCGTTTTTAATGAAGTGAGTTACATTGATGAAACTCGAGTAATGCTTCAGTCGCATTTGCCTCTTGCCAAAGTTATTGTTGGATTTTTCGAAGACTTGAAACGAATAACAAGGTTAGTTTTTTTATTTCTTTACGAAGTTTGTCAGTTTTTTCTTTTTTTGATCCTTTCCTCCATGTTCTTTTTCTATCATTGTTCAGAAAAACATTTTTTCAAAATCAACTTTTTTCAACTTTTTTGAAGTTTTTTGAACAATAAAATTAATGTTCTTCTAATTCGCTATTTAGTGGTTTTGCTTCTTTCGATTACGAGCATGATGGATACGAGGAAGTAAATCTTATTAAATTAGTTATATCCATTAATGATAAACCAGTCGATGAGTTTTCCCAAGTTTTAATAGCATCACAAGCAAAAAATCGTGCGCAATTAATTGTTCAACATTTAAAAAAAGTATTTAGAAAATAAACTTTTCATAAACTTAAATAAATAAACTTTAATAAATAAACTTAAATAATAAATAAACTTTAATTAAATTTTAATTATTAAATGAAAATTTTTCTTGTTTTTATTTTCTAATAACTGTTTTCTTAAAGTAATATTATCATCATCTTGATCACTAAGTTTATTGTTTGTTTTTTTTTCTTTTTATATTCAGGAAATACCTCGACAACAGTTCGAAGTTATTATTAAAGCAACGATTGGAACTTCATCGAAAATAATTGCTCAAGCACGTATTTCTCCTATAAAAAAAGATTTCACACAAACTCTCAAAGGCAATTTCGGAGGTTTAAGTGATTTTCTTTTTTGTTGCAATTTTTGCGAGTGGTCTCGGATAAAAGAAAATTTTCCATCTATAATTAATTAATTTAAATGTGAGAAATTTAGGAGGTGGAGATCGATTTAAGAAAAAACTTGCTGATCAAAAGGATGGAAAAGCTCGATTGAAACTCCTTGGAAAAGTAGCAATTCCAAAGGAAGCATTTATTAATTTTTTAAAAAATTAAATCTTTCCTTATTTCCCATTGAGAATTTCTTTCCTTATTTCCCATTGAGAATTTCTTTCCTTATTTCCCATTGTTGTTCAATCTTTCAAAAATATTCCCACTTTTACATCTTTTAAGCGTATAAGAATGGTCAAAGTCAGTGGTTTTCTGTTAATTGCAGCGAGATAGGTGTAAATTTTCGTTTTAAAGCTGATTGCACAAATTTTTTTGACAGAAGAAACCTGATTATAGTTATGCGGGCTGGAATTTGGCTTTTTGCTTGGTTTATTAAGCATGGCTGTTAATACAATACTTGTTCAATAATTGCTAAAGAAGTAATTCATCAGCCTCTGTTTTGCAAAGAATTTTCATTTACGTTTATTCATTTTGAAAGCCAATTTTCGTTGCAGTTATCGATATACTCTTTAACATTTCTTTAATCCTTTATAAGTTTAGTGAAAAGAATAATATCAGCATATTCGCCCTAAAATAAATAATAATTTCTATAAAATAAATATAATTTTTACATAACGAATAAATATAATTTTTACATAACGAATTTAACTTTTACGTACAGTATTCAAAAAGTTTTATCACTTCTCCTTATGTATTTGCTAATTAAATATGTGAATATTTTTCTTTCACCATTATGTTGCATGACCTTCCAACTTGTCAAGCTATCACGTTAAAGCTCGTAATTAAAAAAATTGCTCTTTGTTTGCTTTTTGCTGATTTGTATGCTTTTGTTTTCTGACTGAATAAAATATTTTCTTGGTGAAAGTGAAAAATTGATTAACTTTAGATTGCAAAAAATTTTCATTTCTGAACCATAAAAACTGAAACCAAATGAAACTGCAGTCGAATTTTTTTCGTTCTGATAGTTGGCAAACGATATCGCTATAAATGCATCCTTGGTTTTGAGGTTTAGCAAAATTTTAAGTCTTGCAGGAGAAATGTGTAAATTTTTTTTAATTTTGTGAGATTCTCGCAGAGATATTTGTTTTGTTTCAGCTCTGAATTATTTTTTCCTAAAAATTATTTTTTCTATTATACAAGTTTTTCGAAATTTTTTAAAAAGAGTTACGAATACAACCAGTGACAAATATTCTCTCTAGTGAATGATAATAATAATGAACGAGCGAAGAACTGATTATTAAGTTTAATTTCGTTCTAAAATATGACATTTTGCGATCGAAGAAATCAAAAAGTCTATATATTATTAAATGGAAATCTCTCAGTAGCACTCGCCATTTCTGTTTGACTACCATCATTTGCCAGTTGGAAGGCGATTCATTCGCGGTGGATGCCGCAGAAAGAAGTCGAGATGGGATAAGTCTAAATTCCAGCATCATTCAAATTTCACTTTTAGTTACAGCTTTACAGCCATCAGATGATAAGAGTCGAATCCATGACGTCCAAGATTATTCGTGAATCCGCTATCAGCAAACCAATCATTATAACCAATTATTTCCCCGTTAGAAGTATTTTTTTATTGAATGGGATTTTTAAGGCAAATAAAGAGGATTCTGTCCAGTAAATTTCTAAAATTAAATCTTTAAAATGTTATTTTATTAAAGGAAAAAAGAAATTTAAAAAATTTAAAATCAAATGGGCAATTTCGAAAGAAAAATAAATGCACGCGGTTCCTTGTTTATTAAGCCGAATGTCCCATTAGCATTTATAATCCTCGAAAATATTTTTCACATTATATCGGTTTAGCATTTTCTTCATTTCAACATCAATAATCCGTCAAACTATTCCGATATTAACGATTTTATTTCCGAAGTTCTCTTTCAAGCTGTAAATAACTTAGCGCCTATAGTAAACCTCGGCTTCATATTGCCTTAAAATTAGTAATCTTTCAGTATTCATTTATATGCTGGCGTAGTTCTATGGAGCTAATTGTATTTCAGTTTTCAAGTGCCCCTCTGGTGAAAGAGATTTATCGTAAAGACAAAGGGAGTGAAAGGTACTGACAATGGTGCTCCGTTAGAAGAAGAGATCCACCAATCCATTAAATCCTTCGTTTTCCAAGGATTCGCTCGCTTGATTGCGAGCGAAAAAACATGAAAAGAGAAATGCTTTTAAATGAAATTGCTTCACCTTTTTTCTGAGGAATGTGAGTGTTAAAAATATTTTGACGAGCAAGCATCTTCCAAAATATTTTCCGCCCGATTGAAGTCGATAATATCCACTGCAGCGTACCGATCCGACCGCCTTTAGCATTCATTCTTCGTCTTCGCTATTTGATTTCGAATGGCTGCTGCTGATTCTCATCGATGCTTTAATACGCTTCGTTCCATCGTCTTCTTGCTTAATCTTTTTTTCTGGGTTAGTTAGCATTTTCAGTATATTTTTTACATAAATTTTTCACCGTGAAATTTTTCATTTGACCGATCAATTAACGAGTGAAAGTCGAATAATTTAAAGGCTAAATGACTTTTTTGTGGACGATTGCTTAGGAGAGTGGGGAAATTCTAAATTGGCGCTTCTTTCTACGACTCTCGCATTCGCACTTTTGCTTCTTAGTTTTCCCACTTCCCACTTTCTGGATTTGCTTGTGACAAATGGTGAATACTTCAGTATTACGGTAACGTCTCAGTTATGGTCACTTCGTTCATTCATTCATTTGCATAATTCTATTTATCAATTAATTTTGTTTCGAATTGTTAATTGTTTCTGCACTAATTTTATAATTAGTTTTCTATTATTCATTCTTATAAAAATAGTTTTAATTGTTTTACAAGCGTACTTCTTTAAATAAACTTTGACGAATAAAAAAGTCGAAGTGATCGGCGAGGCGCGTTTTTTTCTATAAAATAACCGTATTTGAGCGAAATTCGGAAGTTATATAAGTAGTTTTTTGCTTAAAATTTAATAATAATTCGATAGTTATAAACGAATTGTATTCGAATAAGAAAATGAGTAATTCGATTTAATAAAATTCCGAAGTTAAAAAATTTTTTTGAAGAAAAATTCTAAGAGATAATTAAGAAAATTTTTTATTTTAGTGTAATAAAAGTGTAATAAGATTTTGATTTCATTAATCAATGTTGCACTCATTGATTAATTAATTAATTAATCGACAATTCAATAACTTTTTATTCCATTAAAACATAAAATTGGATTTAAATTCCTAAAAAATCTTGCTGCTTTGCCCAAACTGCTTTTAATTGCGACAATCGTCCGCCGTGTCATTCCTTATCATTTCTTTTCAATCTTAACACTTATCAAAGCTATCTGCTTATCAATTTTTTCCATGTCCCTTCTCTCCATAACCATACCGCTAATTCGTTAGCAATTGTTCATTGGTTATATTGGAAATATGATGATTAGAGCCAAAGCCTGTACGAGAATCCCTTTGATTTCACCTTCAATCAAAAAATTGAAATCGAAGAGTGATGGTTCCGAAAAATGCGAGACGATTATAAGTATTGTGTACTATGTCTTTCCTTCCGCTATCGTGGAATTAGAGAATTCTTTCATGGGCTGTACATTAAAATTTAATTTAAAGGCTGTTGTTATTCTACTGATTTGTTACTCTACTGATCATTCATAAATTTACGCCAATGGCCAAAAATTTACACTAACACTTCGCTGAAGATTTACCTGACGTCAAAAAAGCTTTGGCTTAAAAAAGCCAGAATTATAGAGACTGAGGATTTTTATCAATAAAATCTTCAGCCTTCATGAAAGGAGTGATGAAAGCTGTGGCCATAAAAAGTAAATTCCATTCATTTGGTGAAATCAAAACAGCCAGGATCGCTTAAAAATTACTTGATGCTTGGCGACAATTATTATGACACTGAATGATGTATGTGACTTTACCTCAGTCATAAAGCATTTCTAGCATACACTGAAATTTTCTTTCTTAATCTTAAGAGCATTAAATCGCTTGAAATCACAGTAGCTTTTCTTGATGGAAAATGGTAGTAGTTCTTTATTTGTAGAAATATGGCTTGATATTTTAAGCTATGGTTGTAATCATAAAATTTAAAAATTATCATATATCGCCACTTTTCTAAAAAGTCTGTTGGATATATCTCGCTCTGCTGTATGATTGATGTGACATATACAAGCAGGCTTATAGGCTTGGCTTGTTTGCAATATTTTCTATATTGAACAAATTATCTTGGGGCAAATAATTTTATCAGCATGGTTTCCTAGCTAATCTTTGTGATCAGCCAATGCCTTTAAATCATGGCCAAATAATCAGCTGAGGCCTTTGATACTGGCCAGTTGTTGAAACTAATGATAACAGTCATTAAGAATGCCATTATAGCCATTTACTTCTTTTATTGTTGATCATTTATATAATTAATATTTTTTGCTGTTTTTCTTTATGATTGTAAATTTTACTGTACTGTTTACATAATCAGATGATTTATCTGCTTAGCCGTAAGTCAATTTCGCGATAAAAAAATCACATTATTTATCAAAAGGTGCAAAATTCTAAATCATAAAATTTAACTTGAAATTATCTAACTTTTGTTTTCATCGAGAAAGTATATATAAGTACAGCGACATGTCAGATAATATCGCAGATTTAGGTTCGGTAATCGATAATAATCCTTATTTTGATCCCTATAGTCGGATACTAATAGTTAAGAAATCGTCTTAAATATTAGACTAGTTGTTCAAGCCTTTCAAAAATATGTCGTAGGTCGTCTCCACTCTTAGGATAATAATGGATGAGTCAAGGTAATTTTTATAAACTCAGCAAACATTTCCTATTTTCTTCAGACGCTAACTGTAGGTGAAAAATCAGAATCTAAACTTATTAAGGATTAGGAAAATTAAACAGATTCTGATTTATACTTATAAGCTAATGGAATATAATCGCTAATGGATTGAAAATATGTAAAACTATATGCAAAACAAAATTATGAAATTTCTCAAAATTTGTTTTTTCGAAGCATTAAATATTAAAACCGATTGCCTTCCATTTGCACCACACAACTTTAGGAAAAAACTGGCTAGAATCATGCACACATTATTTAGCACATTTATCTCACTCCATTATGGCCTAAAATGTTTTTCTTATGACGCTTTTTCAATGCGAAACATTCGAGCAGTTTTATAAATCGTCCAAAGATAGCTAAATTTCTGAAATTAACAAATTAAATGCCTTTATAAAGGAATTATAATTAACCTTATTAATCTCGCATTATCCACTATTTTTAATTAAGCACATCGCTATGTTCTGTTCGATTTTTTTTGTTCAAATTTAGCAAAAAAATAAATCTAACAAAATTCTGTTTGCTTGTTCTCGTCGGAATCGCTTCGCTTTTGGGCATTTTCCGTTCTCTTTGGCTTTGGCCTTCGCTACACCAATGTTGTAATCTTGCATTTATCATTCATCATAAATGTGCATAAAATGATAAAGCGAAATTTTCATATTGAATATTCACTTGCTTTCCAATAAAATTTAAGAGTTTGATAGATATGTAACATGAAATTTTATTGTTGAATCAATATTTTAATTTTATAAAATGCTCAAAAAAAAATTTGCTTCAATAAAATAAATTTTGGTTGAAAGAAAAGTGTGAGCAATGTAAACGAGAATTGCTCTCGATAAAAAGTTTATGTTTTCAATTAGGCTGATTGGTTTCGAAAGAAGTACTGTAAACATAACTTGGCTTCTTGCAAAGATTTCTGTTGACTTAAAGCGAACACCCTGGATTCGATTCTTATTTCTTGATGGAGTAACTCTCATTAAAAATGAAATCCCGCCGAGCCATTTCCAGCTCTGTCTCCAAGCGATTCTCTCAAAAATCTCTAACACCATAGCACTCATTGAAGGGAAGGGAGCCGAGAGGAATCACTTTCAGAAGGCGAAAAAAATACTTCCAATAGCACATAATAGAATATTTTTTGGTAATTATAAATGAATGTTGTGGTACTTTAGATATTGCTTTTTCGGCTTGAAAACGTGAGAAAGCAGTAAATGAAATAACTAAAGAAACCAGAAAAAATTCCTCTCGAGGATCTCATTAGCTTTCAGTCATTCAAATAAATTGTTTTTTTCGAATGTTTTCAGTTGAAATTGTAAGTAAAACTTTATCTTTACTTAGTGAACATATTTTTAGCTAACATGTGAAAATAAAAACTGACCTGAAAGCATTTATCGAAATCAATAAGAAGTTTGTTTTAAGGTTTAGTGGTGTTTTGAGTTTTTCACTTACTATTTTTCACACAATATTTCCCAAATTATGTATTGGAAATAGAATTTGTGCAAAGAAAAAGGGTATGTTCGGAAAGGTATGCAAAAAACTAGCTCCGTTAAGTTTTATTCCCAGATCGAAGATAAATTTAAGATAAAAGCGATACTCGAATTTACGACACACTTTTTGAAACAAAGAAGGCAATATGGCCCCGAGTGGCGGATTGCTTAGAACACCGCTTCAAGCGCCCAGTTTCGTCCATGACTGAAGTAAAAAAGGCTGTTAAAAAGTTGCGATACGGCGAATAATTAAAAAGGGCAAAGAGCTCGTCAAAAAATGTATTTTGAAATAGAGAACAAATGAGTTTATTTTTACTTTATAAATTATAAAGTAAAAATCGAAATGATTACTGCAATTTAGTTAACTGGTTTGGTTATATTTGGAATTGGATTATGGTTGAGGTTTGATCCGGCAATATCAGAATTTATTGCATTACATGGAGGATCGGACAATTTCCATATAGTTTGTTACCTACTGATTATTGCCGGTGCCATTATGAGTTTTATTGGTTTTCTTGGATGTTGTGGAGCCTGGCGTTTAAATCAAGGAATGCTTATCGCTGTAAGTTCTTTCTCTTAATTTTCTTACTCTTATTCACTGAGCTAATATGCAATAAATGCTGATTCCTATTTGGTTTCCTTGCTGAGAGCGAATCTTTCATTAAAGTGGAATTCGAGTGAGTGTTGTCGACAACCCATCTACATTTCTCTTCTCCATTCGATCCGAAATCCTTGGTTTTAGTCCAGAAATAGTGCTATTAGAAAGAAATTCACGAAATAAATTCGCGAGAAAATTTAGCCAAAAGAGTTGTTATTTAACATATTTACTTCGAAGCTTAGTTTAAAAACAAATATTTAATAAAAATTTATTATTAGCAACTGCTTGAAGGAAAAAAAAGAAGTATTAGACTTGCAAGCTGAATGCATCACAAACACACAACACACTTTTAAGACGCCATCTGTTGTGGTCAATCACCGCATTAGAACCTGTTTAATCACCAGTTAATTACCAGTTAATCATCAGTTAAACATCAGTTAACATCACTTGCTATATTCGTCTCAGTTGCTAATAATAAATTCATTTTCATTCAATTTGTAAATTTTTTTATTCGTTCTCGTAAAAAGAATGAAGAATAGCGATGTAAATCTATGAAAAGAATTGGTGGACCTCGTTAGCATCCAACTGCTGCTTAGCCATTATGTATGAACCTCTTTGTATTTGCTTCTTTTTTTGGGAGAATCTGGATTGGACGGGAAAAAAATTACTTTTTAAAAGAAGGAATTTTCAGTTCTTTATTATTCTAATAATAGTATTTTGTCTACAATTGGCGTGCGCAGTTGTCGCATATACCCAACAAGATTTTATACGACGTTATATTGATAATTCGATGTATGAAGCGATACAAGAATATTATGCAATTAATCCACAGTACAGAGATACCTTTGACAGAATACAGAATGAAGTAAGAAATTTTTGTAAAAACTTTATGGATTTTATGGGTTTTTTATATGGATGGACGGGTTAAGAGTCCTCGCCATTACTGGTTAAACTCGCTCCACTGATTTGTCGCACTGTACAAATATACCAGAGAGTCCTTTGGCGATAGAAGTAGAGATAAGTTGTCAGCATCACTCGGATTTCTGGACAGGTTTTTAGCAACAACCCATTGAGCCATTCTATCCCAATGTGCACGAGTAATAAATAATAAATTTTAAAATTCCCAAAATTCTGAGACTCCCGTCCGCAATCACAAAATGTTTTTATAATGTTCATCTTTCCATCGCAAACTTTTAGAAACCCGGACTTTTTCCAAAATTTTTAAGTTTCAATGTTGCGGTGTAAAATCGTATCGCGATTGGTTATATTCATCATGGAATCGCGATGTAGTCGGACATAATGAATTGGGCATCGGTCATTCGTCTATTGGTAAAGTACCTAAATCGTGTTGTAATGAGGAAGGACTTCGAGATTACCCAACTAATTGTGGAATTAGTTTCGACAAGCTCGAATTATGGACATACGAACCTTTCTTAAACACTAAGGTTCCACCTTTCACGATCATCACAAACAGATCTTTGAATTTGACGAAATTTAAGAAAGCATTTCTGGATGATTTTTTTGGTCCCATACTGGATCGTTCTTCTTCTAAAAAAGTGATTTCAGGGCTGCAGCGATGCATTATATGATTCCACATATAATAATTTAAATTTGGCCATAGCGATCAGCGTCATTGTCGGTATTTTTCAGGTAATTTTTATTATACCTACTTTATGGAATTTCTCTTAGTAAAAGTAAAACTCATATTTGCTTCATTCTGCTTCTGTTGTCTGCAGCGTTCGTTTTCTTTCTGGCTTGGCTTATTCCTCTGTTTATCAGGATAATACTGCTTCGTCAAGGAGCCATTTGGGGATAATTTAATCAGATCCAAAAATTTAATTTAAATGTATTTTCAGCTAATTGGGATGTTTTTATCGATGTTATTGTGCTGTTGGATCAACACGAAATCGCATCGAAAGACGAGCAATTTTTAGCCGATTTTATTAGTCATATTTATTTATATTATTCATCTAAAAAATGTACTTATTTGTAAAAATATTTGTAATTATTTCAACTGTAAATTAATAAATTTTTTTTCTCCAAAATTCCCTTCTTCTTCGTTAAAAAAGAAGCAAAAAAATGCTTTCTTAAATTTTCACCGTAAATCACTACAATCAGCATTATCGAATATTTGCCTAATTCATGCTTCAAATTTCAAACGTTAAAAAAATACGTTAAAAACACCGCTGTAGCCCTCCAGTGGACTACCAAATCCCTTCTAAGCCTTTTGTTATAAACCACTAAATCTTTCTAAAAGCCCATCGTATTCCCTCTGGAATCTCTGCCCACCACGTCGATGTACTATAAAACGATTTAATTTAGTGAAAAACTTTCTGGGCAAACATTCTCGCTGTACTCCTTTGCCAGTGATGCCAACGATTAAGCACCATCTCCACTTTGCCATTAATTTGGCAAATCAGACTCGAACGCACCATCCATTTCCACTTTGCTCCCTTAACAGCCCATCAAGCCTCGCAGCTTTCTGCGGCTGTGGAGAGCGCAACCTACAACTTTGCAACGACTAACTGCAAGATGGATTACCAACGATTTTACCAGTAATTGGAATGTTCGACGAACTCTTATTTCGCCCGCAAATTATAATATCAGAAATATCCCGTACGACTCGACATTGTTCTTTATTTTCATTTCATGCATCATCAGTACCGATTTCTCTTGTATTATCAAATGCTAATCATCCGATAACAGAAAAATATTTGAACGCATTCTTTTCTAAACACAAATCCCCATTTTCAACTTTTAATACATTCTTTATGAAAAAATTTAAAAGAAATATTTGTAGAAATGATTGAAAAAATTTTGAACAAATATTTTATTGACGAAAAAAATTCAAGTATACAACAAGTCGAACGACGACTAGAAGAGAATTAATAAAAATGATAATAATAAGAGAGTGTGCTAAAATATTTTTAAATGTTCATTAATACTTAAAATTTCTATTTTGCTTTCCATCACTTTAAAGCAAACGTTTTCAGAAAGAAAAATCGGCAAATTTTTTTTGTAAAAATATAGATATCAAAATGAATAATAAAAGAATTCTCAAATGAAATATTTAAAACACAAAAACAAGCAAAATCAAAAATAATAAACTAGCAAAAAGTCGTCTAAATTTTACATTATTTCCATTTCAAGTAAAGCCAATTTATCTTTTTTCTATAAATGAAAGACCTTCCTTATTTACTTTTCGTTCTAAATGAACAATAAACGCTGAACTCAAAAAAATGAATGGCAACGCCACTGATAAAATAAAAAACCCATTAAAGGCAAAAAAAAGAGAAAAACAAAAAAATTAGCATAAAAAACTCTGAAACAATTTTACGAAAAATTTATAAAAAAATAACAATAAATTTCTTAAATAAGAATAAAAAACCGATTCATACAATTTCATTCATTTTATTCATTCAAAAAAAGATATGAAAGATAAAAAGAAAAGATATTTCTATTAAATAAAATGCATTAACAATTAAAATTCATTAAAATACTTAGAAAACTTTTCTGTGGTAATTGATAATATTAAACATCTGTAATACATCGAAAAACAAAAATTTTCGAATTAATGAAAAAAAAATTCTAATTGTTATTCAGTTCTTGTTCTTTTTAAACCGAAAAATTTCGAATAAAAAACGAAATGTAGCCTTAAGGCTAATAAAAATTGGAAAAAAATACTATCAAAAAATATTTCAGAAATATCACCAATTTCTAAAGTTATAAAAGAAATATTAACGAAAAAAATACGACTTAATGCAAATGTTTTTTTCCATGTTTTTTTTTTAACTTAATTTTCCTTATAGAATTTATACTGTTTTTCACAGCAATATCTATCTTTAAACCTGAAATATCTGTAAATTATTTATTTTTAATCCATTTCAGGATGAAAAAATCCTTGAGAGGATATCAATAAAAATAAAAATGATAATTGGATGATGATAAACCAAACCGGTAAAGAACCGAGTAAATTCAATATTGTTACTTAGGCAGAATATAATACCTATTCGTTTTTCTCCTCTCTTCATGAATTGCTTCTAACAGAACGAATTCTATGGAAGTAATCAATTTTAAAAAATTCATAACATAACAAAAATTAATTTTAACAGATCAGTTAACTAATCAAATAGCATCAGAATTCTAGAAAATTGATAAAAATGTTTTATAAATAAATAAGTACTGAATAAGTGTCAAAAATATTTTCCAATATTTTTTAAGAGATAAAACAACAGAAAATGAAGACAACCATCATCGTAAATCAAAAAGTAAATTATACCAACAGATGAACGTACAAAAAAATTTCATTTTCCAGCACAAAACAATACGAGAATGATAACGAAATTTTTATAAATCTCAGCTATCAACTAAAAAAAATATTCATTAAGCATTTCTCTTAATTTTGCTTTCCATTAATCAACCTTCCCAATCCATTCTCATAGCTTGCGATTTAGAAATTCGAACCACGAGATTAGAAATTTAACGGCATATCATTAAAATAGTAGCATTCTCTCAAAGATATATTTCTTCAGTGATATGCTTCTCAAATCTCGTTTCTTCCTTCTTTCTTTTTTCCTCTCTTATAATAATGATGATAAAGACAATAATCAAATGGAAAATAAAAGATGAAATGAAATCAAATGAAATCGACAAAACAACTCCAATGAATATTTAAAAAATTTTAAAATTTTAAAAATGCGTTTTAAAAATGAATTGCACTCACCATTTCAGTCCCATTATTTTGTATAGATTTTGATATAAAGATCGTCAATCACACAAATGCCATTGGTTAATGTGGTATCAACATTAAAGTTCCTTAACTAGGCTTTCAAAAAAAAGGACTGCCTTTTTAGATACTTTTCACTTGAAAAACAGCGAAGCACCATCACAATATCACTCTCAATGGCACTAATTTGAATCGATTTTACCAAATAAAAAATTTACTAATACAACAAACTTCACCATGGGCTATAAATGCAACAAATCCTTTATAATTTTAAAACATTAACTTTCTTATTTCTTGGTCCTTATAATCATAACTTAGCTCAAGATATATCTAATAAAAACCAATATCTTGAAAGAACGATTAGAAAGGTTGTTTCAATAGAGTGAATTCCTTCGATATAGATATATGTGCCGAGGAAAACAATACCCTATTATTTATCAATATTTTGACATTTGAAATAATTTTATTCCGTATGAAATGAAGTGCATTTAATCACAAATAAACTGATATTTACAGGTGGATTTTCACCTCTGAATCTTAAATTATCGACAATAGTGAAGAAAAGTGATGATTCAATAATTGGAATATTCTTTTTTTTACAACTATTAGATTTAAATTTGGGCACTTGTGAGCTGTCTGAAAGTTTATTCAAAACTTCATTACAATACAAATTATGACAATTCAATGGTGGGAGAATGCCTAACAAAAGGATCCATAAACGAAAAAGAATAAGAAAAGTCAGCCAATCAGACAACTCACAAATTGATCATTTCGCTAAATACAAGGTATTCAATGATGGCATTATAACATTATCATGTGGATATAAGGCAATGGAAGCACTTTTGACCCACGCAAAAATCATCGCCTCCACTATCCACCATCTAATCTAACATTCCTATTACCTTTACGTCTAGACTCGAGTAGAACCAAACTTATTTACTAAATTTATTTTTTAACAAAATGCGTAAAATGACCTGCCGGCTTCACACTCGAAACAGAATTTTCTCAAAATCTGCATCCATTCATATTACTGATCTACGATACCAAAAGTGCCATATTAACTACTGAAATGAATTGATTAAAGAATATTAAAAAAGAATCGTTAAAGAAGCAAAGCACCTCAATAAAACGGATAAATAATGGACGATTCCATTCAATAACTTAAGAAAATAAATCACAATATATACGAGAGAATGTTTAAAAAATAACATCATTTACGAGGGCAATTTTATGAATAACCATCACAATCGAAACGAAAAACAACCAAAAACTGATGAAGCATAAAATAGGACTTAAAAGAACAAAAGCTGGCGCATTTGTTTTAGCTAAAGAAATTTCGAGATTTGATTGGAGCGCTAATTTGTTTTACTTACCCGTAATCAGATAATAGTTTACATCTTACAAAAAACGAAAAAAATACGGAATATTTTACCACTGAACAGGATAATCAATTAATGCACATGCCACAGAACATAAGTGTCTTTCGCGATTGAAAAAAATTTTACATAATCTGCAATTAAACACATTACGTAAAGGTGGTTAATCAATGGCATACGCAGTTGAAAATTTAAATTACTCTCCTCCCGTGATAATTATGAAGATATGAAGATAAACAGATCCCCATGAAAAATTGCAGGAAATAATTTCGAAAATTTTTCACTACTACCGTAAACCACACATGTTGAAAACATAAAAATTTAAAAATCCCTGCAAAATAACACTGGGAATACAACATTAAAAAACAATTTCGATGATTTCGCTGTATAACAAAATAATAAAATAACATTAACCACATAGCCACTGAGAAGAATCGTCAAAATAAAAGATAGTAAAATAATAATTAACATTAATCAATATAAAAATAATAAACAGCACAGGCATAAATGGGGCGATGGGGCACAGCAAAAAACCGGCGTTCCAAATGTGCCCGTTCAAACAGGAAAGAACTTTTACAATAGACCAAATATACAGGGCAAAAATGACCTTTGGGAAATAGCAAAAATTAGCATAAGAATGGTTATATATAAAAGAAAAAACGGCCAAAGCCACAGAACCCGTTAAAAAAAAAGCAATGAAGTTGAAGTTGACATATCACTTAAATTACTTCCAAGTTGAGTGTTACAGAGACCATTATCACCTACTTCTATGAATCATTTCAGAGCTAGAAGAAATAAAGAGGCATGACGATTCACATATTAATTAGCAAATATTTCGTACAAGTAATCAATATTTGGGAGAACCTATCAATCATTACGAAGTGAAATTAGTTGAATATCCTTCTTAAAAAAGAAAAATGAAATGTTGTGATGGTTATAATTTTATAATAAATGACTGATTTCTGAGATGTGCCAGTAAAGACGCACCTAAAAGGAGAAAACCCGCAGCAAATAACGCTGAGATAATAATAAATAAGCAACAAAGGATTTAGAGAAAATCTGAGATAAAGTGGATAAGAGCTTGTGGCAGACTAATCAAAAATATTGAGGATAATATTTCAAACGCACGTATTCAGCCTTTAAACGACTATACTTTTCCTAGATAAATAACAAAAGATTCTAAGTAAGATATAAGATACTGACAAAGCATGATCAGCAGCATTTCAATAAATGAAGGAAGGTTGAGTTCACTTCCAACGACATCAACGAAAAAAAACTTGAGATAACTAGTATTTCAGATCTTTACCCTTCATCCAATTCCAATTAAAATATTAATGAAGATCTATGATGATTTCATTCTATAATCTCACTGAACTTCAATTAATTCATCTAGAAAATAAAAATTTTTGAATTTCGAAATGTCACACAATCACTTTCGACAAAAGAAAAGAAGGATTTTTAATTTTAAAACAAAGCATCACTATAACTAACATCTGAAAAACAACATAGAACTGGCAATGAAAAGAAGAGATCTGAAATTTTACAGCAGACTTACAAACTCAACAATCTAAATAATACCAACATTTCATGTAAAATTGTGTTTCTTTCTTGCAAAACATTCAAATGAAAAGAAACGTGAATTAATAGGGACGACTGAGATCATCGTTATGAAAGATGTGCGGTTGCTGCATTAGATCTCCAGTTAATTGAGCGCCTCCGAACGACCATGAAAATGATGACGGATCATTTATTAAAGCTTGATTCGTTCCACCCCAAGTAGTGCTCACATTCATCGTCATTATCGGACTCCCACCAACACCACCACGCATTTTCATCAAGCGTTCTATTTCCGATTCAGAAACGATTTTTAATTGCACTGAATCAAATAAGTTTTTTTTTTTGTTTTCCTGATTTAATAAGATATATTCAAACTATAATGCTTAAAATGTATTATGATCTGATAGAATTATTTTAATAAATAATCTGCATATAGATATATTATATATAATAATAATAATATGTAAATAATTACAGACCGGTAAAAAATATAGAAATTAACTTATAAAGAAATTTAAAAAAACAAACGGTATGGAGCCTCGTTCTTCAAACGATTAATTGCTACTTCCGCAGAGTCAGTGAATTTAATATAAACAAATGGAGAACCAGGGGGACACACAAATAAATATACCCCGACTATTTTATTACACATTGCAACCATTTGCTTATCGTTCTGAAATAAATGTGAAAATAAAATGACACATAAAAATAAAATAACTCTAAATTTGAAAAACTTGTAAAATTGTACCATGCCATGAAGATGAACTGATACCCAGTTTGTTGACAAAGGCATTTGCTGATAAGAAACCATTGGAGAACGTGGGATGTTTGCCTGAGGTAATGGGGTAGGAGGCAAACGGGAGGAAAACGTTTGTCCTACAGGAGCACGCGGACGAGAAGCCCACATTTCATTAGAAAAAGCTGACGTTGGATTATTCCAACCAACATAAGGATTCTAAAATCGCAATGAAATCAAAGCCTGACAACTTAAAAAATGATGAAAACCAATAAAAAGTCTTGTCCTTTATTTGAAGAAATAATTAAAAAAATATGAAAACAAATTATTTTATTACTTTATTCGCAGTTACATCATTCACATAACTCGACTGCTTAATATTTGAGGCGGCATTCGCTTGAAGAGTTGAAGAAGATAAAAATGGGCTTGGTTTGCAATCACCAGGCTTCGCATTTGGATCTTCCGCAACCTAAAAAGAATTAAAATTAATGAAAACCCCGATAAGAAAAATATGAATGAAGATAACGCTAGTTTTCTCTGCGGAGATTATGACAAAAATCAAGTTTACCATTAGGTCATTCAAAGTCTTTCCGCGTTTTTACAGCTTATCTTTATGATCGTATATTTCTATTGCTATAACACATTCTACTGGATGATGTTGTCATATAGCTTTCGATTCCCCATGACGCTACTTTTCTTATAATAATAAAAAAGCCAAATTTGCTTCTTTTTAAATGAATTTGCGTATGAAATTTGATATGGAATATAATTTTTTTCTGGCACTTTATGATCTCAAATAAATGCACCAAGCTGCCAAGATAAAAGCATATTTTGGTGAAAATATTTCTAAATAAAGGTGCAAAAATGATTTATGAAGAGACATAAAAATCTCGAAAATCAGTGGAGGAGCTCAAATCAAAAGTATTATGAAGGTTTAGCGCAAAAGTTTGGCAAAAAGTTTCACCTCGCGCCGTGTTCAAATGTATTCATCTGCTTCCAATAAAGAAAAAGAAAATGGAAAAAGCTTGATAAGTGGGTATCCCACTAACTGACTCATATGAAAACATGTTTTGCTGTATGCTATCAATAATGACCATTTCTGGCATTAAATTTTACTCGCGATGAAAAATATATCTTTTACAACAGAAAAAAACCAGCAAAATGACTCGATGAACTTCCTCTATCCATGCCAAAACATGGTATCGGTCCGAAGAAAATTATGGTTGGTGATTTGGTGATCTATTGCAGGACTGATCCACTATAGCTTCTTAGGGCTACCTAACAAAAAAGATTCCACTATTCTACATGATAACGACAGAGCACGTTCCAAAGATTGTAGAATTTGCTGATTAAAGATCGAAATCTTTTTTCATCCACCATATTTCCCTAGGTTTCTCGTCAACAAATTTTCACTAATTTTTACAATTTTTACTTCTCAGCAACAAGGGCTAAATACTTTTAAAAATAGAGAGGATCTTGAAAATGTCTTTGAAAAAATTTACTTTTTCAAAAACTTGAATTTTCATGACAGTGGAATAAAATTCATCTGTATGACGACAACAAAAGTGAGCTTTGTAACGGCGTATATTTTTGAACAAAAATATTGATTATTGATCATTAACAATACTACGACCTACTAAATCAAAGAGAACGAAATAGAAAAACTGAACGATGTATAAACGTTAAAAATTTTCGGATAACCTAATAATTTTAATTAATCTTCCATCAAAAATTCATTTTCCCTTTTAATCAAATTAATGATGAAAAACATCAAATCAAGAATTACACCATTTATTGCATTGTTTTTCAAAATATAATTTTCATAAAACTACCTTTTTAGGATCCCGCCAAATCCACTGTTTACCAGGAACAAATTCGGGTGGGCCATTATCAACTGGAGGCGTGACATTTTCTTCTGGCGAATGAGAGCTTGAATTGGTTGTTTTATCAATACCACCTGAGCTGTCAACTTTGCTCTCCATCATGTCAACATTTCCTAAAAAACGATTTCGAAAATATGAAAGGAAATTTATACAAAAAACCATTCGAAAAAACGGGCACACACCTCTACTGGGGACCATATTTCCTGGAGTTGACCAATCCAAAGAGCCCGTTTGCCAGTTAGCTGCATCTTCCAATGACAAATTACTGGTGGAAGCCAAAAGCGATTGTAAATCGGGAATAGGAATCTTAAATGGAACATGTAGAACTTCATCATCAGAAGAAAAAATACAGAACCACAGAAAAATTTAACTCCCTTACTTTGTCCATATTTCCATCAATATTTGCTTGCTTCCACTGATTTAATCGGCTCTGTCCATCAGATGTAGTAAATTGTGTGGTTCCATTCACTGCCTGCACATTTTTTGCATGCTCACTTAAAGTTGTTTTTAGCTGTATTATATCAGCATTAATATTCTTTATTTCAAACTGTAGTCTATCCGATTCGGTCTGCAAATCATGAATGTTGTTCTAGAAAAAAAACATGATCAAAAAAAAAAATATATTGGTAGATAAAAATTAATAATTTCGTTAAAAAAATCATTTACTAGTCATTTCGATAAAAAGTACTTTTTGAGAAGGGCCCATCTGAAGCGTGTGTTGAAGATTTTTTTGAAGTTGTTGCAATTTGCCGCATTTCGAAAGCATAGTATTGATTGCAATTATTACATCTGATGTTAGTGGACGATTGAATATTGATGTATCAATGAATCCTTTCGCAACCAGTCTTCGTAGCTAAGATATAAAAATCTGTGTTAATAATATAAAGGTTATGTAGCTAAGATATAAAAATCGGTGTTAATAATATAAAGGTTATCAAAAAGTATTTTAAGAAACCATAGCTTTACCCTGTCAACAACTTGCTCAGTGTTAGTATAAAAATTATTATTGTTTGATCGAACACAGTCGATTGAATCAAGCGGCGAACTAATAGTTACCTGCAATTTTTTATTCGCCATTTTATTCATCATTTTACAGAACTAATTAATTAGTTATCTGCAATAACAGAATTTATTCAAATATACACGCTTATTTACCTTCATAAAAATTAAAAATATATTGACCTCATTTTTGTAAAAAATTTGGAAATGTAAAAATAAAGGTAATGTACAGACATAGTGAAGAAAAATATACGGAAAATAAAGTACAAATTTCCTACAAAATTCGCTATATTAATAATCTAAATACAAAATAATTTACAACATCGGAAGGTTGCTGATGGTTATTATCTGCACAGTTATCACCCTGAAATTCACTGCTATAAATAAAGGTTAGAAAAGAGCAGATAAATTCTAGCAAAATATAGCACAACAACATTCAAATTTTTCCTTATAATGGAAAAGAAAAAACATCCAACATTCGTTGAGTGATTCTGTTGCATTAATATGCATTCAAAAAACTGAAACAACATAAAAAGGATATATGGGAATTTATCTTCCTGGAATTTAAAAGGAAAATTTTCTAAGACTCTTAAAACTACAAATATTTCAATTAACGTCACACCTTTATGGAATCATTCCAGCTAGAAACCTGAGTTTGAGTTGACCATCGATCCGCTGCATCTGTAAAGCGAAGGGCTATCGTAGGTGGTGTTTTAACCCAAGTATTCGCATCCGACGGTGGTGTTATATTATTGCTTATTGGCCCTGAAGAAACTGGGATATTGCTCCAATCACCACCACTTGGAGCGGCATAAGGTACATGCGAATAATCATCCAGATCTGCTTCTTTCCATCTGCGAATTTCCTAAAAAAAATATCAAAATTCCCTAGAGAATCTTAAAATTACTATAAAAAAAAAATTTCAAAGAAATTTCAAAAAAAATATAAAAAAATACAACAAATAAACAAATCAAAAAAACTAACGGTTTGTTGTGCACTGGGATCGCCCCAAAACGAAGTACCCATATCCCTTTGTACCTTTTTTTGCTTTGGATTAGGATCATGCCACATCATATCGTTATTCATTTCAGTTGGCTGTGGTGCAACCCAAGGGCCAGGAGTCTGCGGGTTCGGATCATACTAAAATTGATTTTTATTATCTTTTCAAATGTCATACAATATTTTCTACGAATAAACATCATGAAATGAAAAAACCTGATCAACAGCCACTGGTAACCCAGGTTGACCAGGGCCCCATGAACCGCTAGGCACTCCAGGAACCAGCGCAGCAGGATGAGGTTGCCCTGAAGAACCCCACGGTGCGGCATCGTGTCTTGGATGGCCCCAATCACTGGAACCACCTGTCTGAACCGGCCATTGTCCACCTGCTGCTGCACCTATACCCCAACGATTATTAGGAGTTATATTACTCCAGTCGGCTTTCGTTTCAATGCTCGGTATTCCAGAAACGGTTGCGTTTGGATTAGCAGTATCCCACGTTGTTTGCTGAAAATAGAATTTTTTTGAAGGATATTAAAGAATGCTAAAAAAACCAGTAAAGCATCGAACATTTAAATATAAGTTTCATTTAAGCGAAATTCTAAAACTTAATAGAAATAAACTAAATTATTATTAACTTGGTCGACTTTAAGATTACTCCAAGTCTGCGGTTGATCAAATCTAGTGCTTGATGTTGCTACTTGAGCTCGCCCACAATTTGCACCCATATTCTTCTTCGCATGATCTGCATAAGTACTCGTTGTTGAATTACCAACATTTCCCCACTGAAAAAAACTGCTATATTGGAATGGAACGTAGGATATAGGTTATTTAATAAAGAAAAAATAGCAAATATCGATCTAATCCTTGCAATAATAAAAAAAGAAAGCAATGAAAAAAGGTATGAGCTTCGATAATGACATTTCACTAGGCAAAAAAATCCACTGAATGATTTTTCTCATTACTTTTCATTAAGCTTTAAAGAAAAAATAAAAATTTGAATTTTTTCCAACAATAACAAAATTAATAACAATAACGAAATTTAAATTTCAATAACAAAATTAAATTTTATAATTTTTCGAAGTAATAAATTTGTAAGCATCTAAAGCACCAGAAAATTTACAATATATCAATCTTTTCACTAATACTTACAGGAAAAGACAAGTCTGACTGCAGTGCCTACTAGATGAAAATTCTTTCATTAGCCATTCATTTCACAATTCTGATGAAAAGACACCTTTACATCTTGTTTTAAAAAATAGCAAATGATAAAACATAAATCATAAACTCCAAGAAGATAAAATAAACAAAGGTAAAAAAGGAAAATAAAGGAAAAGGTAAAAGGAAAGGAAAGCAAAAATATACTGGCTTTCGTAAATTTTAAAATATAAAAGTAATAACCGGTTGTTGGGATAAGGTAGTCCAGGTATTATGCCGCTGATGATTAGAAGGTATTGACCATGGTGTTACTGACTGATTGCTGAATTGTGCAGTTGGTGTTGAACTTGCTCCCGCTACTTGATGTTCAACCCAAGGCCGAGTGTTTCGAATGTCAGGCATACGTATATTGTTAAAAGAATGTTGACTATTCGTACCGCGACCATTAACCGTTGGCCACGCTTGAGCTTGTCCCTAGAAAAAAAATAAAAAACCTTGCGTAAATATGTCTTTTCCCAATTTTCTTTTCGGGGAAAAATCCGAAATTAATTATAATAAAAATTTATTTATCAAATAATGCCGAAGACTTGGATTCTCTTAAAAAATAATTTTTTAGTTCGCAAAATTATCAATTTTTTCTTAAAATTTAAAATATTTAAATAAAAAATTAAAGGAACTTACACCCCACGGATTCATTGTAATAATTTCTGCATTTTCGTCATTATTCCACATTTCAAGCAGAAGAAAATAAAAACCTTGCGCAATTTAACGAATAATAGTTAATTCCATCGAATATTTCACTCGTAATTCATAGCAATTTTTTTTTCAATTTTATCTGCAAATAATTTAATAAATTTTTAAACAAAGAGAAAACTGGTTTTATTAAAATTTCATCTGTAAGCTTTTTGGTAAATTTCAATATCGAAATTTTTAAATGTTTTTTAAACATTTATGACATCATAATATATTAGTCTTCGCCAACAAAAATTACGTTCTCATTTGTTATATGTTCGCTTAGTTTTTCGAAACATTCAAAAATTTTTGCAAATATTGCAGTATAATAATTGATGACAACACGATTACCTAGTTAAATAAACGATAAATTTAGCGAAAGTAAACTTTAAAAAGAAAAAAAGGAAGTGCCTAGCAACTTCAAGGAACGTCGATATAATTGTTTCATCTTTCTAACAAATAAGTGAAAAAGCTATAAAAAAAAAGAACCTTCTTAGCGTAAGTAACGACGAAGTTTAGTCGATAAGTTATTTAACAAAAAAATACAAGAGAAGTGCAACACACACCTGGAAATTCCTCTTCATTTCTATTGGCGATACTTTTTTAAAATTAGAATTTATAAAAACTATTTTTCATATTCGACTAATTAACGTATAAATAGGTAAAATATAAAAATAAGAAATAATTCTTTTCTACAAGTTTCCAGCGCATCAATCTTGTCCTTCCACGGTCCACTAATGCTTATACGTTGTTTACATCTTACTTATAAAATTGGTCCACATATCAACTATAAAAAGCTGCAAAAGAACGAAAAGCAAAGGATTTATGGTAATGTTCTGGATGCCTTTATTAATCAAAAATACGTCATGGAAGTAAACAAGAACAGAAAACTAATAAAAAAAATCCAAATTCCCAATAAGAAAAGCAATTCGTCTCAGGACCAAACTTCAAATTATTGCAGCGGAAAATTTACAAAACAACGCAAACAAACAAAGTTACCGATTCCAAAAATGAAGGAATTTCACAACTTCAGTCGATTTCGGTTCGAAATAAAAAAAGGTAAGGTGTTTAACTATATCCAAAAATTTACTTGAAATAACGAAAAAGAAAGTAGAAATTTAAAATAAGAGAAGCACCATCGACAGAAAAACCCAATTCATCAGCTAAATACGATTTTCGAATTCTCACCAAAACACATTTTTTAGCGAAAAATCATCTAATACCAGCAAATCAAAACAACATTTATAAATCAACAAATAACGCAAAATTCGAACAATTAATATTCGAAATTAGTTTACAAAACCGCGGAAAAAAGCGAAGACATCAGCAAAACGCTTCGGATCCACAAAAAAACCAATTTCAATCCACTCGTTCTCCATTCCTTTCAGTTTTCATTTTAACAATATGAAAATAATAAAAATTTTATTACAAGTGAATGGAAAATCGACGAAAAACGCGACGCGAGTGCGAAGCGTCCGCATATTCCTTCTGTGCATCTCTCCCTCCGCAACCATTATTCACAATAATTCTCGCGTCTCTCACATATACAGTGTTTTTGTTTTCGTCTAACGTCTTCTGCAATCACCCTCTCCAACTCATCTCTCTTTCTTCGTTCACTTATCTCTCATCGCGAAACACTTCCCTGACTCTCCCGACTCTGACAAGTATTCTGGTTAATGTCTTAAATTTCTTCAAAACTGCACTATTCATGCTTCTCTCTATATCTTTTAGAATAATCGATATTTTATTGATATATAAAAACGATTATTTTTAATTTAATTAAAAGTGACTACACTGTTTTACGAAGATATTAAAAGCTGACCAACCGCTTAATTGATAATAAGTTGAAAAGAAATTAATAGAGCTTCGAGGTATACGGCCACTTTATTCAATAAAAATCCGAACAAAAAAGCAGAAGGAAATAAAACAATTCATAAATTCAAAAACGAGTACCACAAAGAAATATAATTCGTTTTCCTTTCTGCAGTACAGCAACACTCAACACTTTTCTCTTTAATAAATGGCAAAAATTTTGCAAAAATCTGTCGAATTAAATTATAATACCGTCGATGGCAATTAGTATGAACCAACTGCGAAAATCACATGAAAAAAAGGTGGGAAAAAACCCGTGGTACTTGCAAAAATTTAATACCTCAAAATTGGCGTGGGAAAGATGGCAATTCTCACACCCAACAATCGATGAAAAAATTTATAAACTGGAAAAATCTTTAATTTTTTTCAAAAATATATTATTACATTTTTCATAACAAAAAAAATTTAGCATCTCATCACTTTGAAAAGTAAACATGATCAAATCCCGCCCACCGATAATTTTAAGCTCGGAAAAGGCGTGGGCGGGACCATCGAAGATATGGACAACAAGTGATATGGATATTCATCCAGTAATTATTAAATATTGAATAAAATGAATAAGAGTAATAAGAAATAATAAAATTTTTAAAAATTAATAGCGTTTAATTAAAATTAATAGAATTTTATTTTATTTAATTTTTTATTTAATTTTAAGAATTTTTTCTTATCAATGAAATAATTTTCTCCAAAAACTAAATACATTGAAGAATTTTAAAATATTTACAAAAATTTAAATTAAAAATTCATTTTTCGAAAATAAAAATGAAAAATACAATATCACGCCAAAAATTTAATAATATTCGAGAAATAAAAATCCACCAAAATAAAAGAAGGAATGGAGAAAAAGAAAAAAGAGGACCACGGAAAAAGGAGAAAAGGACATGCGGAGAAAAGCGCAGAGGGAATGAGGACGTGAAAAGAAGAGAGGCCGAGAGAAAAGGAGAAAACAAGAGAGAATGAGAGAGAATCAATAAAAAAAAATAAAATTTATTGTCAAAAAAATTCTGGACGAAAAATAGAAAAAAATCACTTATAATTCCGGTTGTGGAATAAAATATTGGAAGAAGAAATTTTCTTCTTCCAAATTTCCTGGCTTTTTGCTATGGAAAAACTAAACTAATAGTAAATAAATTTTTTTTTTCAGATTTCTATTAATGAAGCAAAAAAAATTTTGTTTCCAAAAAATATTAATAAAAGTAATATTAATATTAATAAAGACAACATTAACATTAACAATATTAATGAAAAGTGAATCATAAATTAATTATTTCTTAATTTAGGGATTAAACTTGAAAAAAAAGAAAAAGTTTCAAAAAGTAAAGACAGGTGCGTCGGTGGGGTAATGGCGTAATGATGATTGCCAGTGAGAATAGCTAGGAATCCAGTGGACGCACAAAGCTTCGCCGGACAACAGTGTCACCAGGCGGCGAAGAAGCGGCAGAATGGACTTAGTGGCATGACAGTGGTCTGAGTAAACCTGTCCTTCAACCATTCGAGCGTTGGCGACTCACCTGCACTTCAGCTGCCTTAGTTTGCCTGGTGCGGAGGAAACCAGCGGAACGAGCTTAACCGCCAAAGGTAAGCTCTTGGAATAAGCAGCAATAATGCCAAAAAGTTTATTCGCAGTGTGAACAAAAATCGCTAATATTATAAAAAATTAGTGATGCCTTGGATTTTGGAAGACTAGATCCTACAGCACCGCTGCTTAAGCGTATTCCCCATTCTGAGCGCACATACACCCTAGAAAGCAATATTGACGAGCTCCCCCCTCTCCCAATTTCACAACTGTATCGAATACAAAAATTAATGTAAAATCTAACAAATCATAACAAAAAATCTGAAACTGAATATTAGTCATGAAGCAAAACTGACTATTAGATATCTCAGCTGACCGTTAGTAGTGTCGTAGTTGGCCGTCACTGCGTGTTTTTTAACACTTTTGACTGTCGGATTGTTCGTTGTGGGGGTTGTATTTGTTATATTTGTATTTATATTCGTTAATTAATATCTAATAATTCAGTTATTTATTAAGGTTTCTTGTTTTTCCGTTTATCAAATTACCAATTGCCAAATATCGATTCCTTTTCCCTCTTTTTTGAACTTAGTTTTTTATTTCTTCGCGGCTTTCTCTTAAATGGTTTATTTTTACTGTTGTTTGGTATTTTCTTTAATTTGCCTTCCTTTTGCAGTCGTCATTTTCGCTTCTCCGTTTGCCCGATCCTCGTCATTTTTCAGTACTAAAATGCATGAATTTGCTCGGCCCTTGTGCTTTCGGTTGGAGTTGGCTTGCCTTTGTTCTCTTCGGGTTGTGCGTTGTGTGCTCAGCTCGGTTTTGACTCAGCTGGCTTGATTCTCACTTGATCATTTCTTAAAATATCTTATTGAAAGGAGAAAGCTTTTTTTTAAAATTGTTATTGGTTTACAAATTGGATTTATTTATTGAGGTTTTTTTGCTCACTCAACAGTCTGAAGAGGCTTGTCAGATTATCTTTTACTCGTTTTTCTCATAATGTACGCAAACTGTATATACACACATCTTTGTTGATTGAAGTATGTTAACGAATTTTAATAGTTTTAATAGTTTAATTTTAATAGTTGATACTTAATTTATTTTCAGAAAAGAAAATGTCTGATTTGCTTAGTGGCCTTGCAAATTTTACAAAATCAGTTACTGGCTCATTAAATACTTATGAAATACGGAAGTTAGGTGATAAAGTGTTCGTTTTTTTTATCTTTTGTTATTCATTGCATTTTTCGCAAGTTTTTTGATTTACACATTAAATATTTGCTATTAAGTTTTGTCTAATTTACAGGCAGGGAATGGTTATGAATTATACAGGACCTGAAGTAAAGGTACGTGAAGCAACAAATGAGGATCCTTGGGGTCCAACAGGACCACAGATGGCTGAAATTGCTAATTTGTCGTTCCAATATGATGCATTTCCGGAAATTATGGGAATGCTTTGGAAGCGTATGTTTCAAGAGAACAAATATGCTTGGCGGCGTGTGTATAAGGTTGATAACCATCTATTTTTCAGTTTTTATTCATTAAATGCGGTTCTATTCTTGTAAGTTGTTAATTGAGAGATCCATTGACATTTTCTTGAAATATTGGAAACAAGAAAAAGTCATACGATAATCAGAAACTTGTTCCTTCCTTTGTTTTCTTCATTTTGATGCAGCCATTTTCATTTCCTTTTTTTGCTTTCCACTGGTTTCGTTATTTCAAAAAATATATTCATAGTTTTTTGTTTCTTTTTGGAAATTTTGGTCTTAATAGGAAGTTTATAGTGAAGACGGGAAATTAGGAAATTTTTTCGTGTTTGTAGAATGCTTATTAAAAAATTCAAAGTTTTAATAGGTGTTAAGTCAGAATTAAATTATTTTTTTCTCAAAAGATTTGCGTTTTCGTTATTTTTATATTTTTCTCTTTCATGTTTCTCTCTATTTTCTCTCTATTTCTCTCTATTTTTTATTAAGTTAAAGCCTTTTTTTCTTTAGTGCATAAATGCTGTATAAGTGGTATTTAATCTTTTTAAATATAAGTATTTTTTCAGGTAAACAAGTTTTAGGTTTTTCATCATATTTAAAAGCAGTTTTTGCTATATCCTTATTCAATGGAATTTTTGTTGTTTAGATATGAATTTATTCCTAAAAGTAGAATAAAAACTTTTTCAGTCCTTGACATTGCTCAATTATCTTGTAAAAAATGGTAGCGAAAGGGTAATTGGAAATGCTCGTGATCATATCTTTGAAATGCGAAATCTCGAAAGTTATAGATGTATCGATGAAAAAGGAAAAGACCAAGGAATCAATGGTTTTTAAAAATTTTAAAATTTAAAATCTGTTTAAAAAAATATATTTTGCAATTAACTAATAAATGGTTAACACTGTGCATTTCTGATTAAGCTCGGCTGTAAGCGGGATAATTTTCTGCTGGCAATCATTTAGCGATAGAAGTACGGTTTCGTAGTGTCACTGTGATTTTATAATGAAAGGTTTACTTGTAATTTTTGCAGTGAATTATAATCTAAACCGCTATCTGTCCGGCTCTTTCCTTTTCTTTAGGAAGTTGTATTGAAAATGAGTTAAAAAAAATAAGATTTTGAAGCACGAATCATTTTTTAGTACGAATCAAAATATTTATGGTCGTGGAAATTTTAAAAATAAGGAGAACATTTATCATTTTTATCGTAAAATTTTAAATTGTGATATTTTCCGGCAATTAAAGCCATCAAAAAAAACTAATTCAGTTCGACATCGGGCAAGGCTTCTAATAGAGTTAATCCAAGATGATGAATTGCTCAGAACAGAAAGGAGAAAAGCAAAAATAGATGGAAAAGAGAAGTATCTAGGATATTCTAAAGAAGATATGTGTTTTGGTAAAGCTACTTATGGTAGGCCAATTTTCGCAATTTTTTTCATAATTTCTAAAATAAACTGCTTTCTGTAAAGTGTATTTTATTTGTTTTTGTAGCTGTTAGCAACAGAAATGTGTTCAATGATTGGAATGAGCGCTCATTGAATTTTCACGATTTTAAGAATTTTGGCGAAAATAGGTTTGTTCATAAAGCGTGCATTTATTTAATTTTCGATTAAAACTGTTCGAAAAAATTTTTTTCAGAGGCCAGTTCCAGAATCGTGAAGTAAATTCTTTTCAATTCCCTGATGATGATAGCCGTAATGGTCGAGATAGCCCAGAACTTGGGATTCGTGAAGTTAATTTCTTTTTTTTTTAAGTTGAGTTCATATTTTTATATACTTCTGTAGATTTGTAGATTTTGGACTCTATTTTTCTATATCTTCAGCGCACTCCTGAACTTGTCGAAGAAAATCAGGATGAATTCGGAGAATTTGCTCAAGCTAGAAGTATCACTGGAGGAGTTATGTCTTCAGCATCATCCACCTCAACGGTTGTTCCAAAAATCCCACCTCCTTTGTCTGCTACATCCCTTGTAAGTTGTCCTAGTGATAATTCAAATCAGAAAATCTTGAAAGAAGAAGAGTCTCCGCTTGCTTTTATTACAAAGGAGCAAAAAATTACTGGTATGTATTGTTTAGATTTATAGATTAATTAAAATCTATGTTGTTTAATTATCGACTTTATGAAAAAATCTTTATTCAGAAGGTTTCAAAAAAGGATATTTTGTTTAAAAAATTTAGATATCGATTTGCTTGGACTCAACCTAATAAGTTCCATTGAAGAAAATCAAAATATTATTTCGAATATTGATAGCGGTGTAAATGATGTGGACTTTTTTTCAATGCTCAGTAAACCAGCTGACGACCAGTCTCAACTCAATATTTTCAATACAGTTGGCTCAGTTAGGTGAATGTTTTCTTTGCATATTTTCGGTAAAATTTTTTTGATTTTTTCTTCAAAACCCATTTATTTTTATATCACTTTAATTGCATTATTTTTTTTTTGTTTTTTAACTCTTGATTTTTTATTTGATGCTATATGATCTAATTTCTTTAATCACTCTTTCAGAATGCATAATGTTGAGAGCAGTATTTCTATGCAGTCCAATGATGTCGTACAACCCCAGCCAATAGCATCAATTGATTTGGGTAATGAGCTTCAGAATAATTTGAAAGGCATGAATTGTTCGACTTCTACAAGCTTTGTACCATTTTTACCAAATATTTCTACTGGACAAACTTTTTCTACTCCACTGGTATTAAAATGCTATTTATTATATATTTTAGTTTTAATTTTTTTTGTTTCGTATTGCTGAATTATTTGCCTTTTTGGTGAAGAATACGATGCATGTTTTGAACAAAAAAAAGTTTCATTTTGGTCAAATTTTTTGTTAAATTGTTTTTATTATTTTTTATCGTTTTTTATGCTTTGCATTTTAATTTTCAATTTTCAAAACTTTATTTGTTATTTTCTAGTAATTCTCAGAATTTTCACAATTTTAGATTCCTGCTGCATCATCGGTTCAATCTAAAGCACCAACAGTAATTTCGAATATCGAACGACCAAAGACAGCAGATATACCTCCTATTGTTAGATTTAAAAAATTTTATTGAGTATTGAAAGAAGACACATATTTTTTAATAGTTATTTGCGATTTTTTCTCCAGTTTCTTTCACAGTCTGACTTTTAAAAAAGATTCGAAAGAAAATTTAACTTTATAGAAGATTCCTTCTACTTGGTCCGATGTCTCTAATAAAGTGGATATAAATCTGGATAATCTTGGAATGAAATTTTCGCCAATGAAGCAAAATATAAGCATGAATCAAATGGCAAAAAGTGCTACCACAATGGGTAATAATTTTTACATACTTGTGGTTTGTCCTTCGAAATTCTGGGACATTATTAACAAAAATTTTATATGAAAGAGTATTTGTAGTTCAAGGATGTGGCTTAACTGAAAGAAAGCGCAATCCATTGGATAAATTTCTTTTAAATGCAATCGGTTGTTAGATGAAATAAAGGTTTTTTAAAAAATTTTTTTTTCAGGTTCTAATTCTCCTCAAAATCAATAATGAACTATTAAAAAGAATCTATAAAATTCAATTCTTGTTTTTGAACTTCGAGAATTCATTTTACTGAAAAGTCCTCATTATGAGTTCTTTAAATTAGACTTTAAAATAATCATAATTATTCTTGGGTTTTGTGAAATCACTTACTATTTTTTCCTTCATTTTTTGTAAAAATTGTAGTAGATGAAGATATTTTAAACATATTCTAAGTATTATTTCTAATTTTCATATAACTGTGATTAAACCTAATTTAACGATAATTTATAGTTTTGATTCCTTTTTTCGCATTAATTATTTCTCAGTCTTTGAGTATTTTCATTGTCTAAAAATCTACTATTGGAATGTATTAACGAGAAAATTCTCTTACAATTTGGTTGAGATTTTTTTGCAGTATATATACTTTTGAAATATACTTTTTCGTATTTCAAATTTATTAATTTATTTATACAAATATTTATCAATATTTTTTTGAAAATTGCTAACGAAATAACTGCTCAACCAAAGTAATTCCTTGATAGACTATCGGGAATATTTTTCACCATTTTCGAAACAAATTTTTGTGGAAGTCGTATTTTGGATTTTCTGAAAAATGGATATCCATAAGATTTTTAAGGTGGTTTTTTAATTTTATTATCTATAAACGAGAAGAAATTTCATCGAATGAACCGAAGGCAGGCTGAAGCTTGAGATTTATAAAAAAAACTATTCTATTCTTCAGTTTTTTCGGTTTTCTCATTTTTTTTCAATATTTTTTTTATTTCTTAGATTTTCTTGTTGAAAATTGCTTTCTTACTGCGATTTGTGACTATTATTGTTGAAAATGCGGACACTTTCTTCTTAATTGTTCAACACTTTGCCTTTTATTTGCACAAAGAAAATTGCCTTAATATCATATGTTAATCATTTTATTGCATTGTATTCTTTTCGATTTCTCCACTTAAAAATCTAAAATCTAAATTTTAAAAACAACATTTTTGTTTGTTATTGGCTACAAAATAAAGGCAAATATTATTAGCGAGAAAATAACAAAAGGAAAATCGATGGGAATTTTCAAAACGAGTAATCATTGGGGATGACGGCAGCGAAGGCGAGGCTTTGGCTGTGCTTTAGTGGGTTGGTGAAGCTGCGTCCGAGAATTAGATAGTAATTTTTCAATTAACAGCGTGATCTTATTAAACAGTTTTGAGGTGTCGGTGTCGAAGGTCACTCCGGAGGGAGAGGTCATCAGCTTGCTCGTTTTGGCTGTCTTTGGATGTCCCAGGATTGATTTACGAAGTTCGGGAATTTGGCGTATTTCGAAAATTTTTTACAATTTTCAGATTTCATTATTCGTCACTGCAAATGGAATATAAACATCGTGAATAGTTTAGAATTTTATTAAGTTTTCCGAGTGCGCATTAATTATGAGTTAGGAGTTCGACAGAGTTTTTCTATAGTTTCTCTCTCTTTTTACTGGGAAAAATAAGTAAGGAAAATTTGAAAGGGAACTTTCAAAAACCTTTTTTTTCAAAATTATTATTTTTGCCATTTTATGATTTTGAACTCCTTTGTTTTCGTCATTTTTTCGTTCTTCGATTTCCTAGCTGGTGGTTGGTCAGAAATTGTTTTCACAGTTTCTGTTGTATTGACGCTTTTGATATTTCGTGATTGTAGTCAGCATTCGCAGTAACCTATTTAAGTGATAAAATGTAGGCTTTTGTGTTCTGAGTCACTTGTTGCTCGAGGGGCTCCGAGAGAGTTGCGGGCGTTTCGGAGATCATCGGCGATCATCTTTTGGGTTTGGGTTTTTATGGTTTTCACTTCTGATATTTCGTGGTTGCTTGTTCATCAGTACTTGCAATAACATAACTCGGTAGTGAATTTTCTCGTGTTGCTGATTTATGCTTCTCTGGCCATGTTATGTTTAACTTTACATTTAATCCATGAAAATATTTGTGAGTTGTCAAAACGAACAAAAGAGCATTGTTTGTGCAAAATCATGCCGTTCTATCATCGTAAAATAGCAGCGATGGCTGTTGCATACAGCAATGTCTTGAAATAAAAACGTATTGAATTATGTCAAAAAACTTTTCTTCTGGAATTTAATTCGTTAGAATTTTTCGCGAAAATTTGGTCGTCTTTTTTGTGATTTTTCTTTCTATTTTCTCGAACTTTCATTTCTCGTTGCTTTTCGATCTTCGTTTTTTTCCATTTTAGATAAACAAAATGAAAAAATAGAAATTTAAACATTTATGTCAACGAAATTATGCGAACAGATGATGATAGTGAAATTGAATTTGCTGTTGTCAACAGTGTTGCATCAGTTACAATTGATTCGGATAGTTTAACAGAAAATGTTATGTGCTCAACGAAAAATCGAAAAAGGAAAAAGAAGCATAAACAGGTGATACATAAAAATATGACGGAACTCGATGCAAATATTGCTTCATCATCGTCATCGTCAAAAGTCGGTTAGATGTTTCGCAATAAAAATCTTTTAATCATTTATTTTCTAAAGTTTTTAAGTTAGATTAAATTTCGATGAAAATTTGTTAAAAGTTTGCGATTTCTATTTTAGCCTTCATTTATTCATTAATGATTATTAGTTTTGGAAAATAAATAAAATTCGAAAAAATTTTATCTAATTAAGGAAAAATTGATTTATCGGATCCTTATTCTATAAGTGAACTTTCTTCATCTGATACACATTCATCTGGTGGACAAGAAGCCGATGATGAACAGTCTGATTGGCCTGATGCATTACATTTTTTATCAAACTGCGATCATCATATGCAAACTTCCAGTTCTAGCAAATTTTTTGCCAAGTAATTGGCAAGATTTTTACCATTTCATGTTACTTTTGTTATTTATTGCCATGTTATTACTCTTCAATAATTTTTAAGAAGTCTTTCCAAAGAATTTTGGATCTTTTTTTTAATTTTTGTAGTTCTCAGACATCAATAAAATTGCTGCAGCGGAAACTTGAACGCTTTATTCGCGATGACAATCAGTGTGAACTTATTCTTAATCATTGGACACGTTCTCGTCAACTGTTTATTGAAAATTTCCTGGAGGTTAGTTTCTTGACAATATTCGATAATATTTTATAATGCTGGGTAAATCTTTCTAACGGCTCGCTCATTACTAATTAGGCTGGCTACAAGGCTAACGCATTTCCACTTTACTATTACTATTTACTATGCCTAAAGCTACTTTTTTTCACCTTTTAAGTCCATATATCGTTGTAATGCCTATAAATCCGAAATCTATCTGTGACATTCTAGATTTCGGTTGATTTTTATTGGTAAGTATTTCAGGCCAATCGTTTGCATAATTGTTTTAAATTCGATTATTCGAAACGGAATCGTCGAATAGTGATAATAAGAAAGATGGATAGATCCAATCATTGATTTTTTTAACATATGCATATTTTTATATACAAACACATTTTGTATTATAATTTTTATCTTATTCTAATCTTATTCCCATTGTTTTTATATTGATCTCCAATTTACAGTATATTAGTTACATTATAATATATTATAATTTATGATAATATTATATATAAAGTAGTTTGTTCAATAATAAGTATATTATGCCAATTTTTTAATATTACTCTATTTATAATTTATTGTGGAAAATTTGCTAACGAAAAATTTTCTCTCAGTTCATATAAATTCACATAAGTGAAATTAAACAATCTGATCATACCTTAGTCTATTTTTTCGAAATCAATCGAATAACTGCATAAACTACACTTTATTGGGCCTTCGCCGAGCGGTGAAAGCAGTGAAGGGAATGGGAAGAGGGAGTGGAATCGCTTAATGCTCTTATTATCTCTGAGACCCTAATTCCGGTCTAATTCTGGAGTAAACCTGTTTTTCTTCAGAGATCCGGTTTTTCGGCCACTCACCTGTATTTCTACCGCCAGAAATGGCTGCTTGGCAAAAAATTTCCTAGTCTGACAAAGCAGTGGAGCGAGTATAATCAGCAAAGGATGCTCTTTGAAAAAAAGAAACAAATTTAGAAATTTCCAATTATTTTAAATCATAGGGTTTTCTCTGGAAACTATTATTAAATTATTATTAAATTATATTTCGAATTATATATTTTCATTTTATTTGTTTTTTTCGTTGCTTTAAATTTATTGTTTGTGCCACTGCGCAATCGCGGCGTCTGATTTTTTTTAAATCGACCTTATTTTATTTTGTTTAACTAATTTTTGTTTAATATTATCAATTGCATATTTGCAGCAAAACGTTTGGTGCTCTCAATTCCGCTTTCTTATTTTTGAAATAGAAAAAAGGGAAGAAATAAATGAAAAAAATCGTCTGTGGCTTTTCAGTTTTCTTAACAGTTCTTTGATGGCTTTATGAGGAGAAATGGTAGAAGGTAGCCCTTATGCTTTGATAATTGCAAATTTTAGTAGTTTCGGATTGTTGATAGCGCAGGGTTTTTGAGCTGCAAACATTTTATAAAATATTGAAACGACTTTTTTTTATTCATATGCTTATTGTATATTCCATTCCCAATATTTGGAACGGAAATGCGGGTCGGGTGTGAATGAGATTTGAGCTGTTTCTTTTGCATCGCGGGTTTGTTATTTTAGAGTCGCATCGGGATATTGTTTGATTTGTTCGGTTTCTTCAAATCGAGAATTGGAGTGAAGTAAATCGCTTAGAATTACGAATTACTGGAATTACTGGAAGAATTATAAATATTTTGCTTGAATTTTGCAAAAAGATTCTTTTTAGACTTTAGAAGTGCGCAAAAGAATTTTGCAAAGAATACTGAAAAAGACAAAAAGTTGGATATTATTTTTAAAAATTATGACGCGTATTTACGCGTATTTCTTTTTTTCTTTTTTTTCGAAGGACTGATTTTATTGCGAAACTTAATTTACAATTATGGGAATTTATTCGTGTAAACCTTTTTTTATGAGTAATTACGGTGATAGCTGTAAAATATTTTTTTTGAAAAATATTTTGCCTGACGTTTCAACATGCTTTTTGCGATTTGCTTTCAAATATTTATTGAGCATGGAATGATAAATCTTCGTTTTCAGCTATGCCAACGAAAGCGAAGGGCGCACTGGTTAGTTTTTATATTAACTGTTGATTTTTTGAATTTTGAAATCTTGTTCGGGAATATTTGTCAAAAAATATTCATATTTTCAGCTGAAGGAATTTACCGTAATTGGTCGAAAATTACCATCTGAAAAAGAACCCAATCCACCATTATATAAAATGCAAATTTTTGCTACCAACCATGTAATTGCTAAATCGCGATTTTGGTATTTTACGAGTATGTTACGTCGTGTTAAAAAGGCACATGGAGAAATAGTTTCGTGCAAAGAGGTAATTTTTCTTTCAGTTCTTTTGGAAAAAGTGAAAATGTTACTCATGCAGTCCTAATGGCACATTTCGTAAAATTTTTCAGTTTTTTGATTATAAATTGTTATATAAGTTAGTAACAATTTACGAATAATTCAACTGTAGTTCCCACAGTTAAAATATTTTATTAACATAATAATAGAAATAATACAATTAGTTAAAATGATTAATATTAAAACACCCTTACAAAAAAAATAGATGACCCGGAGCAATATAGGATATATGTATGATATATAGAGCGAAGTCAGATCGTGATTTCAAGAAACTAAAAGGAAGACCCTACTATAATAAAGTATCAATGCGCTGTGTATTAACCATTACATTAATCTATAATCCGTACAAAAAAATTTTTTTGTTTTAGAACAAGAAAATATAATTTCACAGGTTTTTGAAAAAAGCCCGGGACGCATTAAAAACTACGGAATTTGGTTGCGTTATGATTCGCGTACTAATCATCATAATATGTATCGGGAATACCGAGACAATGCAATAGCTGGTGCTGTTACTCAATGTTATCGCGATATGGGAGCACGACATCGAGCTCAAGCTGATCGTATCCAGGTTGGTTAAATTTCTGGTTGATCTGTCGATGTGGATTCGCCTCGTTTCTTGATTTAATATATTTTTTTTAGTGGTCAGTTTAAATTTGGCTTGGAATTGGCTTTGGCTCTGAATTTTAAATGCCTCAATTTGTTATGAGATTTTCTGGTTATAATTGTCTTTTTATTGGTCGTTTTTATTGTTGTCACCTTTTCTGATAAGAATCGTAATAGGGAAAAATTATAAGGCAGTATTTTGTAGTAGGGTAATTCGTAATAGAAGATAATTCAAAAGCTTGGATTTGTTGCATGAAATGTATGAGCCAATTTTTGGTTATTTTTAATGCATTTGCAATTTATTTAATTCTTAAGCGAATGAGGATCTCAGAACATAATTGCTTAAGATTTTTTCGAATACTTTAATGGTTTATTTCAGATAATAAAAGTTCAAGAAATTAAAGCGAAAGATTGTAAGCGTACGGCTGTAAAACAATTCCACAATTCAAGGATCCATTTTCCTCTTCCGCATCGCATTCAAAAACGAAGAAATGTACCAATATTTACCACTCGTCATCCACGAACTCATTTTGCATAAATTTTCATTGTTGTTAATTTTATAAAATAAAACATTTGGTTAGATGGTTTTGCTTTTTGAATCGTTCTGTCGTTTAATTTATTTCAATGGGTGAAATGAAATTATGAGTTTGTCATTTTTGTTTTGGGTCTCTTCATAGTTTTCGTAAGCATTGGTTTCTATAAAGAAATTGATATACATCATTGCGGATGAATATGTTGTTTTTGTGGCTTTTTCATTTGCAAATAGAAGGGGTTAACATTTATTTCTCAGAAATTTTTCAAGAGAGTCATTTGCTGATTCTGTAGGTTGTTTTCGCCAGCAACATGGGGCTTATTTTTTTAAACAGGAATGTTGTAAAAAGGAATTTAGCATAATGGTAAGTGCGAGTTGAACCATTTTTGCTGATGGTCTATTACTTTCCTCAATTTCTCCGGTGGAAACTATTTTTTATCAAATTTTTTTGAGGGTGTTATTAATAGTATACATGCATTATTTCATTCAGAGTAGAAGTTGAAGTTCGTCATATCATATTAATTCTAGGAAATTTCTAGGAATCTGCGGTCTGATCTAAAGTATGTCAGATGTTATACCAGAAGGTGATTATGAGAAGGGTAAAAAAGTATTCAAACAGAGATGTCTCCAGTGCCACGTAGTTGACTCAATGGCTGCAAAGACGGGACCGACTCTTCATGGAATTATTGGCCGCAAATCGGGAACTGTGCCTGGTTATGATTACACTACTGCAAACAAAAATAAGGCAAGCTTTGCGGGAATTGATTTTCATTTGTCAAACCAATTACAATTACGTTTACGTTTACGTTTGAAACCAATTACGTTTTTTTTTTGCGTATTGCAGGAGTTCTTTTGGGAAACGGCTTGTAGTTTTCTTCTTATCTTTAAATTTCTTTTAAATGACACGTGAAAATGTACTTTTAGGGTGTTATATGGACTCGTGAAACTTTATTTGAATATTTGTTAAATCCAAAGAAATATATCCCTGGTACAAAAATGGTTTTCGCCGGTTTGAAGAAACCCGAAGAACGTGCAGATTTAATCAAATATTTAGAAGTGGAATCGGCTAAGCCGTTATAATTAAATTTAATTGATAGGTTTGTAAACATTTAAACGTTTTATAAGGTTATAGCGAAGGTGTGGGTGACATTTTACTATCCTGTAATAGATAAAAATAGCCGCGCTAATGTTGTCTATACCTCATTGATTCTCTATGTAATTATTATCTTTTGAATCTTATTTTGTCTTAGGCAAAATTTCCAACATGTTTTTATTTTCGAAATAAAACTAATATGGCTGAAATATAATGTAGAATGTTGTAATAGAAAAATGCATAACAAAATTTGTAAAAGAACGGCAAATAGAATAAGAAATTATTTTCTGAGAAAGAGAATTAGCAAAACACAAAACACAGTACAGTTAGATGAACATGGAATGCGAATTATTTTTTGCCTGTGAAATGCGAATGAAATAAGTTCCTTGATAAAAATTTGGTACCACACTAGATTGGTGCAATAATCGATAAATATTAAAAAATAAAAAATAATAAATAAAAAAAGTAAAAACAATAAAATAGAATTAAGAAATGATTTTAATGAAGAAACACTTCCGAAATCAAGAAAATCGGAAGCGAGAAATTGTAGCAAAAAAAACTGATTAAAAAGTTGGATCATCGATTTTCTCCAAAAATAAAATATAAATTTAAAAATCAATTTAAATGAATCAAATAGAATTTATCTTTTAGATTACAGAAAACTATGGATTAACTAGAATATAAATCGTCTGTAAAATGCAAATATGAATATTTATAGAAAACTGGAAAATTCTGAATTTGTATGTGCCGAAAAAACGCGATGCGGCTCACGCTGCGAAATCTTGGCCCATCTTATGGAAACCAAGCCACTATTCGTTTTGTATCGCCGAGGGGCTAGCCACCATTTTTAAATTTTTTTCTGCTATTTAATTCGCTCTCTCAGATTACAATTCTTAACGTCGTTTAATTCCTAAAGCTTAAAATTACACTTATAAATTTTGTCGCGGAGCACCTACAAAAGAAGCAAGCACCAATCATAGAATTCTGAAATAGTAAATCGTAAAACGACCGAATGAGATTGAAGAAAAATATTTAGAATAGTGGTGGCAGATTTTGAAGAAGTACTAAGAGAACAAAGATTTTTGAGAGGCTGTCAAGAAATACAGACGGTTTTGCAATTGGTTTTACACGCGCCACAGGACAACCTTTACTGATAAAATATGAATACGATCTTTAATGAACTGACAAATTTAATCAATGCCAACATTATCTTTTATAAGTTTTTCTCTCATTCCCCTATGGATGATCATGAACATCCTCAACCTCAGGTTCCTTACTATATATACAATAAGAAAATGCGAAAAATCAAATTTTTGCATTTATTTATGATCCGCTGCAATACGTCCAACCTCTTTGGCAACCAAATCAGCCAATTCTTTAGCTTTTTCTTCAGTTGAAGCTTCAGCATAAACACGCACTATATTTTCTGTCCCGGATGGACTGAAATCGTATAACATTATAAATTCCATTTCTATTTCCACACTATTAAGGTGTTAATGAGTCTTACCGAATGAAACATCTTGAGCCATCTACAGCTTTTTCATCGATAAATTTCTGTATGCCTTCAGGCGAAAGGCAGGTTAACTGATCATAAGTCGTCTTGAATATAGACCGATCACGAACCTAGAAAGTCTTTTATTAACAAAATTTCGTAAAATGAAAACATTGAAAACATCTGATAACTAGAAAGTACTAACTTTAACTTTGATCTGGCAGCTAGGGCGGTCAACATATAATTTTAATGCCCAATCTTCTATAGACCAATCATAATATTTAAGTATGCTTTCAATAATTAGTAAATCGGCCATTGCATCACCCACAACCGAATTAATTATTTTTACAAAATATTTTAAATTGCACACCGATTGATTTGAAGTGTTACTAAAATGCGAATTATGAAATATGGCCATACAAAAGAATGAACTAAAACAATGAAATGCACTGGCAAATAAGCATAAGACATACGAATGAATTTCACTTAAAAATCGCTCGGAAAATAAAACAGTTCCATGACCATTTGCTTCAAAATATATACCAACATCAAACTTATGCGCTTCTTTGTGCAAATATTTTACTCCCGTTGGAACGATTGATACTGGTAGACCCTAAATCATAAAGCACTATAATATTACTATAGATTCATATTTTGCACTTACACATATACTTATTGCACTTCAGTGGATGAATAAAAAGATTTTAACGCAGAAACAAAATAAAATATTTGTATTAAAATGGATACCAATTCCTCAGTCAAGAACTTCGTAGAACTTCCATTTGAATAAGCCGTTTGCACAACACCAATCGTACATTTTTTTTCCAAATTTGCTTCAGCGATTGCCTGAACCCAATTAAAGAAAAAATTTGAAGCGTATCAATTATAAATTCGATTTAAGAATTTAAGAAAATTTTCCAAATCCAAAAAAAAATTTTTTTCCTCTTTTCTTTTATTTTCTTCATTAATCATTGTTTAAAGTCAAATATTTGAGATCTTATTTTGCTTCATTTTTAATATTTAAACAAGAAATGAAAACTGAGAAAAAGGCCTACTTCTTTAAGAAACCGAGCTATTAATGAAGCAATCTTGTCACCATCAAGAAGTTGAAATTTATTATTTTTATTACGAAAGAAATAAACGATTCTATCAGCATCACCATCGAACGATGCACAACGTTCCGCGATTGGTATATTTTCCATATTGATGGGAAAATCTTGAGCAATTTTCACGTAATCCGCGCCACACTATAAAACTTTTTGTTATTTTGCGTTAGTTCATTTTGTTTTTACTCTTTATTTATTATCTTATTATTTTCCAATAATATTTTTTAAGGAATTTAGTGGGAATAAAAATATACGAAAAAAATAACGTTTTTATATTCTTTTTCTGACGTAATCATGAAAAATTTACTTTATAATTAAGAGGTCCATCAATATTGCAAAGATTTATTTCAAATAAACCTTTAGCCAAAACCATTATTTCTTTAAATTTAGTTCCTCCAACACCATTCGCACAATCAATATTTAATTTTTTGCTGTAAACAGAAGTTACCATTCCCTAAAAGGAATATAAAATTGAACTCTAACATGGATCCAAAAATAACGAAAATAAAATATTAATATTTTAATTGAAACATCAATAAAATAAATAAAACAGAATAGAATAGAAAATAAGATAAATAAAATATTCTCAAAATACTAAAAAAAGTTATAACTAACTTCATGAAATTCAAAAAGTGCATCAACCATAGGTTTACAATATATATGTGTAATATATTCCGAAATTTTCAGATTTATTGGCACTCTTTTATGATATATTTCGGCTACGAGATAGTGCAACTGTGGTGTAGTTAGAAGACCTTTAATAATCCATGTAATAATAAATAACATTAATATAATAAATCCCAAATTATAACACAAAAGTAAACGTAGAGTAAAAGCCTTTAAGTTAAAGCCAAAATGATTTCAAAAATTAGTCTAAGTAAGTGGTTTAAATGGTTTACCTAATTCTAATTCTAATTATTAATTTAAATTCTAATCATTAAAAAAACGAAAAAGTACCAAAATTAATATAACTGAGTCGCATAAAGTTAACACCCTCAATTGCTGCATTTGCTAAATATGTGGAACTCAATCGAGAATCATAGCCAATTAATACTGATGGTTGCACATTTTCTGTAGTTTCTTTTATATCAAAGCTCAAACGGCGAGCGTAATCAGCAAATTCTTTATCACTGAAAAAAAGTAAGATGGATATAAAAATAGAACCAAACAGCTATTAAAACAAAAACAAATACAATAAATGAAACAAAAAACAACTAATAAAATATGAATACAAATAACAACAATTTTAGCAAAAAATGAAGGTTTTTTTCCTAGAATTTTCTTGAATTCCTATATTTATATATAGTACTAGTTCGAAAGCCGTAGACGTTTATCATATAGCAAAATAACAACTAGGTTAAATTTGAAAAGATTCGATCAGATTAGTAAATATCAGAATTAACCTCCATTTGACAAAGTTATTTGCAATAGTTTCCCATGTTTCCTCCAACATATCACCAGTTGGATCGATTAATTTAATTCCATTATCTTCTTCCAGGTTATGAGAGGCAGTTATCATTAAGCCCGTATTATTCATCAAATTCCTAAAAGATTACGGGGAACTTTGCATGATTAAACAAGTAAGCAATCAAATAAGCATTCAATGACAAATTTGAACAAATCTTTAATTTAAGAACTGAAAATTCCTTTAATAGAAGGAAATATTATAAATAGGTTTAGATAAGCTTAAAATGCATTGTAATTAGCCAATAAAATCACTAATAAAGATTTTGTATAAATGTAAAAAAAGCAACCTAGCACGTACAGCAGCCAATATTCCCATTCGAAAAGCTATAAAAGGCATATATTTGGCATTTGTACGAAATCCAGCCGTTCCATATTCAAACTTCATATTTTCACCGACTCGCACCAATTCACCAAGGTGATCACGATTATTCAAACGAGTATATCTGTCAGGAATAATTGAGAAATCCTGCAAATAAAATTATTAATTTCATGGTGAATTTCATAAATTACTGCGTATAAAAGAATTGAAAATTTGAAAATTGAAAATTTGTGAAAACGATTTATGAGTTTCATAATGTTCCATCTATTATCATTATTATTCTTATTATTATTCATTACTATTAGTGCTGTTATTGCTATTATTATTTATTATTATAACTCTTTTTTTTAACAGCCCCCATCATTGCTGGTTAAACACGCTCCACTTTGGTTCTACTCCGCATTGGACAAATAAAGCAGGGGTGAATCGCTGGCATCACCTGGATTTTTACGCCTGCGGGGAGTAGAACCTCAGAATCGGCGCTCCGAATCGAGCAACAACCCACCGGGCCATTCTACTCACCATTATAACTATTAATATTATTATTAAAAATTTTACAACAGAAATTAAATTACCTCTTGACAAATTGACATAATATTCAATTGGACTTTTCTTTTCCTTTTTTTTCTTCTGAAACTTTATATTTAATTAAAAATATGTTAAAAATTCTTAATAAGAATATCGTAAGAACTTCGCAAGCTACGTGAATTGTGAAGTCCAAGGTGAACGTTTCGACCAGCCTTTCTAGATTTAATTCTCCTCTTCATCTGAGTCCTATGTCTTATTCACCAATCTATTTACAAGGTACGTTGTTGCGGATATTGCATTTTTTAAATTCTAATTTAAAAAATTTGGTGCTCCGCATAATTCTATCCACTGCTCTTGCGGGTAATTCCCCGGTCCAATCAATAGTCAAGGACCTCACTACTCTTCTTTCTTCAGCAGAAGATAAAATAATTGATAGAATGACAAAGTTTGTTCGAGAAAAAAATTAATTCAAATTAAAAATTAAAAAAAATAAAACAGTAAACCAGTAAAAAATTATATCCATTTGAAACCTACAATTCATAAATAAATGAAGCAAAGTAGCAAAATGCACGGAACAACGAAGAGCTAAAAGATCTGTCCAAAGTGATCCAACTAATTTTCCGCAGGTTTTCACCACTTCACCACGACTTCTCTAAAAATTTTCATTACCCTATTACTGATTCATAATTTCCTTCTTTAGAATTCTAAAGCATTCTGGGATCTGTGTCAACAAGGCTATGTGAAGTCTTATAGGGCGTTATCAAATCAGCTTTGAGTCTTCTTTGAGTCTCCAATCAGTCTTAGCACCTTCGTCATCCTTTAGTATTTCTTTGGTATGGGTGGAGAATCTCTGCACATTTCCGATTTATCTTATTCCTGTCTTATTTCTTATTACTGTAACTACTAATATTTATTTTATTATAGGTCGGTAATAGGCTTCGTATCGCATAGGAAGAGATTTAAACAGAAACAATTTCTAGATCTGAAGTATTTCCCAATTCTTTTTGACAACAAAGATAAAAAATATTGAGAAAAAGGTTTCTTCCCTGGAAAATAATGATCCATATTCTCTTGTACCAGGTTTAAGGAATCTTTCCGACCATTTACAATCAGTCTGTTTTAATGGAGATGCGGTTTTTAACGCATTATGTTATGCTACTGAACATTTATAACAACAATGCACCTAAATGGCTACCTTGTACCTTACAGGACACCAAATTTCATATTCGATAAATTTCTATTCATTCTCACGGCTTTTCTACCAGATAAAATCATTTGCTCAAGCCATATCCATTTGGCTAAACCAGAAACAAGAGAAACAAGCGAAATTTGAAACTGGAACAGTATCAAATAATTCGGCAATGCTGAAGTAGATGGCACCAAATTATCCACCATTTTCGCTCACTTTCATATCAACCAAATTCGCCCCAAAAGCAGGAAATTTTTCACGAACGAAAATGTATCACTTATCCTTCTGTTGGCACATTTGGAAACGGCGCCATTTCAACTTTTCCAATAAATGTCCCTTAAAAAACGAATATAACATTAACGGATTTATTTTCTATACCCCTCTCCATGTTGTTCTTTTTTCGAATGGGGGCAAAACGTTCGTTATTTTCTACAATGCTGGTTGCCGGCTACAGCCAACTTCTTACACAAAACGTGAGGAATGAAATCAGCACAGCAAGGACGGAGTTTACTGATTGAACATACCTATAATATCAAATTCATTCTTAATTTGTTTCCTGCCATTTTCAAACGAATTCCCATCACTATCGGCAAAAAAGCTACCAAAATAATTGCAGAAATGTTAAAAGTTAGGAGTTCCCTTTTCAAACGAATTCACGAATCCTATCACCTTTCTTGAGAATTGGGAGCAGAATTGCTTTGCTTCAATCATCTTGTGATATTTCTTTTTTCCATACTAAAGAGTACATTTGTTGAAGGTGCGTTATGAAGGACGATGGATAGCATTTGAAAAACTCAGCCCAAAGACCATCTTCTCCTGGAGTTTTGTTGGTCTTAAGCTTATGGATAACTGAAATTATTTCTTCTTCTGTTGGAGGCTCGCAATTGCAAACGTATGCTTCGACAAACGTGTCAGCTATATCAGAGGCAACAGATGGCGCTTCATGGTTAAGTTTGGCCTCAAAGAATTCTTTCCACCTTATGAGGCGATCATACTTTTAATTAGTACGCCATTGATGTCTCTTACCATTTCACTGATCGTTCCTCGAGTTGCTTTATGAAGAAGGCAGAATAGTTTCCTATTGTCGCCTAATCGAGCCGCCGCCTCCATTCTTGAGGCCATGTCACTCCAATAGAGATTTCTGTTCCGCCTTGCTGCTTTTGTTGCAAATCTTCGAAGCACCCGGTAGTCAGTATCACCTGACATTCGTGCTTTGGCAGTTTTTTCAGACAATTGGACAGTTGCTTCCGATACCCAACTAGCGCACTTCCTACTACTATGCCCTAACGTGGAAGTGGCTGATTTTCGTAGATATTCCTTTAGTTTGAACCAGTATTCATTTGACGCTCCAGAAAAATCATTTGTATCATTGAGAGTTTAGAAGTTAGATGTTCCCTTTAGAAGTTTTCAAATGAATTCCCATCACCATCGGCAAAAATGCTACCAAAGTAATTACAGAAATGTTAAAAGTTAGAAGTTCCCTTTAGAAGTTTCGTCTTTGAACAGCCGAAATTCAGAGTTATTTCGAGGAAAAAGTAAATGAATGCCAAAATAATATGTGCAATTAGATTTTCGCATTAGAAATCGAATAGAAAATTAATGTAAACGATAAAAATTACACATTATATTATTAGATTAAATTATAAAACCATTTAAGCGATCAAAGATCTCAATTATTTGCATGAGAAATTCGAAAAAAATAATGAATAAAATTCGAACATTCAAAAATTATTATAAGATGGATAACTTCGTCTTCGTTGGATCTTTTCTCGTTAACAATCACCTGCGGGGTTGCAAGGATGGAGTCACCGTCCATCTCGTCTGCCTTGTCTCCTTGTCCTTCGCATTCAAACTCTTTATTTGCTAGCACAATGAAATTTGCTACGGACAAAATAAAGAAAACGCACGGAGGGAAATGGGAAATCAGCCTTTCTTTCTTCGCTAATGACTGTCGTCGTTATACCGCTGAAACCAAAAAATCTTCGCAATAAATCTGAGGTCAGTTACTCTATTACTTTATTTATTGTTCATCCGCTGACCTTTGTTTTTCGACCAGTTTGAATTCATATTCATATTCAGTTCATTTTTAAGCAAATTATGAAAGATGAAAAGAAATTAAATAAAAGATTAATAATAATCTAGGTGCAGCGTTGTCCACCTTGGTAGCAAGATGGTTGTCACCAAAAATGGCGCGGACCCGAATCCGCCAGACAAACCAGACGAACTAAGCTTCATTGGGGCGGAAGCAAAAGGAAGTGGTGACTGAACGAATCGCTGCTCAATTTGGAGCGCCGACACTAACGTTTTACGCCTGGCAGGAGTGAACTCCTGACGACTATACTTTTATCACCAAGTGACTTCCTAATGCGAAATTCGAACGGAGGAATGGTGAGTGCTTTTAGAGGAAAATATTTATGGTTATAATAAAAAGCCAAAAATATATCGATAAAACCGAAATAAAATTGAGTAAAATAAATCAATGGTGCAAAAAGCACCTAAAGAAAAGAATTTAAAAAGTTTCAAGAAATTCTCCAATGATATTTATTTTTGCTATAGAATATTTACGAATTTTCATTCAAACATGGTGCCGAATTTTCTTTGATACGAATCTTAAGGAGGTCGTTTGTGGACGGAGAATACCGTGGCAATGTTCCGATATTATGTGAGATTTTTTTCCGTATTTTATTTCTCTTCACGTATTGTTTCTCATCATATACTATCGCTGTTTTGCCCCCAATTTATTGCCTTAAATTAGTGACGCCGACCGAGCAGAGGAGCTCTTCGTTAGTTTTTTTCATTTTTTAATGGAGATCAATTCTTTACATTTACTTTCCGAAAAGGGATTGACCTCAACTTAATTTGAATCAATTTGTCCGAGCCCATATAGCGATGGCGTCCGAGCCCATATAGCGATGGACTGAGTAGCTTGGAGACGTCCTACCTTTGTAGCCAGCCTTTGGAGCCAGTTTAGCCAGTAAAAATGAGGGATGTTGGGAGAAAAAGAAGGTGAGTGATAGCCCCCAAGCTACCAAACAAGTTATTATTCTAATCGTTACTTGGGGCAGTTTTAATTTTTCTTTTCATTTTTAAATTTCTCAAGTGTTTTTCATTTTTTCTTTGCATCTAATTTTTTAATATTTCATTATATTGATTTTCTGCTCATTTTTTGTTGTTTTGTTGTTACTTCCATGGTTTAATTATGTTTGAGGATAAAATTCATATCATACGACGTTTCACACCTTGACTGTCTGTTCAAGAGAATTGGATAGAAAAAAGTACAGTTGCGTGGCAGGCGAAACTATTATTATTCTCGCTGTCCAGATTTATTTTTCAACACTAGGGAAATGTGCAGGGGCAGAAGGAGATTATAAGATTGTAACCCAATAGGGGCTGTGGTGAATATGGATAGTAGAGAATTGTAAAGGATAGAATGGGGAAATACATTAAAGTACCGACGGAAGAGGGGAATTAATATAGTGAATGAAAAATAAAAAGGAGTGAAGCAACAAAAAAAAGAATGTAGAAATACGTGATTCTGCCAATGTTTTATCTGAATAAAATGAAATCATATTGGGCAAATATTAAAATTAATTTTAGATTAAATAATGGAATGCGATATATTCGATTTGGTCGATGAATTTGACGATGAACGAAGAAAAAATGCTGAAGATAGAAAATTTCTTTTTCGTCGAGAATTACGTTCGATGGTTTATGGATTTGGTGATGATAAGGTTTTCACTGATAAAAATTTTCTGGAATAGGGGACAAAATAATCGATTTTATACGTACGTACGTACTTATTTTAACGAAATCAGTGACTGCAAAAAGGTTTTATCACGTTATTAATGCTTTAGCAAATACTTTTATACGCAGGAACCTTTATTTTTTACCTTCGAATAATTTAAAAAATGATATAATAGAAAGGAAGAAAAACATGTTTTTGAGTTGGTCATTAGATAGATAATTAGATAGACAACTTGTCTTTCCTGCTCAGCGTCTCCATTTTTTTTCTATGTTAGTTTACGAACTTGGCTCAAATCAGATTATCGGAAATACTTGTTTTATTAGACAATGTTAGTAAAAAGATCATTTATTGGTAACACTCGTTTAATAAAACTGTAGTGGTAATTTATAAAAAATGTAGATTTTAAAATGCTAGTTTATGATCAGCTTGGTTTTAAAAACCTACCTTATATAGGTGGCATCGACCCCTTAAGTTGGTGAAGTTCCAGAAAAATTCATGAAATAAAGAAATAATGAATAATTCATTCGCATGATGTTTACAATTATGAAAAAGTTTAAATTTGGTTACATTTGGATTATATAAATAAATTCTTTAGCTTAAATTTTTTCTTCTAAAAGCCTTTTTTGGTTAGGCTCACTCCGCTGGCTTGTCGTGCTGGACAAATATGCCAGGAAGACAAATATATCTCTTGGCGATAAATAAGATACAGGTATGAGCCGCTGGCATCACCCTTTTTGAACAGGTTTATTCCTGTGGGAACTAGGACCTAAACGCCGGCATTTCGAATTGAACAACAACCCACTGAGCCATTCCACCTCAGTTCAAATTCTTAGAAATAAATATCAAGTACTTCTCAAAGTTTTATCACTTGTTGTATCAAAGTATAAGTCATAATCACTTTTTAGAAAAATTCCAGATGCCTTATGATAAAACACTGGAATTAATCGAACAGATTGTTGTGAATTATATATGTGAAATGTGTCAACGAGCTTTACAAGTGGGCAAACCCGGCAAATTATCACTTGAAGATATTCATTATCTCATACGAAGAGATGCGAAAAAATTTGGACGAGTCAAGGATTTATTATCGATGAGTGAAGAATTAAAAAAAGCAAGGAAACAATTTGATGAAGCCAAAGCTATATGAGCAGACTTTTTTATTTTTATAATTAAAAATTTCAATATATAATCTCAAAACACTATTTGTATATGCAATAATTGGAAAATTTTTTAGAGATTACAAAACTTCAGAGATGTTGACTAGTTTAATATAAATTTATGAATAATGCATCAGAATCCATTTATAAAATATGAAAATATGGCAGCTTATTGTTAATTGGATTTTTTAAACTCATTGCTCTTAAGATACTTTCCTTTCAAGTAAAAAATAATTAACTGCAATAAGAAACAGTTCTACTATTTAAAAATTATTTAAGGCACGATTGGTTTCATCTTTACCATTCGAATTTTTTTAGAAATTAGACCACATTGGTTTACGAATCCATCGTAATCGAAGCCCACTATTAGTTCGAATTTTAATTGAAGCAGCCTCTGCAGCTCGAACTGTATCCTTAACTGATTGCATTAGATTTTGTGCATTAAGGACCAGTTGTTGCATTGCTTCTTCATCTTCTTCGCTACCTGAAATCAGCAAAAATTTGCATATTTAAATATCAAAACTATAAACACATGATAACAAATAACCCTTAATAAGGTTAGTATAAGTAAACTTAAAACTTAATTCTTCCTAATTCCTTCATTAAAAGAATTTATTTTCATCTAATTAGGCATTCATTATCTCAGTTGTTCATGCATAAAAATTTCTAATCCTGAATAATATGATTTGTTTGGAAATATTAGAAACAAGAAAAACTATTATTTAATGTTGATTAATCACGTAATTCAATTTACATGCATTGTAAAAGACATGCCATATTAATTCACTGGAAATAAATCTAAATCTAATAAATTAGGGCTCATTCTTCGTCACCCGGGATTTGACATTTGACATCTAATAAATTAGGGCTCATTCTTCGTCACCCGGGATTTGACAGATCTAAGTTAGTTGCTAAACTTTGTGCCACCAAAAGTAAGAAGAATTATCAACCAGGACCTGGACTGGTACCATCGAAGATTTCGATCGTATAGGTGAACCAGCTATATATGGACCTAGACGATGGGTAAAGCAATGGCTTCTATTACTATCTGCAATCGGATCGGATAGCTTGGATACTTTTTACCTTTGTAGCCAGTGGAGCCGGCTTAACCAGTAATAGTGCAAGCTGTTAGAGAAAGAAGGAAATAGATTTAATGGAAGAACTCGGCTCAAACGTATACTGCAATAGTTAAACACACAATCTAGAGTGTTGCATTATCCGAAATTAGCAAGATGTATGTTAATGATAAGGGATATAAAAATTGAAAATGATTGACTATAAGAGAATCAAAAGGTTGTTAGTATACACAGATATGTAGATATATACCATCAATTTGTTGTCCATATGGTCCAATAGTTACTGAAATAACTAAATGCTTAAAAATAGTTGTAATATAGAGATTAAAAAACGATTAAAAAAAACGATTGAATATTACCTTGCGATCCCAGCATAGTTGCTTTTACTGTCGATAGAATCTTAAGTTGAGTTGCAATCGTCGGAATGCGCTCACAGACTTGTAAAAGTGTCTATAATAATTCTAAAAATTTAATCGAAAAATTCAATGGAAATGAAAATAAAAATGTGAAAATAAAAATGCTTGAGCCACTCTCTATAGTCTGAAACTTAAGATAAGAAAAAATATAAAGAAGATGTCAGGTCACAACTAAAAATAGCAATTTTTTGTTCATTTTCATTAATTAAAAATAAGATTAACCATTCTCATTTTAATATCAGTGCATTGCCTGGCAAGTTGAACAGCAAGTCGAGTGACTTCTTCGCTTGAATCTGCAATCGCCTTGGCACAATCGATAAGATCTTTTTTAGTCCCACCTTCACCTCGAACCAATTGACTAAGTCGAGCCATTAATATAGCCATACGCTTAGCTGCGGCAACAATATCATTTTCGTGGCTCGACCACTGTCGTAGTTCTTGGTGTAAATTATGAGCAGCACTCAGTATCGGTTGACTAGATGCACCAGGCAGAGGATATCTTTCCCAGAAAGCTCTTGTTTCCTCTTCATCATCAGTTTCTGGAGGTGGTGGAGGTCGTGGGGGTGGACTTATTTCAATTGGAGGTGGAGGACGTGGTGGTGCTGGTATTTCTTCTCTTATATAGATATGATCATGAACTACAGGACTCGTCGGAGCTTTTAATGGAACCGATTCAATCAAAACAGTTTGATTCATATGTGGTGATCCAGTTATTGCATCACCTACTTGACGTACAGCAGATAAGAGATGATCATTAGCATTTCGCCAATTCTGAGCGTTTCCTGTATGTCGCGGATTCAATGCTACTTGTTTCGCTTGATTTACCATGGGGGGAATAGCTGCAAAAATTGCGTTATATTTTAAGATTAAAGAACACAATTATATAAAATTATATTCAAGTAAATTTTTAAACTTTGTTTTATAAAATATTTAATTAATAATTTTAATAATCACCAATTTACGAATGAATTTCAAAAAACTGATTCTCCAATCCATATAAACTAAAAAAAAAAATTAAGTTGAACTCTAGAAGTTCAGTTTCAATAATTGCTTAGAAATATTATCTGTGATGACCTAATTAGAAAATGAGAGAGATGAGGAAAAATGAAGAAGAAACAAACCTGAATGGAGCTGTTGAGCAGCATGATTAACACGCTGCACAAATGATGGTTCTTCAGAATTGTCCGCTTCATTTTTCGCAGTCATTAAGACACGATTCCCTAATCTAGCAATTTGCGATGTATTATCAACCATTCGTTGTGCTTCGTTTCCTTGTATCGCATCTTCACAACAGTTCGTGTAACGACGCATTGCTTGTTCACTTGCACGAATGAAATCACCAGTATCAATTGCATCATCGACATGTGCACGTAAAGCATTCAGAGCATCAGAATATTCACGATGAATGTTTTCAAAATGTTGATTCGCGGATTCTGTGTCGTTATGTAAACGAATTTTACCAGCGTTTATCACTTGTGGTGTCATAGCACTTACCTTAAAAAAATAACGTGAAGCATATATATACATATATATAATATATTTTTAAACTGAATAACATAATCTACAATGGATAGAAATAAAGAAAAAAAAAGACTGCTGCGTTTTTGTAATGATCAATTAGATTTTTTCTTGCTTAATTGTTCAGTCTTTAGCAGTAATTCTCATCATTAAATGATATCTTTATCTGCTTAAAAACTTCAGCCGAAGAAAAAAAACCTCTACAATCTTATAAATAAATAAGAGTTTAACAATTAGAAAGAAAAAATTAATAAGTAAACAAGAGAACAAGAGAATAGATGCGATACAATGCTTTCATATCAAAACATGTTTTAATGTTCGCTTCCGCCCTCTATTTTCACTCTAAGATTAGCATTGATTACTATTAATTAAAGAAATCGCCGTAAAAAACAGCTGCTAACATTATTTTATAGCATTTTTCATAAAATCTAAAGTGGTAAAGAAAATGAAAATTTAAAGATATACACGATGCGCTGTATCAATAATTGCTTCAACAGTTTTCTTATTTTTACATGGACCACATTTTGCGACCAAAAGTGCAGTCTGCGTACATCTTGAACTATGATGATCAAGGTTTTGCGCTTTGTCTTCGAAATTTCGCTCACGATTTGGCATACTTGGAGGTGCATAAACTGCATCAACGAACTGTTTTAATGGCGTTGATATATCAGCAAAATCTTCAATAACTCGATCTGTTATCACTCCTTTCATAAAATCTGCCAATTCCCTTAATTTATTTCTTAACTGATATCTCAATTTGTCTGCTTCTGGTGTATTTCCGAGACCGCGCCGTTCTAAATCTAGCAGCTGACTGGCAAGGCGATCAACATCCGAACACAAATCAAGCATCCTTGCGCGATCTGCTGGTGATAATATGTCACATAATTTCTTTGCTTCATTTGTTATCGCTTTGATTGCTTGCAAACCTGGAATTTTTTTTAAGTTAGCATAAATTAACAATCATCTATAAATTAAGAAAAATCAAACAATTATGTAAGTAATTTAACTAACAAAAAGAAAAGTTTAACAAAACAAACCCAAGCCATCATCGTTAATGCCGGGATTATCAAGCCACCTAAATGCTTGTTCAAGTTGACCAGCAACAGTATGAGCTGGATGTACACCACCAGTTCGCTGAGTATTTATCAATGCACTAGGAAGCATGCCAGATATTTCTTTTGTTCCAACAAGTTCCTTAAGTTTATTGGAACAGTTCACTGCTAAACCATGGTTGTCACCACCCTGAGAACGAATTTCACATAAAGAATCAGCCAACGAGGTGATATCATTAATTGTACGCCGTATCATGCGCGCATCTTCAGGAAGTGCACGTGAAGCTATACGTTCAGAATATGCAACAATACGCCTTATAGCTTTTTCTCCTATTGCACCAACACGTCCACGTGGATCGTTTAACCAATCAAGAGCTGCACCAAGTAAACTTTGCGCAGCACTTAATGCTTTTCTCATAACAGTAACATTATCGCTTTCCCATTCGTCTTCATCATAAGTTGTTAGTTGCAATACACGGATGATTTCATTAATTTCATCCACCATTCGTTGAGCTAAATAGTTACGATTTTCAGACGCTTCATACTGTCCTCTTTGTGAATGTTCAGTCAACTGAATAAAAATTTTCATAGCGCATATCATTATTGGTGACAAGGTTTTTACTGTATCCATACAACGAAGCAATATTTCACGATGAACTTGATGTGTCAATTCTTTTTCTCTCGCATCAATATCTTTTGATACACGAGTCAACCATGGACTTATATCCTGAAATAATCATTAAAAGCAACTAATAACAATGATCTTAATTATTTCATACTTCAATTTCTTTCATACTTCGATTCTAGCATGAAAATTTTCGACAATTTTCTTTAACAGAACTCAAGAAATTTCCAGGAATCAAATCGAAAAACAACCGAAAAAGGAAGGAAATCAAATCAAACCTTCACGAATTGTGCAAGATCATCCATATTTTCGATAACCTCGGCAACAGCCAAGTAATCCAAAACTTTGCGACACCCACGAATTATTTTCCGTACTTCAGATTCATCGAAACAAAGCAATAAAGCTGATGTTCCTTGCAGTATGCCTCGGGCACCTTCGATTAATTTCTTCCGTGCTGGTCCAGAATATGGATCCATTTTTAACATATGACATGCATCTTCCAATAATCTTGAACTTGTCTCAACTCGCTGTAATGCTGGCGGCATATCTTCTTGCAAAATACGATCATCCGATGAATGGCACGTATCATAACCGACCTGAATTTATAAAATTTATAAAAATATTTGTGTTGTGGGACAAACTTGAAAGTGAATGAAAAATGATAAATGGTAAGGAAAACCTTAATTAAATTATCGACAGCTCGAGATACAGCCCCAACAGGTCGAGTAAGATCTGGCATAGCATTTCCATCTTCCGCTTCCTCATGGAGAATTACCAGTCTAGAAACCTGAAATTTCATGTTTTCGATGTTTAAATTGAATAATAGAATAATTGAAAAACAATAATAATAATAATAGCAACAATTATCGAATGATTTTATTCTAACAATCGATTCTAAGTAATTGTTAATTACTTTAGAATGAAAAAAAAATATACTTGTTTATTCAGTTATTTATTTCTTTATTTATCTGAGATATTCACTTTTATTACGTTTAATCCAAGGAAATAAAAATAATTTTCACTGAAGAGTGAATAAATAAAAAAACAAAAACAGTGCATCAAACAAAACGAAATAAAAAAAAAATTATTAAATACTACTGAAATAAAATAATTTTGCATTTTTAATCCAAAAAGAAAAAAATTTAAATTTAATTTGTCTGTTTTTTAAAATTCTCGAAGAAAAAAACCACCATATTTCCATTACCTTAATTTAATTTTGCATTCTACAATTAACCCTCTTCCTATTTCTATAAAACATAAAACACTGCGGCGACCTTTTTCGAATAGTCAAACTTTTTACGGTTGAAGTACGGAAATTTATCTTTCAATATTACTTTAGGTATATTCTGCAGCCAAATGGAAAAATGCCTTTGAAGGCGTAAAGGCCCTCAGCCAGCAATCTCTCCTCCCCCACTCCTCTCCGAAGGCAATGCCGCCCAGACTGGGAAAGTTCAACAGCTTATATTATCGATTCGAGGTTAGATTCGCTTTAGTGATTAAAGAACCCAGATGGTGCAGCGGGCTCATATGTATTTCTAAACCTCATGTTGCTCACTCATCAACCATAAACGGCGAAGACTGCTAACCACAGACTAACTTATAATTCACAGAAATTGATCACCTTTAATTAATAATTAATATTAAGAGACAAATGGTTTTAACAAATCTTTCCCCCAAATTATTTTCGAAAAATTTATATTCGATTCATCCGATAAAATCAGAAAATTTGATACGGCACTGCTCATTCTTAAAAATGAATCGGCAACTGCCAAGCTCAACATATTGAATATTCTGTGATGAAAATTGCCTGCAATAACTACAAAGCCCATTCGAAAACCAAATTTAATCAAAATCGAAAAACCCGATTAGTGTTGGTTGCTTAGACTAACACGAATGGAACATTTCCCGAGTGGATTCTCTTTATGAAAGCCGAATTTAAGTCCCTCCACGACCACAACAGCTGTTATCATTATTGTTATTGCTATTTCGTTGCTATTTTCTTTAGCCAATTAAAGAATTAGAAACTTGAAAGATATTTACTGTTTATGTTTACATTAGTTGTTTCTTATTTTTTCAAAGAATTTATGCTTATTAATTATATTTCAAGTAAAAAGGTGGTTTTCCCAATATTACTTATATGTTACTTGTTATTTTATAAATCCGACGTTTCAAACAATTCGAAAAAATTCGAAAAAAAAAGCCAATGCCAAAGTGCCAATATTATTCTAATGCGAAAAAATGTAAACATATCATAAAATATCAAATTTCAATAGGAAAATTATAAACTATTTAGAAAAGAAAAAAGTTAAGTAGTGCTATTAAATTATTAAACTGTCTAAAAATGAATATTAAAAAATCTCCAATGGCTTTTAAAGATGGAACAGCGTAAAAAGATCAGTCTGCAGTGCGATACAATAGTAATAATAGAGTAATAGAAATAACAGAAATTAGTAATAGATAAAAGGTTGAGCAAATAGAAAAATTACATTGCTCCCTCGCAAAATCAGCAAATATATTTAAAAAAATATATTCCCCTACTTGCCTCCTGTTGGTAGCGTGGATTTACGGTTGAGGTTCTGCGCAATGTTCTAGCTGTTCCTAACAGTGGCGCCTTCCTGGACAAAGATCTCTAATGTTCTCCCTGGAATCCGCTGGAGTTTTTTTTCTAATTTAGGGAACAGTGCATTACCACTGGTCATCTTTTGGCTTTTGGTTTCCATATATATAAATAGATATGGCGAATGGCTTCGATATATAAATTTTCATTTATGTGTTGATAAAATTTTTTACCTTTATTACGAAATGAAAATAATTTGTTCAATCTATGAAATATTAGGAACTTCTGCCTTTGACAACTACTATTGACAACTATTTTTGCTAGAATTAGAATTCTTGTTTAAAGAATAACTAATAAACGAGAACAGAAGTGAAAAAGCTCAAATTTACTGCTTTTGGAATAAATATGAAACTCACGCAAACTGCTAAAATATAAACCAGTTTGCGAGTAAATTCAAAAAATAAAAGCAAAATGTAGTAATAATCGAGAAAAATAGTAATATTTAACACCTCGACATTTGCACTTTGAAAAAAAAAAGATAAGATTAGCAGAAAAATTTATTTATAGAAATCGTTAATAGTGAAGAAGAGATAATGGAAAGTTATTATCAATTCATTTCATTGTGATCACGATAATCTATCGAATAAAAAATCCACACTTTTTATTTTTAATACCAGTGGGCCAATCTGATTTTACAAATTCAATAGAATAGAATTTTCGAACTTTTGTACCAATTCAAATTTATTTTTTCATTAGATTTAGTTCATTTCAAAATATTTGATGAAAAAATATTTTCAAATAATAAAGCAGAGATTTCAATAAAATATATAAAATATATTTTAACAAAGAAAAATATCAATAAAAAATAACGCACCTTCTCTGCATATAAAGTAATAATAATAAATAGAAAGCTGAACAAGTAAGCTGTGCTGCATTACTATTATTATTAAAAAAGTAAAATTAAGCAGAGATACACATCAATGGAAAAAAACTACAAAAGAGTCGTAAAGAATAATTACTGCTCGCATTCTTCATAATCATTTCCTTTCCTTTAACGGCGGTTAAATTTGATAAAATGAATTAATATCAAATATTCAAAAAACTTTTGAATTTAACTTCCAAAAATTCTTAATTTCCAAAATTTCTTTAAGTTCTTAAAAAATAATTCTGAATAATCCAATAAGAAAAATTTATGGAAATATTCTTCCATAACTAACAGAATTCAAGAAATAGCTCGCTTTAGGACCAATTAGTCTCACGCAGCTTCATATTCCTGTAATGCCATCTGCCCTTCCCTATCCCTCTTCCCCGTACCTTAATTAAAGAAGAAAGAAATGAGTACAAATAACAAGAAAAATTCAACATAAATCATAGAAATAACAAATACCTGTTGAGCGACTGGTTCAAGAATTCCTTCGATTGTCTTCGTATGAAATACAGGCATATTTGGATTAAATTACTTCTTCTCCATAATATAATAAGTAATATTTTGCGTAAATAATAATAAAAAGAATAAAGGTTTGAATATTTTAATAGTAAAATAAGCAAGTCAGAAAGGCGATAGTAAGAAGAAACAAGAAGTTGTCGTTAAAGCTGTTTAATGTGATGTTTTTGCTGATGCTGATAATGATCGAAACGATACGATGCTGAAGATGTTGAAGGAGAAGACGACGAAGGAATCGACGAGATGAAAACAAAGATTTCTTCGTTCTCTTCGCTTTACTACAAATAAATCTCTTAAAATAAAGTTTTTCCTTTCCTCGAGATTGATCGCTCTTTATCTGCAAATTTTAATTATTCCTTTAAAATTAATTGATTAATTATTTTTAGCTATTTTTTAGTGATTACTTTTTATGAACAACGAATATTACTGTTAAAATATTCCAGCTGAAACGAAACGAGATGATAACGACAGTAGTGAGGATAACAAGGAGGATAATATAGTTATTATCGTCTGTTTTGTCTTGTTCCTTCTTCCTTCCACCTTTTCTTAATAGTCATCGTCATTACTGTCCATTCTCTCTTACTCCTTTTTCCTTCTACTCTTTTCCTGCTCATTTCAACAAATAATCGCAAAAAAAGCAATAATTAAGAATCATTCAAGGCAAAATTCACATAAATAGTAAAGATGAAAGTAAAAAAGAAAAACCAAACGAAAAGACAAATCAATCGGATCTCGAAATTGATGAAATCTCGGAACAAAACCAGTTATCTTTATGTGCTTTATTTACAAATTATATTTGAACAGAACGTGGCAAAAAAATTTAAAATCCTTTTTTTGTCTTAAACTATTTTACACAACAATTTTTATTACCGAATTTGATATTTTTAATGATTTTTATAATTAATAATTTTAATATGTAAATTTAATTAAAATAGTAAAAAACAAAACGAATAAAAGAAATGAATAAATTAATAAAAATGTTAAACATTACGAATTGCAAATATTACCAGTGAAAATCAAAAAAATAAAAAGAAAGTTATAAGTAGATTAAGTATGAATTCATTCAACAAGAGCGCTAAACAACGGTTAATGAAAAAAAAGAAATTATTTTTAGAGAATTTGTTTGTGAACTGTGAACATATCGAATGACTACGAATAAATAAATAACAATAAATAATAATAAATATTCTAAGAAAAGGATTTCTAAAAGTTATCGCAGATAAGTGGAACGTTTAACTTTTCTTCTTTTAACAACAGATAATTTTTTGTTTGGCTGACCCTATTCGATACTGGGATGGCAGCTCAAGTCGACGGCGAACAGAAGAAGTCGGCTCATCAGTAATCAATAACTGGATTTTCACAACTCATTCATTAATTTATTAAATTTTCATAAGCTAATTAATGTTAAAATTTATTAAATTACTTTTAAAAGAATTGAAACCGCGAAAATTCCAAAAAAATGAAAAATTCGAAGAATAAGAATTTCTCAATGGATTTTAATAATACTATAATTAACAATAAATTTCATCGAAACGATTGGCTGAAAAAAAGTGGAAAGAAAAGAACATAGACAAGCTAACAGATGCAAATTACTATACAGAAAAGTTAAGGCTAACATTTATTCCACAACAGAATAGAATAAGAGAAGAAGAGCAGAATTTTAAGATACATTTAGCTATAGCTCAATCGCCTCTCTTATCCAATATCTGTTAATCTAAATTAACAGATATAACAATAAATACAAATTAATTATTAAAGCACTGAAGTAATAAAGAAATATTCTTCACAAAGAAAGCAAAAAAAGCCAAGGAAGGGAATAGCAACGATTAAAGTGAAATATTCCATTTCACAAGAAAAAATTATTAAACTTTAATGCCATTGAACCAGAGCTTATCTGCCCAAATATGAAGATTCACGTAAATAATTCCAAATAAATTGCCTAAACTGCAGCTTCTAACAAATTTTTCATTTATATTACAATAAAAACAATGAAGAAGGGAAAAAACTAATATCGAAATCAAATTAATGCTTAAAAAACAAGAGACTATGGTTCTAATATTCTAGCGAAGCAATCAGAATAAAGTTATACTGCCGACCGAAATAATAAATTTATAGAAAACTGATCGTCAAATCGCGAACAGAAATATTCACAGCTGAAACAAAATTAATGGGAAATTTAAAAAAAAAGAATTAAGGACCACACATTTCGTTTCAAGAATTCCGATATAAAACGAAAAAAAATTAAAGAAATTTTTAATAGTTTTTAATAATTTAATAGAGAAAATAATTTTTTACAAAAATAAAATTAAAACTAATTCATAAAAAGAGCAAAATAAAGGAAAAATAAGACAAAATTTGTTATAAAACAAAACAAAAATAACAATTAAATAATAATAAATAATATTATTATAATACCATAATATTATAATAATAATATTATAATATTTGAACATGAACAATAAGCAATGAAAAATTCTTATTCATGTTCGGCCTTGAAATCTTGGAAACTCGGAAATTTTTGAAAAATATTTTAAAAATCGATAAATATGCAAACAAGCAAAATAGTCGTCAATCTGTAAAGAAAATAAATATTCATAACTTATGATTAACATAAATCATAAGAATCAGCTGATTGTTTTCAACAAATTTTTTATGAAAATGTTTGCATTTGCTATTAAACCACATCATATCATCCAATTCGACTGATAATAATCATTGATAATTACGCCTTATTAAATTCAATTCCTATAAAATTTGAAAGCGATGGTAAAAGACGAAATAATATAAACTTGCAGAACGGTAAAAAATGGTATGCAGCATTTTAATTTCCAAAAGAAAAATATGGAAAATATGAAAAATATTTGCAAAATATGGAAAATAGGTCCTATAAGATATTTAAATCCAATAAAAAAATCAGATGCAAAAAATGATTCCAAAGAATTTTTAATTTTCCAAAAAAGTTGAATGGAAAAAATTCCAAATGATTCGAAACATTTTCTTCATGGCGAAAAAGTAAATAAAAATGATTTTAGAAAATTATAAAATCGTTCTTATAAATATAAATAAATGAATAAAAATTAGGAAAATGAAATGGAAGAATAAACAGAGAAATGGGAAGCAAAGATGCGAAAAATAAAATGCAATCCGAATGCAAATATCCGATTTGAATTTAAATTGTCTGACAAAAAGCAAATAAATTTTCGAGAATATGAAAATTGGAAAATGGTTTTAGGAAAAAAATCCGAAATGAAAAAACATTTAAAACGAATTGAAGAATAAAATTAAAACGCGGATTAGAGGTTTAAAAGTTGAAATTACATAAAAACTAAAGAAAGATGAAGAAAGTTGAAATGAGAATTCAAAAGAAACTTAAATGAATTAATTTAAATAAAATTTAAATTTGTGGAGAAATTTAAATGGTTGAAGCACTGAATTACGGAGAAATAAATACAGAAATCGGAAAAAGGAATAAAAACGGACTGCAGCCAACGACCCTCACAAAAGCGAATCTTCAAAAATAAACGACAAACGGACAGTTTTCGCGCACCGCAAATGTTCCATTAGGCGACAGGCATATAACCAGGCGTGGTTCTATTCGCACGCGCATACGCAACGCGTTAAGCGCGAAATTATTCGTTTTTTTCGAAAATTTAATAATTATTTCTATGTTGTTTTGTCAATAAAAATATAATTTTATTGAGTACGAAACATTAGAGAATTTATTTTCCAATTCATTTATTCAATTTTCCAATATGTGGTAATCGCTTTAATACTTTAATTTTAATATTTATATTTCAGTGTTTTTTATAAATTATTAAATTATTGATAGAATATTCGTCACGCAAGCCGCTGAACCTATTCTGAGGGGTCGGCGCGCCCTCCTCTCCCCTCTCTTCTCCTCGCCACACTTCTCCCTAGTTCAATCTGCAATTTTTTGAGCCTTATTTAAAAATCCTTACGCGTAGGTTCCGTGAGATAACGCCTCTAACGCGCCTCTCGCATGTCTATAATACGGATATTGATGAAGAAAAGGTAAAAAGTGATAAAAGAAGAATAAATTTCAAAGCACGATTTGTAAAGCAGCAGACATGGCTCAACTGTTTCATTATATGGTACTAATGGGTGGAAGAAATTCATGGTCGAGGCATTAGACTGTTTGAAGCCGAATTTTTTTTCTTGAAATATGAAATGAAAAGATTTGAGAAAGCCACTCATCACATCTCTTTGGGGATAGAAGTATTCATGTGTCTCTGTGCTGCACTCATTTCAACTTCAATGGCTCCCATGCAAACAGGTTCGAATCCATTTTTGCTTAAAATGCAACTAGACATCGTGTTTTGCAGTCCGCAATCGTCCTCGCCATCCGAATATCGGAAACTGCCTGAAATTTCTGCAGTTCATAATTTATAGGCCGACCTTCTGTAGCTAAAACGGTTTTCCTCAACGGAGCTCTTCTGTTTTCTCAATAAAATTTATTATAAAAGTAATTTTTGCGTGAAGAGAATTGGTTTTGAGCGGTTTTTAAGATGTAAATAAACGAATTATTCATAATTTATTATGTTAAAAGATATATTTCCGGTTTGTTTTTCTCTAAATGATAAGCCAATGCGGCTTTGGGCGTTTCTTGTTGGAGATTTCGCGATGTAACAGTAAGTGGTGGATTCGAAGGAATTATTCTCTAACAAGACCGGTGGAGAAATTTATTGAATATTACGAAGAAGTGATTGGCTTGACGGATGTTAAGAAAGCTCAAGCTGAAGTTATTGAGGTTCATTCACATGTTTGAGAAGAAAGAAAAATTATCGTTTTAGATAAGAATTTTTTTTGAGAATTAAATTTATATTTGTTTAGTTTTTAATTTGTTTAAATTTTCTACTTAAATTTTATATTTTTTATTTATCCTAAAAATCGTATTTTATTTAAAAAATTTTTTGTTAGAAAAAGAATTTCTTTATAGTTTGAAGAAAAATTAAATATTGCTCAAAAAGAACGTCGCGAGAAACAAATCGAATTAAAAGCGATTCAAACTCGTTTAAAGGATATTCATAGCGAATTAGATAGGACGGCGCGTGGTGAAGATAGGTTCTTCTTTATTGTCATTCTTATTTGTAGGTCAGTGTTTCAATTCCTGAGAGCACTATGAATTTATTCCCTTTCTTTTAACACCCTCTTTCACTATCGGTTAGGTCAAAAGTCTAACAAGAAGACAGAGAATTGATGAAGAAGAGTCGCGGTTCAGTGCGATGTCTAAAATCTGTCAGAAGCTTCGCTATTCACCTTTCAGTTCTTATCACATCAATCCAATTTCCAACTCCTTGCTTTCTTGCGTGGCATGTTGCGAGGTCGTAAGTCATGAATTTATGGAGTCCTAATTTTAAAGAATTATAAGAAAGGAATTAAAGTAAAAAAAACCACGCGTGTGAAATCGATATTAGGCCATCAGAAAAGCGTTTTCGCGCGTTTTTCGAATCTAGTTTTGGGGGCTGCTACTTTTATTTCTATACCACACTGGTAGGCATGTCGCATTATATTCACTGTGATAGTTTCGGCCAGCTTCATCCACTTTTTTTGGATAATTTTGTTCAATTCCGATATGGAACGACGTGATTTTTGTTACCACGTCATAAACGGATGCATTGAGCGACAGAGGCAGATATGGAAATAGCATTTGGCGAGGCATCTAAATAAAGAAATGCAAAATTGGATCCATAAATTCAAATCTGAAGGATTCAAGTTCCTAGATAAATTCCTAAGCCTCCAAAATCCCCCAGATAATTCAGTGAATCGCTAAAGGAAATAATGGAGACTGATTTCAAAAGGATTATACAAATTTAGCGCAAGAGCTTGGAGTTTCAGTTATATATCACTTATAATCACCTTCATGCAGTGGGGGGAGGAGGAGAGGTGGGAGAAAATGGGAGAAAAAACAGCTATTGCACGAACTAGCATTAGATAAAGATTTGGAAGTGTTCGTACGAGTCAAAAATGATTTTTTTCTTAGATGCATTTATGCTTGCAATAAAAAATGGATTCTGTATGAGAATGGGAGAAAATGGGCGAAATTGCTGGATAAAAATGGATCCTCTTGATCTATGTCAAAATTCGGTTTTTGAAGAGCTGGTGTAGTGACTACAAGAGAGTCGTAAAGAATTTGAAGTAGTCCATGAAGAATAATAAATATCAGCAATCAACACTGGTCAATAAAAAAGGTCCCATATTCTGCACTATAATGCCGCGTTGCAAAGATCATTTCATAAAAAGTTCTCCAGATTCAAGTTCTTTCAGAATTCTCCAAATTTATATTCCTCAGGTTTTCCGTCAACAAACTTCACTTCTTCCGGTTTCTCAGCTATTTTCTCAAGGAGAAAGCTGGAAGACAACGTCTTTCAACAGTTCATTAAGTTCAGATGCTTGGACTTTTAAACAAATGCGGTAAATGCTCTCGTATCTTGCTTGTCAATTGTATGTATTGTTTCGAGAAAAAATATCGATTTTCAAAAATATCAAAAAAAAGGTCCTACAGAATAAACAGGAAAACGTTCGAACTTTTTGAAGAGCCAATACAATCGAAATTGAAATTATTAAATGAAATTATAATTTTTTTTCCTATCTTTATTTTCTTGATATTTATTCCGTTTCGTTTTATATATGAATATCCGGACAAATCAATTTTCTCTGTTACATTTTATTCCACTTTGTAGACGGAATTATGTTTAGAATTTTGAGCTTTTATCCCTTTTTTTTAGACAATCTCTTTTGTGCAGATTATGAACTTCATTATTAAAGGCACATTAGATATGTCACTATTTCGATAAGTTCAAGTTTTTTGTTGTTTGAAAGCTTTAAAAAGGAAGCTCTTTTTTGAGAGATTAAGAAGTATACTTAATACTTCACTATTTCGAATTATGCAGATGCAACCATAAATTATATAAATTTTTTTTAGGTATTTACTATTATTAACTGAAGAACATTCAGCAATAAAAAAGGAACGACTATTATGTGAACAATTTGAAATGTCAGAATCACTTGAAAGAGATGCTTTTCAGAATTTATCGAATAAAGTTAGGCTTAGTCACGAAAAAGAACGCGAAAGGTTCGTAAAAATTTGCTTGAAGTTCATTCTTATTTTGAAAAAATAATTTTTAAATTAGGGCTTTGATAATACTTAATACTTTTAATACTTTGGCATCTAATAAATTTTTTTAAAGCTTCAAAGCTTTAATTTTTTAAAGCTTTTTTAGCCAATTTTTTTGAACGCTTAAAATTCAAATGTATTCTGATAAATATAAAATATATAAATATAAAATTAATTATAAAATAAAGATAAATATAAAATTTAGAATATAAAATTTAAATATATATTTTAATGACTTGTTAAAATTCAGAGGTGAAAGGACGAAATACTGGTCAATTTCTGCATCGCTTATTGGAGCATTACTCGGAGTTATTGGTACGACATTAGCTTCAGAAATAAGAATGCGAAAAATTAGAGAAATGATTCCCTCAGCTTCTCAATTATCACCATTGCTTAATCAAATGGCATCACTTGTTAATAAGCAAAGCTCAGAGGTTTTAAATGTTTTTTTTCTTATTTATTTATTTATTTTTTATTTAGTCTTATTTAGTATTTGGAAAACATGGCTTAATTCTTAAATTCTTCTAAATATTTCAAAACAATATTTCAAAATTATTTCAATGTAAGAATATTTCAATATTTGAAGCTTTTTAAAGCTGAGGGGAAAATTTTTTTTGCAAAAACTAATTTGCTTAGAAAAATGTTAGTTTGAGATTTTTTCACTGGGTTATTCTTTTGGGTTATATTCAGGTTTCCTTATTCATAAACGACGTTCGTACCTTGATGAATTTCAAACAAACTCCAAAATTAGAAGTAGACCTACCATCAAAGAATGAAACAGCTGAATTAATTATTGAAAAAATCAACGAGCAAAACGAGTTATTATCGAAAGAAATGGACGATTTAAAACGGTTAATAGCTGTTGATAAAGGCGCTAGCTCCGATGCAGTAGTATATGTTGGAAATGATATGGAAATACTTTTAAATAAAACGGAAAAGAATCTCGAATCGAAATTAAAATTGCAAGTTCTTCTTGCAACAGTTTGTCTTTATGCAGCAATAAGCGTTTCAATTCCATTAATAGCTGCCATTTTTCGTGGTAGTTAGTTTTTCCTTCTTTTTTTTGTTACATTTTATTGCATACTTCAATTTCGATTGTTTCGTCTACGAAGTTTTTATTTTTTTGAGAATTTTTTTCGCCAAATCTATAATAAAACTTTGCTCCATCGGAAAAAATGAAGTCGTTCGCGATATTCTTATGAACTATTTGTTTTCTTTTTTTTTGGTTTCTCTCAATGAGAGAATTAGTTGTATTTTTCTTTGTTTTTTTGAAAATTTCCGGAATTACTCAACAAAAATAAAAATTAATGGAACTCTTTTCTTAACATTGGACTTTCCTCTGGAATAAACGTAGAAATTAAAGTCTTATTAACCAAATATAATGAAAAATTTGAACATAAAATGCATATGTACAAGTATATTTTTTGAAAATTCTTGAACCAAAGCAACTGCTCTGAATCTGTTAAGGAAACCTGCAGTTGCGATCAATTCGATGCATGCAGCAAAGTATAGCCCTTGTGTGGAATGTGCGATTACTTACGGATGTTGCAAAGCGTCTCATACTATACCAAAATATCATGCGGATAGCACTCGTAAGCCGTATTTCTTATCATAGATTCAGAGCGGTTGTATTGGTATATGATTCACTTCTATTCATACACTTGTTCAAATTAGACTTTTGGCTATGCCAGCGTGCTATCCTGGGTAGCTTAGGTAGAAATGTTGTCATGACAACTATCTTGTTGATAGCGGATATCTTGCATTTGTTTTAAAGGGTAATTTCTGCAAATTGGTCATCGACTACTAACTGATTCTGCTTCTCTCTTCTCTTCTTTTTGAAAAGTTTTCTTCCCTTCTCTGTGTGATAGAACTCGTCGAGGGCATCACTCACCAGGATTTAAGATATAAAAATTAATTGAGACATCGTAAACTTTAATTACGGCGATGATCCTTTCTGTTGACTGTTACAAAGAACCACAACGAACATTAAAAATGGTCGATAACTGGGGCAAAAATTTATGTAAACAAAACGAAAACTTTTTCAGAAAGAAATCTGTGAAAAAATTTAAAAAATCTAAAATTGCAGTGAATTCGATACATGAGGCGAAGCAGAAGACAGCTCGGATAATTAAATCGAACTGCAATAAAACCATACCCGTCTTGCACAATTCTTTTCCATGAGTGTTAACTATGGTGAACATGAGACGGAAATTACGCTTTTTCCTTTTTCTGCTCAAAATATATTCCATCCTTGTCGATGGAATTTCATATTATCTCCGCTCTGCGTTTATCTCCGCTTTGCCAATAGGCATCATCGCTAACTGTCATCCGCTTGCCAAGTGATGTCATCACAAAAATTGATGCTGCATGGTAAATCTTGTGATGGATGGAGTCAAAATCCAGGAATCAAGACAAGGACTGATATGGTCAGGACAGACTATGAAGGTTCCCCAGCGATTAATGGGTATAGAAGGCAAAAAAAGGAATGATTTCGGTTGATTTCAGGCACGACATGAATACTCTAGAATGCCAAATTAAAAAAATATAAATATAAATTAATTTATAAGGGAGTCATTTTTACTGCTGTTCACTTTTTTAAAGACTATTTAATTCACACCTTTAAAAATCACCCACTAGGAAGTAAAACATAATCGTTTACACAACAGTTTATCAGAAATATTTCATTAAAAATCATCTCCGCGACTGACGACTTCTTTACAAGTTGGTCGAAGAAGAAGAGTATGTTCCCACTGGGCAGTATAGCATCCTTTAACATCGCATAAAGGTGGATAAGGTTGAACAATTCCTTTGTCACATAGATCTTTCAAAGCCATCAGATATTTCGTTTCTCCTAATCGATCAAGCCATCTTCTACAAAATGCCAGAGTTCCGAAGTTTTTATTGATAACACTGAGGAGATTCTTGGATCGCGCTAATCTAAAATTTTTTATTTTCAAAGTTTCTCGACTAAGACATCTATTAGCAAAATCTTTTTAAATAGATTTTAAATAATAATTAAGTTCCCAATCTCGGCAGGCAGTCATAGAAATATCCAGACAGATGAGTAGACGCATTATAAATTTTTCATAACTTCTTATTTGAATATCAAATTTAAAATTTCAAATTAATAAATGAATAATATACCTAAGAGAAATATGGTCTGTATGAAGATCAAAATCTTTCATATAATGACTACATTCCATATCATCATGTACAAATCCTTTACCCGTACTTCCAAAGGTTTCAATGGCATAAAATTCATTTTCTTCCATTTTGATCTGCTCACCACCCTGAAACTTTTGAAATGATTGTTTTTCGAAGCAATCAACCAACATGAACGGAAGATTTACCTTAACTATAGGTACAGTTTTTCCAGCATGAATACGATATTGAGCGATAGAATGCCCATTAAGATTTCGTATTGGCTTAACCACATATGTTTTTCCATCAAGTTCAACCTGAAATATTTATGTTATAATTATATGTTATGTTATTTATATTATTATATAATATAATATAATATATAATAATATTATATTATTATATAAATTATGTTATTATATTTTATTTCATTCTTTTCCAGACTATACTTCGTCCTAAATTTATTCGAAAATTTATAAAAATTTTAAAAAATTTAAGAATTTTAAAAATTTTAAAAATTAAAAAAATTAACAATTCTTAAAATATAAAAATGCATTTATTAAAATAAATGATGAAAACGAATTTTTTGAAATTTGAAATTTGGAAAATATTCAAAAACAAGCCTCATGACTACTCATAACTTCTTCAATGACATCACCAATATCGCAGAGTCGAACATCTATTCCTGCTTCTTTAATACCAGCATTTGTAGCTTCTTTGACCGCATTTACAAGAGGATCAAATTTTGGATCAAAATGAACGGTAAAGGCGCAATCAATAATTCGACCATTAACATGAAGACCGAAATCAATCTTACAGACATCGCCATACTAAAAAAAAATTATAAAAATAAAAAACAAACAGAGTCTTCAGACAATCGCCGAAATATCAGAATACCTGAAGGACAGTTGGATCTCCTGCATTCGGTGTATAATGTGCTGCGCAGTTGTTAAGTGAACAACCAGTAGGAAAAGCAAGTCCTGCTTTTAGCTCATTTTCATTAATCATTCTTCTTGAACACGCCTCGAGACGTTCACTACATTTTTTTTAATAAAAATTGATTAATTACAATTAATACAAAAAATTAATGAAATAAATTAAAACTGAAATCCTGTAAAAGTAAAACTGAAAAACTGCTAGAAACCCAGTGGTTCACTCGCAGAGAGATATTTGGCGCCATAACGTAATCGATGGGGCCAGCCAAATCAAAAATAATGAGCCTACCAGAAAATGAAGAGGTATAAAAATGGATAAAAACAAATTCAATAATAAAAATTTAAGAAATTTTATGAAAAATATTTGAAAAATCAAAAGAGGAATGCAATTACCAAATTTCTATCATTTTCAAACCAGGTTTCAGCCATGATTTGACATATTTTCGCGTCTGCCGATGAGCCTCTGCCGCTTGCCGAAAATCCTTATAAATTTCTTCATATGTTGAATCAAGCGCCTAATTGAAATATATATAAATTTTATTTACGTAAAAAAAATCATGATGTTATATTTAAAAGAAAATCATGATATTATATTAAAGTTTTTTTCGTTTCTCCAGAACCAAGAAAATTCATAATATGGAGGTAAAACTAATATCATATATATATATATATATATCATGCTAACAATTAAGTCAATACCAAACAAAACAATAAAATATATGGGATAAATGAAATAATTTAATAGCTAAATAATGCTTTACTTTCTTTTCTTCATTTGTCATCCTATTCATAGCCGTGCGATCATCATTTTTTGACTGATATTCACAAATCTCACCAAAAGGATAATTACCATCAGGAAATTGTTCATTGATCGGAATGAAAGAACGCATTTCATCTTCTGATTGTTGCATTAAAAACTTTTTTGGCTCATCTAGACTTGCATTTTTGCCATGAGCACTACCTAATTGATTAGAAAAATTTACTTTAAAAAAAAATAAATTTTAAGGCTAATTTAAAGCTAACAAAGGGAAAATTGAATCGAAAATTCTTCACAGTTCATTCTATATAAAAAAAAAGTTTCTAAATAAAAAAGAAACTTTTATTTGTTTTTTTAGATTTGCCATCGTTTGTAGTCCTTTTTGTTTCTAACTCGACTTGCATCAGTATTTCATCCAAATTATCCAAATCAACATCACCTAAATTTTTTTACTAAAAAGAAATCGTTCTTCAAGACTCTCATTATTATTAAAATAATATAATAAGAATATAATAAAAATATGGTATTTGAGGTAAATGAAGATCAAAACAACTGAAGAATTTTAAAAATTGACAGAAATTTCGAAAAATGGGAACCTTTATTCTTTTTTGAAGGTTTCTTTTTTGATGCACTCTTTGTTGCATTCATCGCAAACTTTTATCCAAATAGTTCCTGCAATCAGCAAAAAAAAATGAAAACTGAATTTTTCTGTGAAATTAAATATGCCTATTACAATAGCGATATAGCAATATGCACATATTTGTTCATTAGAGATCACAATATTAAAGTTCTCAGACCAGAACTGCTGAGAAAGCTAAAATATAACTGCGCAGAATTCCCCAATCTCAATCTCACACGACATGCAGAGGACGCGAAGTCGAGGATGATGATGATTATGACCACCCAGGAAGTGAGAAAAAAGCTATTTTTATTCGAAAACTACTTGAATTAATTTTAATTTTATTTTAATACTCTTTGAAAAATTAGGCTAATTATTGGCAAATCCACAGTTCTAAAAATAATTTTGAGAAAAATCGAAAATTCTCACTTCAATTTGAAAAAAATAAAATTCAGCCCTAATAAGAATCTGATAACAAGATAAATCATGCTATGAGATTTTGGACTCACAAAAACATTGAGCATAAGTCGATAAAAATGTTTTCATTTTCTGAATTAAAACGGAACATCACTAAGGAAATAAATAAACTTACATGAAAAATTAGGGCTATGCTCACATATTATACAGAGAATAATATTGACAATGGAAAAACATCATTGAGATCAAAAAAAATTTAAAAATCGAATAGTTCATTTAAAACAGAAAATACTGACAACTTATACTCAAAATCTGAATATATAAAGAAACATCGAAATTATTTAACAGGAAAAAAGGAAAAAACAAGAAATTCGTCACAAAATTCCTGGTCCACAAAATTCATGAAATAGACTTACTTTTGGGGGAAATATTGCATTTATTCAAAAAAATTTTTAAATCAAATTTGATAAAACGAAGGTTTACTTACGTATTTGATAACGATTTGAATGAATAATATAATTATACATTTGCAAATATTCATTATAACAACCCAGCCAATTCATATAAAAACGATATCGCATAGAATATTTATTAAGAGACATACTGTTGAATGGACCTAAATCTTCAAAATATGGTTCTTCGCCAGATTCTGTCGACTTACTTGGACCTGACACATCTGAAGTTATCGATTTATTTGCTGTAACCTTAGAGTTTTTTACAGTAAATTCGTTGCATGATGAGCCATCTGAACGAACTGACGTCGACTCACCAAAAGCATTGTTAATATCCACGGAATGTTCGATATAGTCATCTCCAATATTTTCTGCATTGCCAGCACCGCTGGAACTCAAATTTGAATTGAAACCATTAATTATAGGACCCGAATTACCACCATTGATGTATCTAACACCATAATCAAAATCCATTTCCGTAATCGCGTCGGACTTGCTAAAATAATAAATAAACGACAAATTTCATCTTAAAAAATTTTTTAAATCCATAAAGAATTTCTACTCTGACCTTCGAAAACTGGCAGAGGTGAATTCAATGAATTTTATCGATTATTTTTAAAGATTTAACTTTATAGTATCCGAAAAAAATCAAAATTTTTTTCGATTAAACTTTAATTTATAATTCTAAAAGTCAAAGAATAAAACTGGCTTCGCAACTGCATTACAAGCCTGGTCTTTTTTCATCGCCATTGCAAGTGCACAGTTTGACCAAAATATTGAAGTCATACGCTTCAAACATTCAGCTTTTTTATCAACAACCTGAAAATATTACAATATAATGAGATCACAAAAAAATATTTAGCAAAAACTGATCCATGTGGATAGTAATTTCGGGAGGTTTCCCTTTTTAAATCAAAATTTTTGGTTAAATTTTAAATGAGAAATAGTTTAAGCAATACGCGATAAATCATTTTAAATAAATCATTTTAACAACTTTAATTTTAAAAGCCATGTCCTGAAAAATCATGTCCTGAAAATTTGTTTATTATTATATGTTATAAAAACTTTGTTATACAATGGTTCCTCATGAAAAAAAAAGCAATTCATCAATGATACACTTTTTTAAATCTCAAAAATAAATTCATCGAGGATTACTTTCCAAATTTTAAATTAACCACCATGGAAAATTTGAATGAATTTCGACATAGCTTATAGCTTATAACTGTTACTTGATTATAAAACTTTCACAAAATTTTTTACAGCAATAAAAACGAATGAGGATATCATGATTTTACGACTATGCAAAAATAACGAATTTAAGTATTTTTAAAAAAAATAACCTGAATATTTCTTCTTATCATAACACAAGGCCCAATATTTGATGCAGAATTGTTGATTAATTCTTTACAACATTCTTTTAGCAAATAATTATAGTGAGAATTGGCAGACTCCGGCAGAATCAAATTCAAAGCAAAACGAGACTTTGAAATCACTTGAGATCCTTTCGCCAAATTTGCCACATTTTGTTCGGATAATTCATTTAACTGATGCGAAAACAAAACTTTTGAAAAAACCATTGAAATGAAAAAATTTAAGCAAAAAAATGATTACTTTAAAAATTTTCAAAAAAATTCTAAAACTAATCAAGTAATTATAATCAATCGAGTTTCATAAATATTGGATAACTCACTTTTTTTTGCAATACTCTTTGTAATTTTTCTCGTTTACGGATAACTTTTAATTGTTGTGGCAGCGGAACGCGCATTTCGTCATCTAATTCAAATGGTTCCTTAATATTTTTCCACTTTCTCGAAGCAATTTCACGGAAAAATTCGATTGGCAATGAATCTCGCATTGAAATCAATTCATTTCGAGAATATATCAGCACTTCGGAATCATTTTTGAAACAAGGACATTTTTCATTAGTGGAATCAGTTTCCTTAAAAACCAAAAAAAATATATGAAATTAATAAAATTTTTATTAGACAACTGAAAAATGGCACCAGCCTAATAGTTAGCTAATTCAGTCTATATAATGACAAAAATTTTCAATATATTACCTTTTCTTTTATAGTAGTTGCTTCTTTAGAATCTCGAGAAATAATAAAGGGTTTTTGAAAAACAATATCGCCAAATCTTTGCATGCTAAATCGTTGCCATTCCTTCTTTGTTAACGAATTCTTAATATCTAATAAATTTCCTCTAAGATATGCATATGAACGTGACCTATGCCCTTGATATTTGCGAATATTTTCTATTGCCACACTGCCATCATGCACAAAAATACACCCATTATTAGCTGTTTTAACAGATGAATTCTGACAAGTCGACGAATCTAATAAACCAGCAAATTCAACCGAATCTTTTGAATCACATATTTCTTTATTATCCATACATTTAGTCTGAAAAATCAAGAAAATTCTTAATTTGCACATGAATTTGCACAAAAAAATCGAGAAATTAAAAATTTTTTGGCTCTTTTTTTTCTTTCGTCAGAAAAATGATAAGTAAGAATGAGAAAAATAATTAGAAAAACGAAAAACTTTACCCATTCAGTTACAGCAACATGACTCGCTACTGCTTCATTATTCAAAGTGGCTTTCGATGTGTTTTGCTTCTCAGAATAGTGATAATTTATTGGACTACAAATTGATGCTACCTCAGATAAATTCCCTGATTTATTTCCTAATTTAGCACCAATAATATAGGTATTCGAAATCTAAATATATTTTCCTCAATTTCAAAGAGTTAATTTACAACGAACTTCCTCAATTAAAATGGCAATTAAAATGGTAACATTTTTATAAACATATTTTTAGGAAAGGTTTCAAAAATTGAAAATTATTTGCTCGATAAATGGGATAAAAAGAAATCTTATTTCAAAAAATGGCATAAAAAAAATTGCATAAAAATTAACTTTAAAATCACAACAAGAATCATAAAATGATTTATTCTCACAAATGTCCGCTGGTCGTTCACCTTCAATCTCTAATAATTTCACTTTTAACTTAGCTTCAGCAACTTGATAATTGAAACGTCGTACATCATTTTCAGTTGTTAAAATAGTAAATGAAGTTCCATACCCACCTAAAATTAAAAGATTTAAAAAAATCCGAGTTCAATTAAGTAGAAAATTTGACGCAAAACAAGGTAAAAAACCAAATAGCAGCAAAAGCTTCGAAAATTTTGTAAAAAAATATCATATAGAAAAATTAAAATTTCATTAAAAAAATAATTCTAACTGAAAGAATTACCAAATCGACCAGCACGCCCAATTCTATGCAAATAAGTTTCAGAATTTACGCAGCAGCCCATGTTGAATACAAGATTGACACCAGCAGAATCTATTCCTCGAGCAGACTTAAAGGAAATTATAATTATTCAATAACAAAAGAAAAATTTGAGAAATTATTTTTAAAATCGATAAATGAATAAACAAACGGGAAAAATTTAGAAAAATTTAGAAAAATTTATTCAGAAAAATGAAAAAGGTGAATATAGCTAACCAAATCAGTTGTAATAAGTATTTTTATGGTAGAATTTTTCAGTTTTTTTAATACTTTTAAACGTTCTTCTTGCGATAAAGCGCTTGACATAAGCATCACTTTTAATTCCTTCCCTTTCAATTCATTAAAAATTCTTTCACATCTTAATTTTTTAAATTTTATGTTTAAAGTTTTGAAAATAGTTTTATCGAAAAGTGAATCTTTTGATTAGTTCAGTCTTGTAATAAACCTGGTTTTTTATTATCATACTCATCAGTGAAAAAACAATTTAGGAAAAAGTAATAATGTATGAAAAAGGTCCATTAAAAAAACTGACTTCTCGATTGAATTTGCGAAAATTAGACACTGATTATATACAAATGAATTCAAGAGCTTAATAAGAGAAGACACACCATTGGTATTATCATTAATATTTATTATCACATACTGTTTAATTCCTATTAATTGCGCATCAGAAACATTCATACGAATCAACTGCGCATCTGAAACTATTTTTTTGATAAATAAAACGGAAATTCTCCTATGCGTACATCCACAAAGAATAAGAAAAAAAATAAAAAATGAGAGCAAAAAAAATAAGTGATGAAATTACAAAAAAAAAGAAAAACGAGTAATTCAAATGAACTAACTCCTCATATATTTCGCCAACATGAAATCGAGGTTATGAGGATACGTCGCTGAGAAGACTGCTACCTGTTTATCAATGGGTAAACTTGAAAACAAAAAACTGAAAATAAATTAAACCGAAAAAACTTTTCAACATTTATTTTGTGGTTGATTAAAAAAAATTATGAATTCTCCTTTTAATCATAGAGGAAAAAATCCTGCTTTAATTAATTCAAAAGAACGCTTTCAAAAAGCCTTAAATTCATTGTAAAGGTGAAACATACTTTACGTCTTTAACAAAAGCTTCTTCCATCAATTTATCAGCTTCATCAAGAATGAAAAGACGAATTCGATCTGTCTTAAGTTTCTTGATATTAACAAGATGACAGAGTCGTCCCGTTGTCCCGACAGCTATGTGCACTCCTTTAGCAAGGGCTTTCAAATCTTCCACGATATTTTCTCCGCCAAAGAATGACCTAGTAAAAGATTATTCTCTCGATAAATAAACAGCAAAAAAAACTTAAAAATTTAAAAACCTGATTCTGAAAACAGGTGGAGCCAAACGCTTTAACAAATCTTGTATCTGGACAACAATTTCACGTGTAGGAGCGACTATCATCACTTGCGTTGCTGCTAATTGAGCATTTATTCCTTCTAATGCAAGTAGAGCAAAAACAAGTGTTTTACCCGTGCCAGATTTTGCTTGAACGAGCATATCTAAAAATCACTGCATCAAAGATTCATTTTCACAAATATCCACAAACTTAATTTTTTCTGAAATTTATAAAATAACGTTTTAAAATAACAATAATATATTAATAGCAAAAATTCTTTTCTAGAAAAGTTCTAAAAGCATTTTTCATTTTCTCTAATCTTTTAGGCAAAGAAAAATTGTTTTTTTTTTAATCATACGATAATTTTTATAAATTCTATATTCTATAAATTCTATATATATATATATATATATATATATACATATACAAATCCTTTTCTCATCCCTTGTGGGTGGCAAGGGCCATTCTTAATCTCAGATCCTCTATCAGAGGCCTGGGAGATTGAGAGTTCAGCGCAATACCAGAAATTTTTTCCTAAAATCTGTTAAAGGCCACTTTTCCATAATAGAAAACGCACCTCCTAGTCGCACCAGCTCTTATAGCCACTAGGACTTTGGCTTTCACTTTCCACATCTTTTCCAGTCCCTCTTTCCGTCCATGGTATTCTCTAGTTTTTCATATTACTTATTCCAAATGTCAGTTGGTAATGCTACATCCGTCATCACTGTTGATTTTTGCTTCCTGTCAGGCTGACTGGCAATATTTGTTTGTTTATCTGTCTGAAGGAAGAAGTCCAACGGGATCTTGGCCATATTATTCTTAGCGATTTTCTGGGGAATCTCCTATCTTGAATCATCTCATGAGCCTTCAAGCAATATTACAAGTAGACATATTCCTATAGACAATGCTACTTGAATTATACCTTTTAGTTCCTGTCTACATGTTATATCCTATTACTATGTGCTGGATAGTTTCTGAAGACTTTTTGCACAGTTTGCAACTTGAATCCTATCTAATGTGGTAGACCACTGCTTCGATGGACCTATTTTCGTACTGCTAAGATCAATCTTATCATTTAGTTCAATTTTTTCCAACCGCTGGTAGAATTTCATAGTTTCGCCACAACTATCGATGACATAGCACGAAAAAATTCTTGCTTTGGCATAGTACTTCTTCTACTTGGTATTTCTCCAATGTCTGTAGATGCTTCAAGGACTTTCTCAATAGCTCATCGTTTGATGCTATCTTGCAGATGCATTTCTGAATGTTTTCAAGACAATGGTTTTGATATTTTTGCTTCCTTATTGCGATTCCCATGTGACTTAGGGACACCACTTTTAGTTGGCCAATTTCCGTAAAAAAATAAATTTCGAGAAAAAGAGCTGAGACAAATAAAAAATGGATAAAAATATATCTGTTATAAGCTGGAATCCACCCAATCAGTCATAAATAAGAAGGGAAGTAATGCGCGACTTTGCTATATGCTGCACTTAATAGCCATTTAAGCAAGCTGTTTTGACTTCATGTCATTTTCCACAGATCAATTGAATTCTCAATAATCTTTAGGATCATGCTGACCTTGTACATAGCCAAACATTCACAGATACATGTGTGAGACATTCAGTCATTAAGCTTTCCTATAGTTAATCCAGATAGTATAAAGATTGGTCGAGACTTGAGACTGCTTTATCCATGAGTAGCTGGCACTACTTTGGGTACTTTGAGCCTTTGTTAATATTGTTAATGTATTTTGTATGTATTGGTTCAAATAATCTTATAGCTTGACAGCTATGATAACCTGATAGTAATTTTTCATTTTGTGGAGAGGCAAATTATTGGTTGGTAGTTGGACGGTTAGTTCTCTTACAAATTAGTCTTTGATGATTATCCGCGCTAAACAGCCTGGATGAGTGCTTATCCATGCATTCGCGAACTGTTGTTAGTTTTTCCATAGAAAACCGTAACTAGTAGGTGTGGATCAAGCCTGGACCAGATGCTATATTTCCATGTTTTCAACCAGTTGCTGGATGTTTACTTCTGTGATAACTGATTACTACTTTGAAACATGTGCTGTGAGCTTGTTCTCAGGTCCTGTATCCACTTTGCATTGATGAATTTCTAATTTATTCAGTTTCTGCTCTTGGAACTTGTTGGCTCTATTATTACTTGCTTGCACCGCAAATGAGAGTACATCTTGGATGGTTCTTTATAAAAAAGCACATTTACCTTTTTTGCTTAGTGCCCGTGACTCTTTGTTTAGCAGTCTCAATGGCTTCTCATGAAATGTTTCTGATGGAGCCTTTGCATTTTTTTCAGTAGAGGCGTTCTGCCTTTAATTTGCACCTTCTGTATTTCAACCAGCTGATTAATTTCTTTGCAATGTATTCTGTTCTTATTCTCCATCCTCATTTTCCAACAGCTGCGGAGTATAAAGATTGATAATTTTCTATTACAGTGTTACTAGGAATTGTTGTAAGGGTTCTATTCATATCTTTAAGTATATTTAAGGTTTCGAGGATTGTTGATTACAACCAGTTTATTTTTTTACTAGCTTTTGTAAATTGCTTTATTCATTAATGGGGATGTTGGAAGGGAATTTCCAGCTCTCCAACTTAGAAACTGCCTAGCATATAGTAGTGGAATGAAAGATGCAGCATCCACTGAGAACCATAGGCACATAACTAGGGTTGCCTGCAGGAATTTCTGCAAAACACATTGGCCAAATCCTCCAAGGCCATAGATAAAATTCCACGGAAAACCGCAAAAAATAACATAGCCAAAATTATGTGAGATTTCCTGGTCCAAATAAACAAACAACAATAGCCGATCAACTAGACATCAGGTTGACAAGAACCAAAAACCAGCAATATAATATACAATATACTAAATGACAGGAACATTAGAAAGTGACGCAAGTTAGAGAAACGCAAAGGATTGAAAGAGGAATTAAAGAAGATGTGGAAAGTGAAAGGTGAGTAATAATTGAAGCACCAGGAACCATGATCTCTAAACTAGAAAATTGGCTTCAAACGGTTTCGGAGAATAACAGCAACATCTTTGTGTGGAAGAACGCACCTAGGAGCGGCCAAGATGTTGCCGCCAAGAACCGTCAAGCTCGCAGGCCTCTGGCGGAGGTTGAAGGCGACCACTCAAAGGGATGACTTTTTAATTGTTTTCATGAATCATTAACAAAAGTACCAAAGCCCATCATTCCAATAGGCAATGCTTCCCACTGTATTGGTGACGCGTAAATAAACCCTGCGCGATTTAATGCGTCTATCGAACTCTGCGCCAATAATAATTCCGATAACTTACGACTTGATTGTACATCAAGCGTCCGCTCACTGATTTCAACGATTTTCTCGAACTCCATCGCTAAAATTTGAATTGCAAATTGGACGCGCGCGAACAACATGCACTGCATTCTCTTCGCGAGAAAATCTCATTTTAATCCATTCTAATTGCTCACAGATTCCGAAATAAATTCTTATTTTCCGCATTATAAATCAACGCCCGAATGGAATTTAACAAAGGCGAAATATTTCCCGCGAAAATTTCAGCAAATGAAGTCCTCGCAATTATTAATCAATAATCTCAATTTAAAAAACCACAAAATCTAAGAATATTTCCAATAAATAAAAATAAAAAACAGAATTTACGAACGAAACAACTGCGCAGTTCCATAAATATTCCATAAATATTTCTAGAAATTCTATTAGTTTCAATAAAATTTAGAAATCGATTAAAGGCAATAAATTTCAAAGATCGCCGACTAAAACGATTTTTAATTATTTTTAAAGATACTTTAAAATTTTGCGCGACCGCGAAAAATTTTCGCGAAACAATTCATTTTTCCACTTTTAGGTGTACAAAAGACAAACTCAGTAAATTATTGCTAACAAATAAAATGAAAATTGAGTGGCACAAAAAATATCGAACGAGCCTTTAAACGTCGGCTTCGGCGACTAAATTGCACGAAAATTCGAACTTTAGGAATAATTCGGCTTTTGATGCTCCTCCATCTTTTTTGCAAGAGAAGCAGATAGTTTGCTGCTAGGGTTGAGGATGAAGGCTTCAGGTGGGGGCGGGAACAGAGCTGAAAGAAACGCTGCGGACCTACTCATACTTCTGTCGCCAATTGACTAATTGGCTAGTTTTTCATTATATCAGTAGCCAGTGGAAAGAATTTGACCGGAAGTGGTCCTAATGTACGCCATACAACTTCAGTCTTCAAGTTGCTCGGTCCGACGCCATCGCTAGTAATAATCGCTAGTAGTAATAGAAGCCATTTTTTTTACATCGTCTAAGTCCAAATGTCCCACTATACGTTCGAAATCTTTCCTGATTGTGTCTGTCCAGGTTTTCACTGGCCCTCCTCGCTTTTGGCTCCAACCATCACAGGGTTTAGGAAGTAATGAAATATGCGTCAACTCCTGTGGTGGACGACGGAGAACGTGCCCTAACCAGCGAAGAGTGGATACAATCATGCGTGATTTTATCCGCTCAACGAATCCGTAAAATATATCTTAAACGTGAGTGGTCAAAGGCTGATAAGGCTTCTTAATACCTTCTTATTAGCCATGTTTCGCAGTCATATAGCAAGATCGAGCGAATTGCAGATATATGGATGCGGATTTTCGTCTTTGTGGTAATTTTGCGAGTCTTTAATATATAAATATACGGTTTAGGATTCTTATTTTATTAATCCGAATAAAATAAAATAAAATTAATGTTCGAACAGTTCAGTTATTTTATTTATTTAGCAGAAAACATCGAAGAAGCATGAAAGCAGTTCTAATGAGGAAAAGACATCCGACAAATAACTATACTGTATTTACACCAAGAAAACTTTTCCAATAAAGAAAATTGCAGACGAAAAAAGCATAGAAAAGGTGATTTTTCAAAGACGTAAAGCCGCTTACTGTAAATAAATACCGAGAAAACCTCTAAGTAGTCAGTCTTCCTGGAATGAGCTTACACTTACGCTTAGGAAATGTGGGTCGAAAATACAAATTTCTTTAACGCTAAATGCAAAAATTAAATCGCTTAAAAATTAAATATCTGTGAGAATTTTTGTATTCCGCTGAAAAGAATATAATTTTTTTTGAGAAAGAAGGTAATTTTTTTTTTATTCGCATAAAAAGCAGCCAATGTAAGGTACAGCATAAAATTTTTATCCAAAAAATAATATAGGAACAACAAACCAAAAATAAATGAACTAAAAATGACTGGCAAAAGCAACTAGTTTTCAAATTTTCAGTGTTAATCTGCAACGAATTGAAACAAATTAAAATTTTCGAGAACAATTTATGTTAAGATATAGCGAGATCATATATAATTTATGAGTAATTAAATTTGGGACCAAGTGACATTCATTCTGAGAAATAATAAAATGTATATTCAAAAAATGATGAAACTAATGTTTTTTTCTAATTTTTAAGTCATAAATGATTAATGGCAGAAAAGATTTTTCTGGTAAGCGAGAAGAACAGAGAATTTCAAATTCAATTATATATTCAAAAATTAAATCATAAAAAATTACGAAATGAACCGTAGTGTTGACTTCGATTCCTTTATCTATCAAAATACAACGTATCTTGAATATTTGATAGAGGACGCACAAAGATAATTTCGGAATTTTTAGAAATGTTTTCCATTAACCAGTCAAAAAGACTGACTCCTGAAAAATTAAAATCAAATTTTGGCCAAAATCATAAATTTTAATGAGGAAAAAACTATTAATATACTTTTGTGTCCAACAAATAAAAATTAGAATTATAATTGAGATATAACCATAAATAGGATTAAATAGTGAATTATACTTCTATGCAGCGACTGAAAATGTCTAACAAAAACAGAACGCTCCGATTCCGAACCAATTTGTTGCGAATTTAATAAATTATAAATATAGCGAGCCAAGTATACAACCCACATAATATTAGTTTGTGGATTAAATTTCATCCAATTATTCCTTAAATAATTAAGGAGATTTTTAAATTATTACTTTTATGGGTCAAAGAACCCACTTGCAATTTTGATAAATGGTATATGACAAAAAGAAAACTTCCAAGACAAAGTGCTGAATTTTCTTCTTTTTGTTCTTTTTCGAAATTATATAGAATTTATGAAAATATTTTCAAATAATTTCACAAAATTGATAGAAAAAATTTTCTAAATTTTTACTTATTTGCTCTTCGCATCAATCTATAAATATCGAACTGTAGATCTCCTTGTCCTTCAAATAGCTCCAGATCATTTTTCAAATTCAAATAAATCGTCGTTGATCCTGGCAACAATGTTATTAAAATCCATAAAATATGCTTTAAAAAAGGCCAACTGAATAATCCATAAGACAATCGTATGAAAATTCTTGAATCTAAGATAAATTTTAAATCGATTTTTTTCCAGAATATTCGAAATTTTATTGAGTTTGAATTTAGGCTATATTCTAAAGACAATCAGAGGTTAAAAAACACACACAGTAAAGTAAAATATATTTATGTAAAGAAAAATTCATCAACCTTTGCTCATTCTTGACAAAGAAAAATCAATAATTTTAGTTTCTACACCACATGTTTTGATCACCACTTCGTTTCCGCAAAGAAATTCTCTGGAAATTTGAGCTTTAACCCGTTTTAAAAAAAATTAGATATTAGGTACAGATAATTTTTTAATCAAAAAAAAGAAAAAAATAAAGGAAGGAGTGGTAATGGAACGTAAATTTATGCTTCCAGGTCGAGTTTCCGAAAAAAGGATTGATGGAAATAATATTAATTAAATGAAGAATGAGTGAAAAAAAAGTGCTGTGCTTATAAAATGCGATTAAATGAATTAATAACAAAAAAAAGATAATGAAATCTGATTTATTATTTTCTAGATTGATTATGTTTAATTTTAAAGGTAATGAGATTTTCCTTTTCACTGTTAATTTAAAACATACATTCGAATCGCTTTTTGCGAAACTGATCGAACAAGTAGATTCCCACAGTGAAGATCACGATGTTCGAAACAAAGTCGATTTTCAGCAACAATGAGAGACACAATAGTTTGGTACACGATACTATATGCCTGTGCTATACTTTGAAACTAAAATATAAGACTATCAAACTCAAAAAATTTGTCAAGAGGAATAATACAGTAACATCTAAAACAATAAACCTGAAATTTTTCCAAATCTACACCGCCATTTTCATAAGCTATCAGTAAGAAATATTGTTCTGAACCAAATATATCCGGGCAATCATTTTCTGAACCAAACTCAGCGCGATATTTCTTCCATGCGTTAAGAAGTTCCCTTGGATAACGACCTTCAATAATAATTGTATTTTTTGCAAACAAATTATTTTTAATATCAACAGAAATAAATTACATGAACGATCATGTGACCGAACGTTTTAAAACCATAAAAAAAACTATTATGGTCCAGTAGAATACCTCAATTATGAGAAATGACAATGAGGATTGGAAAGTTAAACCTTTTATAACAAATGATCCAATCATCCCAATAAATCCAGCCGTTGAATTTCCATCTTCAATAATATGCAAATCAGAAAGTTCTTGAGATAAGACAACTTCTGGCAAAATATCTCGAAACGATTTTTGTTTTTCCCCATTAACGACTTGTTCTCCAGCAATAGGAATTATTTTGAGCGCTGCTTCTTTTCCGTTAACATGAACCAGAAAGACTTCGCCGAAACATCCTTCTCCTAACTTAATGGCTCCTTTCAAATCTCTGTGAAATATATTAGATATATTAAATTGCATTGAAAGATTATAAATTCAAGTTAAATTTTAATTAAAATTCATAAGGTCAAACATACATACAAGACTTTTTTCCCCAGATTCCACTTGTAAAATTCCTTTTGACGGCATAGAAATAGAAGTTCGCGATAAAAATCCCGCTTAGATGAATATGCTTTCGACCAAGCGAATTGAATCGAGCGCCTCGTCAAATAAAATGGTGGAACATCCTAAAACTTAAAATAATAGATAGCAGATAGCAGATAATTCAGGCAACGATCATTTAGCAATAAACCATTAGAACATAGAATAATCTTCGAGTGCAAATTTTTAAGTCGACCAACCTTTTTATCACATAATGAAAGATTGCGTGAAATTTCTGAAAAAGTTGTTCCTTTATAATTGCTTTATATTAAAAAATCATAACAAAAAAAAATTTTAATAATGTTACACAGTTTTACAAGAAATAATATCTTAATTGTATAATTCACCAAAAATTTTTCTTTAAAAAATGAAAAATTTTATATATATATATATAGATATAAAATTATCTGATCTGTTTATATATACATATATATATATATATATATACAATATTTGCATTAATATTACTAACAGATCACCTTATAACAATTTTTACCTTGAGACAGCGAATGTTGTGAGGGAGCAAAGGACTGTGGCTAAAAACGAAATGATACAATAAAAAAAATTTAACGTAATTTCATTAGAATATTAACAATCCCTTGCAATCCTTTATAAATTACTAAAAATTGTTCGTAATTTCTTGACAAAATTAAAATGATTAAGTTTACAAAATTTACTTGAAAATGTAGACCCCAATAATTCGATGCCACAAGTTGATTTTCGATATGAATCGATGAAACATCAAGTGGAGAATACGGGCTGGCAGCCCTAAAACAAATACAAATAGACAGTGTATTAAAGACAAAAATCTAACCTAGAATAGTATGTGTATTAAAGACAAAAATCTAACCTAGAATAGCATGCCCAAGGTAAATTTAGAATAATAAAATACAAAGAATTTACAAAGAACTTTCTCTGATGCGCGATAATATCTTTTTATCCGGAGTTTTAAATGAATTACCAAACACCGAATTGCGAAAAATTTTCATTCCATTATCTGGCGAAAACAATGGCGCAGGGACAACTGAACCTTTCAGCACCACCTTAAAAATCCTCCTCAAGAATCCTCAAAAAAAACTGATAAAACTTATAAGAGAAATAAGTTAGAATACCCAATTAAAAAGTCAAGAAACTACAATTGTAAAACATACGTTTTTAGGAGTTGATGTCACAGGAAATGAATTTTTATTCATTTGACTCAAAAAAATGTTCTTGATCATATTAAAATTATTCGCGCCAATTGTACCAAAAACTCCAGGTTCTATTTGCTTATCCAGAAATAAAGAATGAGAACTGTTGTTTGAATTAATATAATCAACAGATAGACATTCCTCATCAACACTGTTAATAGGAAGATTTGCTACCAGAGGCTGAATTTTCGCAAATTCGACTATATCTTCCAAAGGTTTATTAGAGACAGATTGAGACATTGAGACATTGCCATCACAGCATTTTGTAAGATTTATCTTAGGTTGAATTACCAAACATCCGAATTTTTTTTCCGATCGCTTCCCAAAATTCGACTGTATTGAGGTATCGCATTTTAGAAGACCTGTCTTTGTTTTTGTTTTAGGTTGCATTACTGAAGGATGGTCTTTTTTTTCCAATGATGTGTCGACGCTGAACCGAACTAAGACCTCACTTTTTTTTGCAATATTTGTCGCTATCTCCGCTTCAGAAACCTCGACATTTTGTTCGAACTCTTCTTCAAAATTGGAATGCATTGAGATATCGCGTAGAACACTTAGAGCTGCCTCCGCCTGCATTACCGAACGTTCGATTTTTTCTCTCACTGATCCTTTGAATATAGATCGCATTAAGGCATCTTTTTTTGGTGGCATATATTCTAAAAAATTATATTATAATTTTATATTATATTTCTACATTTTTTATTTATTATTATATGCATTATAATATGTTTTTGAAATTCAAATTTTTTCCTCCACAAAATTTTTTTCTATTCAGGAAAGAAATAATTTACTTATTACTTCAATTTCCTTAAAAAAAGAGAAAATAACCTCGACTATCATAATCTCTTTCGATACATAACGAAAATTTTTCTGCTGAATGAATCTAAAAACACATATTTCGCTATTATCCACTACTTTCAAAAAAATACTCTGAAAAAGTAAAAAAAAAATAATAATGAAATAAGCAAAACTGTACTCAAGATATGAAAAAAGTTCTTTATTTTATCAAGACATATCTATAAAATATTAAATTCTACCTATAAAAAAAGAGATAAAAAAGCTGAATTAAACATATTTGTGATTAAATTTCAATATAACATTAAAATGGTTTAATAATGAGGAAGAGAACAAGAGTATTGGCAAGAAATAACGTTTTTCGACTAATGGATTAGTCGAATTTAGAAATAACCTAAAGAAAATGGAGATCGGATAAATTTAACGCATATATATATATATATATATATATATAAATTAGCAAAATCAATTAAAATAATGATTAAAGACCTCATCAAGAATTTTTTTCGTTTCAGAATCATAGGTATTCAATCGCTCGAATGTGTCAAATGATTCTTTAATATTAGGCAAAGCAAGCTGTCTAATTCCTTTACATTCATTCCAATATTTGTCCATATCAAATAAAATATTTTCCCTACTATTTTTCTCCAAAAACTGAAAATTTATAAAAAATTTATAAAATTTAAATATGCTTTTTTGGTCAAATTCCAAACATTTTTCAGCGAATCAACAATGATTTTAAAAAAGTTCCAGTGAACAGGTATTTGCCTCTATCTTACCTAATACGAGAATATAGATGTCCCTTCTAGCATTTACTTTCTTCTTCACTAATCGCCGTGCTACCTTTTCACTTTGAATAAAACTCATTGTCACAAAATTTTTAGAAATTTTTTTCATTTCCTTTTTCTTTCCCACTGTATCAGATTGAAAGAATAATTTGATACTACAAGTACTATAAAACATTACCTGTGAAGAGAAATCATACTGGCTATCATCAATGATTTCAACGACCGCTTCTGAAGGTCTCGTTCGCCAGCGATGAACCATTCGTTCTTCTATAAACAAAATGCATTGAATTTTTCGAGACATTAAGTTGGTCTAAATCCCAAACAATTTTTAACACGATTAGGTGTTGGATGATCGAGTAGTTCGTTGCTTCCAATAAAAGCAAATAATAATAAAAATCACTGAAGTTATATTACTTAAAATAATTACATAAAATTATCATTAGAGGCGAAGGCCGATGGTGCTGTGGATCCACCTGCTTTTTTCTCCTAAATGGGGCTCCATAAGGAAATGGTACCATCCTACTAGCCAGCGAAAGCCACCAAATCGCAAATGGTAAATTCTTTTGGAAAAGCAATAGGTTAATTGGTTTCCATTTCCAGTTTTTTTCTAAAATTTTCGCAAACCAATTTTGTCTCATTTTTACATATCAATTTTCATGTCAAACTGATATTAACCAATATTTTTATGAAATTTCGAAAATTTTTTATTTGAAAAAAATTTTTTCCAAAAATAATTTCGAAAAAAGTGATTAAAATAATCAAACAAAAATTAAAATAAATTAATATTAAAAATTCATATAAATTTAAACCATTAATTTTTAATTCTTTTTTGAGCTTTTTTCTAAAACTATTTTTCTTTCAATTTCTCTATATAAATGAATAAAATTAATTTAAATTTTTAAAATTAATTTGAAAAAATCTAAAAATTAACAATAATTCGGGAAAAACTACGCCACACGAAAAAATAAGGAAAAGTACTGCAAAAATAAAAGTTGAAACAATTTCAAATAGCCGCCAAAATTTAAACTTAAACTTTTTGCAGGTTTATATTGGCGATAGGCCAAATCGTGAAAGAATGCGATTGTAGAGATTGAAGAGTGGGTGGCGGTGGGGTGGAGGGGGTTGAGGTTTTTGGCGGGTTTAGTGTCGAGGGAGTGCATATCATTTTGAGTCGTTCTTTGGGCGTTTAAATCGGCTTTCTAAAAGCCTAAATGTTCTTCGACATAAACACTTCGACACTTTTCGTTGATAAATTTTATTTTTTTGTTACGAAATGTTTCCTATTTATTTTCTATTTATTTCTTATTTATTTCTTTTTATTTCTAATTCACTCAGTTTTTCAGATGATTAAGAAAATTAATTTTGAAAAAGTGAAATAGCTTTTTTCCTTTTTCCGATATAAAAATTGAGTGAAATCGGTTATAAATATTTTGATTTTTTTAGTGACTGCATTACGATTTACTTTTTCTTCTTTTAAATATAAATTCAGTTGGCAAAATATTGCTGAAATAATTTTTTTTAAATTATTACCGCTAAGCTTTGTTTTTTTCCATGAATTGTTTTGATTTATTTATGGCAGAGATTTTTTCCCAGGCATTGTGGTTATGCTAAGGATTCTGCCGAGTGTTAATTGTCGGACAACGTATATTGTTAATTGTCTTTCGTACTCTTCGGATGCTGCGCATAAAAATAGCGGTGATGAACAGATTGAGCGACAAGCAGTAGATTACAGGTTTCTTTTTCTTTGTTTTTTGCCCATGTTTTATTTTCTGTGAGTAATTTTTGGTCCTGACATTGTTTAAGACCTTACTTTTTCTTTCTTTCTTATTTTCTATTTATTTTTTATTTTCTTTTTATTTTTTATTTCCTTATTTCAAGATAAAAGAGGTCTTCAGTATAATTATATTGAAAATAATTTATTTATTTTTTGCAGGCCTGGAAGTGATTCTTACGCATACGAAAATCCTTGGCCAAAATTGAATCGAGGTCGATTAGATTGGCTGTTTGGTGATGGTTGGAGAAGGCCATTAGCCAAAGATCAAGGAGCAAAAATGGTAGGAAGAAAATTATATTTTAGAACACTTCAATTTTAATTTTTTTAAATTTTCTAGCGCCGTGAATGGATTTGGTTCAATCGTGTCGCCCATGATGAATATGAAGATTGGAAACGTTATCATTCATTTATGTTTATACTGGGAACTGTAATGCTTGTTTGGGCCACTTCATGGGTAGTTTTTGCTAAACCTGATTGGTAAGCGAAAATTCATTATTGAATAATTTTTTTCTAAACGCGCTCATTAATGCCGGTTGGGTTGATTCTCTTGATTGGTTTGATAGGTCAGATAAATTTTGCCAAAAAATCTTTTAGCGATAGAAATACGAATAAATCGCCATCATCAACGGTATTGGATAATTTACAACTTCGTTAATTTTAACCTAGGTAGATTAAAATTCTATTCTAAATTATTTAATAGAATATTATTCTAAATTGTCATTGATATTAAAACTGAAACTTCAAAAAGTCAGGTTATCTGTCTTCTGTTATTTTTTAATTTTTATTTTATCATTTTTTAATTATTTTTTAATTATTTCAGGCCTCACGCTGGTGAATGGGCTTATCGAGAGGCACATTTGGAAATATTAAGACGTGAAAAAGCAGATTTGCCATACATAAGCAAGGATTTAATACCTCCTTCACGAATTATACTCCCTTCAGAGGAAGAATTAGGAAATTTCGAAATTATTATTTAATTTTTTCGTATTTATGAATTTTTCAATATTTATTCTTTATTTTTACTGCGGGGAATGTAAGTCATGCGGATGGCATTAGTGTAGATAACTAACCAATTATCATTTCAGCCCGTCGCCGTTTGTATATTTGAGAAAGAATTCTTTATTTATGTTTTTTTTAGAGTAGAATAGAAAAAAAATTTAATTTGCTTCGACTTCATCAATGAATTCAATAAAAAATTTGAAGGTAATTTAAGCTGAAGGTAATTTATCTCTCTAATTTTCATATGTACATTACGTACGATCAATGCTTTTTAATATGCAATGCAACAGGCGAAGAATATTTTTGTACAAATATTCTATCAAAGGACAATGCAGAAGTAATCTTGTGTAGTAAGTGAGCATATGCTATATTCTTATGCAACAACTGTTATCCTATTATAGTATCAAATGCAATGCAACATTTCTGTAGATGTAAATAATATAATGCACGCTGTAACGTTTGGTAAATAAATTTATTAATTTGTTCGTTGTATTTCTTATATTTAATGCGGTCGAGGGATATATTGCTTCGATGAAGGTTAGTCATTTATATTCGATTCTTCGTCCTTTGCGTTGGAACAAACCTGTCATTTAAGGATGGATCCAAGTAGTGCCGGCAGTTCACGCTTCTGTTCCAAAGTTGCATCTATTTAGTGAGTTATTCAGTGAAGAAAACCAAATAGTGAGGGAACGAAAGAGAAAATTTGGAAAGGAAGGCGGCAATGCATATTTGTTGATGAATGCAAATGTTTGCAAACCGGATAAATATTTAGAAAATTTATAGTAGTGTGCAATAAGAAGATAAATTTTCGGGTTACTGTATCTTTGTTCATTTCGATGAACATTTACTGAAATTGGAACAATATAGAGATGCAGTGTGCAAGGAACATGCAAATTCGTAGTGTTCCCAAATTTTTTTCTTGCGCCAACGCCACTTTACTTTCGGGACGAAGGGTTCATTACAGTACAGAATAATTTTAAATATAAATCTAAAACTGTATACGCAGATGGTAGAGGTAATTTCATAAAGACTGTAAGGCAAGCAATAAAAACTGAAACTATAATTTATGCGAATCGATGTTCATATTCGCAATTTATCTGTTGTTAAAATAATTTTTTATCATTCGCCTTTAGATAAGATCCACAAATTAATTTGTGTTGTTTTACTCGCCGAAGGTAAGAAACTAAACAAGGAAATAATTTTAAAAAAATAATATTATTATACAGTTTTTCTGTCTTTTTTTTATTGAATGTTTTTAATGTTCTAATGTTTCAGTGAAGAACAGTCAAACGCCTTTCTTAATTTGCTCATTTGATTATATTAACTGTCAATGATTACCTCTCAGTGGGTGTATGATGAAAAGTTTTTGCCAGGGAGTCAATCTCGGAGATGGAAATATAGGTGGGCTCCCTAGCAACATGCCAATTGTTCACTGATATAATTACTTTTCCCAGAAACAGAATAGCAGTCTTCATGCCGTCCTCAGCAACAACTTTTTAGATTAATGCTTCCAAGCAACAAATTTTTTTCAAATCGACTAATCAATTATTGGGAATTTAATTGAGTTCATACGAATGCTCTAAGTTATTATTTTCTATTATCAAATGATAGTCTAATATTCAAAATTATGCGAAAAAATAGTAAATTAAAGCAATGATAATATGAAATTTTGTGTTTGTTTGCTTAAAAGAGATTTAATTAATTGAAAAGGCTGGTCTATTTTCCAATTTTCCTTAATTTTCATCTTTGTCTATATATAAAATGTTAATTGAATTAATTAATTTCAATGCCGACAAATGCATCAAATTTATTCTTATATCATAGCAAAATTCCATCGAAAAAATTCATAAATATTTGGATAAATATTTTTTACTTATTTTTTATAATCGAACGGTTGCTTTGATTTTAAAGCATTCTTTGTAAATTATAAACTACATTCGGATATATTACATAATGAAGAGATTGATTTGAAAATATCCTCGTCAGTTGAACAAATCTCCATAAATTCCTCCTTCGTTATCCATCCTTTCTTAGACTTATCGAATTTCTAAAAGAGAAACTAATAAATTTTAATAATTTGCTTCCTGGACTTCTTTTACCGAACGATAAAAAATTCCCATAAAAAAATTCGGTTCCACACTGCCAACGTTTTTTGAACGGCGGTCGATTAAAGTGGCATATTTAAAGGATACTTTGTACACATTATAAATATAATTTGGGAGCTACGAAATTTTTATAATTTAAAGCCAAAAAAATTAGCAAATTGAAAAAAAATTCTCAGATAATCGCAATTCACAAAAAATATTCATAGAACACTGCTTATATATAAAATTTAGAAATTTCTTTCTCACTGAAAGACGACTTTATTGTTGGCTTCATAAATGGAATTTTAATTTGATAATAGGAAACTAAAAAATTCCAACTAATAGTCAATCAAAAAATATGCAAAAATCCAGAAATACGATTAATTTCACCCCTATGTTGTGATTTCTTCCGCTGGAGATACATCTGTGAGAACTGAAACTATTAGTTAAATAATAGATTTGAGAAAATTTTGCAAAAAACTCCTACCTCTAAGATACAATTAGTCTGTTCGGATTTCATTTGGTTTGTAATTGGTTTCGCCCTCGAACCTAAAATTTTTGCACTTCTGGACAAGCCAAGACAAATTCTTTTATTACAACAGCTGCTTGCTCCACTAATATTTTCATATACACAAGTGAACAATGAGTATAATTTTGAATTTTAAACAGTTAGTACGAAAGCAGCTATAAACAATCTCATTCTCAGTCTCTCCATTAATTTTTCTAGACACCTAAATTTTAAATGTTAAAAACTTATCCTCTAAAATTTCTTAAATATCTGTAAACCTTACCCATTAAATCATTAATGGCCGTCACAACATAGAATATTCGATCCCAGTCAATTTTGCCCGTATCCACTGGATCGTACAATTTATAAATCCAGTCCAATTTCTCATTTAAAGGCCCACGTGCTAGCGCGGAAAATATTTTTATAAATTTCTACAAATATTTTTTCTATTTATTTACTGATAATATTTCTCATAATACAGATAATTGGTGAATTATTTACGAAATATGAAACCATATTTTTCTTCACATAGGCATTATGTCGGATTATATAAAAACTTGCATGGAAATCTATGAAACCGTGGTCATTTGGTTCAAAAGTTTCAAAAACAAGATCAGCATAATGTTCTATATCGCCGTAGGGGAAGAGCATTGCAAATGCGACACGAAATGTATCACGGCTGAACGGTGATGTTTCCTTAAAAGCGCGATAAATCGCTCGTAATTCTTTCCGAGTAAATAGCGTATCGGCAAGAATCTGTATTTTGAAATAAATATTCCAAACTAAATCATATCTTTTCTTATCAAAAATGGAAATGGAGTTTTACGAATATTATCCGTTCTAAATACTAATAGATAATAAATTATTTTAGCAATTTCTTTCCAATTTTAATTTTAATTTTTTAATTCCTTATCACTCCTAATTTCACTGTTTGATGTTTCTCTACGGCATAACTACGTTTTAAACTGAAGGGTATTATTTCTTAAACTGTCAATTCGATCATCTTACTTCGGTCCTTACGACTTTGTGCGAGTAAAATAAAAGTTAAATTTGGATAATTCTGGATTCTTATCTGCAGTGCACTTCTATACGAAGGCTTTTACGTAAAATATTGCTTTAAAATTTTGTTTTATTTTGCGTTCATTTTTTTAATGATTTGGTTGAATAATTTGTTCCATTTATTTCGGTTCTAATGTTTGTCGGAAATATAAATTACCGTTCCGGAATCGGAATTTAAATTATTTGGCTCTTTCGTATTTACGAAAAGTAAATTTAAACTGCCTTACATTTTCGAAACTTGGCCTTGAATTCACGATTTTCCATTGCATTAAAGTTTCCTCCTCGCTTTCTGAAAATTTTTATATACTTCGGCCAATAGTTTATAAATATAATCAACTTCTTGTTTTTGGCATAAAATTCCACAATATGTATTCAGTGCCCTTCGTCAATTCTCCTTTTCAATTTCGAAACTTAATTTACCTACTAACCATTTACATTTTTCAGCTTTGCTCGCTGTGTTATATCATTGCTTGTGGTTCTTGCTAGTTGCATAAGATATTCCCAGATTACAATATATTCGTTCTTCTCTTGAACTTTTAATCTTTTCTACATTTACAGCTCAGTGCTTATAGTGTCCCACGTTATTTCCTCTGTAAATCATTAGAAAATTCGGTGATAAGGAAAGAGAATTTCAAACATGCAAGAGACACTTTATTAGAAATTCTTTGATTGAAACTTTAATCACCAAAGAAAAAATTTATCCTCATTTAAAACAATATGTAGCAAATTTAATTCATAAATTGACTAGTAAAAGTTGGAGGAAATTGTGGTAATACGGGTGGTGCATTGCAGTGGTGCAGACCATCATTTTTGCAATATCAGTGTTTTAGCCTAGCACCTGCTATGAGTCTTCGAAAAATTAATTTCTGATGTGGATCCGCTTGTTTGTTCGCTGGCGAACATGTCTCAAGCAAATCGCTAGTGAAGTCAGTGAGTGCTAATCGAGTGCTAATCGTTATTTAACTATGCAATTAAAATTTGAATGCAGCGAATTTTACCTTCAAGTTTATTGAAACAATTAGGAAGGAAGCCATTTGCTTGAACAACATGGCAAAGATATTAACTTTCGAAGTGAGAAACTGATCATCTCAGTCATTTTAAACAAATAAATCTACCAAAAAATAATCCCACTGCAACAATTTTACAATTTAAATATCATTTTCAATAATATCATTTGTGTAACAAAAGTTTTAGAAACTGAGTATTATCTTTCATAAATTAATGACTGAGGAAAGAATTAATAAACAAATTTTTTTTAACTTTACTCATTGAGCATTGAGCATTTTCGCACGACAGACAACAATTATTTGTAATAATAATAACGACAATAATAATAAAAATAATAAATCAATTTTTCACTCAACACTTTATGATTTCAAATAATTCGCTGGATTTCAGTTAAAGAAATGGAATTTCACTTTCACCAAAAACTATGGAATTTTCATCTTCTCTAACTATTTTGACTTCGTATAATTACTTCCGAAAAGTTATCAAAATGAAATTGTGTTCAAGCGAAGTGTGTTCGTTAGACTAACCGTTAATTTCTTTCTCATTGACAATTGTAAAGTTTGCTATCAAAAACAAATCCCGCATGTGCTTCGTGGGCAGCTGACCAGACAAAATAATTAAGTAACGAAAGTACTACCAGTAACTAAACGAAGTTCTAAACTCATTTTAGACTCGCTCCTCTGGTTTATAGGACTAGAAAAATGTTTTTTACTTATAGGTTGAACGTATAGGTGGACCAGCAATATATGGAAAAAGAAATGGCTTCTATTACTGTCGACAAGGGCATCAGACCGTGCCGCTTGGAAGCGTCTAATTCTTGTAGCCGTTGAAGCCTAGCCAATAATGGTGGGAGCTGTTAGAAGAAGAAGAAGAAGGAAAGATTATTTTCGAAAAAAAACTGTGATATAATAAAAAAGAATTAAAAGAAAATTACGATGATAAAAATGGAAATGAAATAAAAAATATAAAAATTCAGTTAAAAATCGAAAATGATGAATGCTTTCTTGCTTTCAATTGTTCTCGCAAATTAAGGCTGAAAAATTTTAGACGAAAACATAAAGAGAGGCAGTATTATCATAAAAAGCAGCGTATACACACTGAGAGGCCAGTGAGTAATAAATTGTTTCGACTAGTGTCAAGTATCGTGGATTCAATTCATGAGAACTCTTGATGAGAAATTTGGCATAATAAATGAAATCTCTAGCCATACTAACGCTGTATTTTTATCTCTAAGTGAATCTGACACAAAAAATTTCGTAATAAGCCGAGCCAGAAATGTTTGTTAAGGGAAGATAACAAGCCCGTTATCTCTTATTTTAGTCAATCTAAAAGGCTTTAGAGCAATTAAAATTGACTGAAACTGTGGCTGTTATCTTCATAAGTCACTTCATATTTCGAGTTGAAAGGGATATTTAAAGCATTACAATAAAACATTTTGCGGAAGAACAAATATACACCAACAAATCCTTCTTAGACCTGAATCACCCAAATTTTTTTTTAAAGAGTCTTCAACATCACTGGCTAAACTCGCTCCGCTGTCGCTTGGACAAATATGCCAGATAGAAATACAGATGAATCGCCAGCATCACCTGGAGAATCACCTAAATATTTCCCATATAAACTATTTTTTTCAATTGTTGTATTAAAATTTTTATACAAATGGTCAATAATAACGAATCTTGCAAAATATAATTACTTGGTTTAATTTTTTTAATATACATATATAAATATGTAAAATATTTATATATGAATGGCATGAACTGGCCATTTTTGAAATGCGTAATGAATTGTTTAAATCGTATAAAGACATACTGGGTATTTGTAGTAATAAAAAATAATGATATATAAATAGTAATATTATTTATTTATTGAAAGCCAAGCAGGGCGCAAACGCCATGTGCTTGTATTAATAACAACAGTTAAAAACAAATAACAAAAATTAATGATAAAAATCAAATTAACAATTTAAAGATGAAATAAAGAGGAAATTACAAAACAATATAATATAGAAAAATCGAAATAACTATAATCGGATGGTAAAAATCATCACACTTCCTGCACACTTTTTAAATAATATCAAATGATATTATCTAATCTTTTTTTAAGATAGTTAAGGACAACGCAAAAGATAACTATCACTCGGTAATTTATTACAGTAATTAATAGCACGAATAAAGAAGTCATGAGTCCTTAGTTTAGTTTTGCACATAGGTTCTAGTAATTTTAGCTCATTAGTTCTTGTTGGATTCAAATTTAGCCTAAAATTATAATATTCTGAACAATTTAGTTTAACATAACCATACAGAATCTTAAAAGTATAAATTAAATCTTGTTTAATAGGACGAACTGACAGAGAATTTGGATTATATTGTAGAAGTCCTCTTATAATTAAGATTGGAATTAGGAGAGAGGCGTCGTGTAAAATATTTTTGGAGTCCTTCAATTATTTTACTCGATTTGCGATATCTCGGTGATTAATATATAGTGTTGTAGTCAAGAAGTGGTCGAACGAACGCTTCGTACATTTTGATATGAAAACCTTCATTTTGATAAAAAAATTATTACACTGTGATAAAAACGATGTTATATTATTACTAATAAAAGTATACATTATTATCTTTTAATTAAAGTTTTTGTTTGACAAGTCATTGATGTGTTTTATCGACATTTCGTATTTATTTTCTGTGTCGTTTTAAAAATCAAAATTTTCAAAAGTTAGTTATCAGTTTGATAAAAATTGCTGAAATCATTTTGCCGAAAATTATGAGAAATGGCAATAAACTGAATATTTTATTGGAATATAAATCAATGTCAATCAATCAATATAAATAAATCAAATCAATAAAAATATTTCATTAAAAATGTTGAAGAAAACTTATTTTCTTCGAAAAAAAAATGGAATTTCCTTCTTTGATAATTTTCGAAATAAAAAATAATGGACAAAATGAGTTTTTTCAAGAAATTTTTTTTCATATATAACTTTTTTAATGAAAAATTCAATAATTTTAATAAATTATGCAATAACAATTGTTAATTATTTAAAAATCATTAATTAATTAGTTATTTTTTTCTTTTTTGATAGAAATTATAAAAAAAAAATAAGAAAAAGACGAAGATTAATATATAAGAAGAATTTTTAGAAAAACTGAAGAAATTTTTAAAATTCGAAAATATTTTCATTACAAATTAATAATCGTTCAAAGCGAATAATAGCAAAAATAATAATGCGAAGCGATTCGCGATTATAAACAAAGCAAATCGAAATGATTTATATTTTTGAACTCACTTTTCTTTCTTAAATGTATTATTACACCACATTTATAAATAAAATAGAAAATTAAATATTTATTAGAAACAGCGAAAGAATTAAACCGATTTATTTGTAAGCAGATTTAAAAAATATTTTCAGTGGTTTTCGTATTACGAAATTATTTGAAATATTTATTAACGATAAATCTGAAATCCTAAAAATCTTAAAATCTCAAAAAATAAATTAGTTTTAGTTTTTTCTGAAACATTCGTCATTTCTGGTTCGATTTGCACATTTGGCTTTTAGTACAATTGTTTCGTAATCACTTGAAGATATCATTTGAGGATGTAAAAGTAAATCCACAACACTAACCGAACTTCGCTTCATTTCGCGTCGTCAGATATTGTAAGTGTGAAATGCGAAATATAAGGATATAAAATTGCCAACTATAAGGATATAAAAT